TAAATTTCAGGTTAAATAGAAGAATAAGCCCCTTTACAACCTCTTAACTATAACATGGCTTATTCTAGTGATGATACACTATCACTCACTTGTCCTTCATTTCCAGCCCTCCTCCTCCAATACTGGTTTACTCCCCTGTCTGCCTTCTCAGGTTTTATCTCTGACTGCCAAATACCACTAGAGGAAGTCAGTCGTACAACCTTGCCAGTTAGGTCCATTATACATTTATGTTAGCAAATCTCAACTGGGTCCTCACTGCTGTACATCAATCCATTTACCTGATCAATTTCTTTCTTTTTAAAAACCTCCTTCAATGAGCTACATGGTCTATTCCAATGTCCCACGATGTAATGCCATATCATGAATTATTGTCAGATCCAATCTAATGGAGCGTAAATGTCTATACTGCTAGCGACTAAATATGAGACATTCCCAGACATAGACTATCAATTATCACTATCTAGTTTAAATTCCCTGAAGGTCTTAGGACCCTTTTGAGGGGGAAACACACTTCTCCTATTCACCACTCTAGGTCTTGAGCCCCCATCTAATGTGTTTTCTATACACACAACCAGTCACTCACAATGACATTTTCAGGCCTTCAACATAACCATTTACTAACAATAAGGCAAAATAAACACTATATAGCACTAATATATTAGAACAAATACAGAAATGAGAAAAATTCATCATAATACACATATAAAACCCAGATTACACTCTTCTATCAATGTACTCAATAGTCATGGAAAAGATTTGGCTCACTCTTTTAGGAACCTGGCAGGGAAAACACATAGGGAGAAAAAACCCTCCCAACTCTAGCCTGTAGGTTTCAATGTAATTGGTCCAGGCAGGAACATCTGCACTCATGAAATTGCTTCTCTGGTCATTGCTTATTGGTCCTCACTGTCCATTCTTCAGCTGGGTAAATTCTTATCTCTAGAATCTGGAATAATAAGCTCTTTCAATTAACAATCACCCTTAAAAGGGCATTAGCTCTTGATGTGAATAGCAATTCTCTTTGAGCTAAAGAAAGGAAAGCTCATCAGACTGGCTTTCTCTGGGCTATTTAATACAGGCTCCCCCACCCCCTCCCCAGCCATTCACTCACTTGGACGCTGCACTGTCCAATTAGAATGGAGTTCATGGCAGCACAGGTTCAGGTTTACTGTTTAAGGTGGCTTATCAGGATACAGAGCAGTTGCAAAAATCTCTCTGCTCTCAAAACCAGAGGTGGCAACAGAGAACAAGCCCCTACAAAAAAGCCACCACTGCAACTCCACCAATGAAATCATTTGTCTCTCCAAACAACTGGAAATTGCTCAGCTGAAACCTCTCACAGCTGACTGCTTCCACCACAGCTACAAGGAAGCAGTCTTTCAGTTGTCTTTAGCTCTTTTCAGGATCTGCTTCCTTCTCTGCTCATCTTGAAGGATGCCTCTTTCCCTTCCTGTCATTGTCTTCAGCGGCTGAAATGACAGCCTCCTGACTCTCAGTGACTCAGCCTTTTACTTAAAAAGTCCCCAACCTTCTCCTATCAAACCGACAATTCTTTTGAAGTCATACCTCGGCTCCTAAGTCTCTAATAAGGTAGTGTATCTCTTTGGTGCCCTTGAAACTATGTTTCTTCGCACATTTCTCTACTTTAAAAAAATAACCAAGATATTATTACCCTACTATTTATAACATTAAATTGTTTCCACATGAGTGAGACATTGCTGTACCTTGTTAACAAAGAGATCTCAGTTGGCAGAGAATTGGAAATGGAGGGGATGCCCGTCAAGGGGGGAATGGCTGAAAAAGTCGTGATATATGAATGAAATAGAATACTATTGTGCTATAAGAAATGACAAGCAGGATGATTTCAGAAAAACCTGGAAAAGCTTACATGAACTGATATACAACCATTCTAGTCCAGGCCTTTATTACCACTTACCTGAAGTATTTCTACATCCTTTGTAATTGATCTCCCTGCATCCAGTCTCTCCCTGATCCAATCCAGCCTCCGCAGAACTGTCAAATTAATATTCCTACAGAACAATTCTAACTATGTCATTCTCCTTCTAAAAAGAACCTTCACTGATTCATCATTGCTTCACTGATTCATTCAGTGATTCATCACTAGGATAAAATACTAAGTCCTATTTGGCATTGTGATGAATGAAAAGCCCAAAGAGACAGAGTTTCTGGGTAATTAATAATCAATTTATTAATAATGCTAGCTAATAGTCAATAAATTGTTATGTCAGCGATTTCTCTCAGGAACCAAAGACAACTAATGGAGACACAGAATATATATATATAAATTTTTTTTTTTGAAAGGGAATGCTCCTGACAGGAGAAATCAACCTCAATTGGTGACATTTAATGAGGAGGTGAGCTAGAAGTTTTCAGTTCCTCCTGCTGAGACCATGTCTTGATCATGAGACTTAGCTACCTCCAACAATCTGGGCAGGGGAATCTATCTCCATCCAGACTGCTCTGGTTGGTTTTGTCTTTCATGAGCTGGCTGGGTCACACTAGACTCCAGTGGAGAGGTACAAGGATATGGGCTTATTCCCTAAGGGCAAGAATTCACCTAGTCTAGATTCTGTTTACACTCTATTAAAGAGAAGTAATGTTTCCTGGTTGGGTGGGGTCCTGCCCAAGATCAAGAAACTTGTTCCCCAAAGATTAGGGCCATCTCATCCATCAGTCACGTCCTTCAGACACCAACTTTCTACAGGGGCTGGGCCCTAAATAAGGAAATAGAAGCCTGGATCCTAATTAATATAATTTTATTAATATATCAGTAAATATTATTTTATTATATAATAAATATTCATTACTATATTAACATAATTTTAATATATTAGGAAATAATCATTTCTCTCAGCATTTAAAGCCCCTCACAACTTGGCTCCAACTTCTTTCCAGGTTGATCACATCTTACCCCCACTGCCCCAGCCCCAGGCCCTCTGTTCTAGCCAAACTTGTCTACTTGCTACTCCTACTTCCCATAGAAAATATTCTATCTGCTAGCCTCTGCACAAATTATCTTCCATGTCTGGATTGCTTATCCCTTGTAAACTCTTCCTCTCAGGATCTTCAAGACTCTCCTCAAGTGCTATCTTCTTTAAGAGGTCTTTCTCGATTCCTCCAGTTGTTAGTGCTGCCTCCCCAAATCACTGTATTCTTATTTTGTACATATCTGAATCTCCTTACCTGTGAACATGTCTTACCTGCAGATTATAAGTGCTATGAGGGCAGGTACTTTCACGTTTTCATTTGTATCCCAATGCCTAGCATAATCCCCAGCATATATTATGTGCTTAGTTAAGTGCTTATTGACTTGTATTTAACATCAAAGAAAAATTTCAATATATTCCATGATTTCCTTTTTATGGGAGAAGGAGCATTCGGTCCACAAAGGAAGAAAGGTATCATAGTACAGTAGAAAGAACAAACTAAGTGCTGGAAATGATTTCTAGTCCCATTGCTATCCAACTATGTGAAACTGGGGAAGTCAAAACCTCTTGCGGTCTGTTCCTTTTTCATCTATAAAATGATGGGAGTATATTAAATTACCTTGAAGTTCTCTTTCAATCCTATAATTGCCTTGAACTGATCTGCCAAATATGCCTGAGCAATAGTTTTCTTGTGGCTTCTCTGCTTCTTCTTTAATCTTACTTTTGTTGTTCCTTATTTTCTTTTTTGGGTACATATTCCTTCCCTTCCCCTACCTAGTGAGCCATCCCTTGTAATAAAGATTTAAAAAGGAACACAATCTTAGAATTTGACAGCTGGCAGCCATCCGATCCAAGTCATACACAAAAGGAATCTCCAGCCCAAGTACCAGACAAATGGTCATGCAGTCTCCGCTTGAAGACCAAGGTGTGAGGGGTGGGGAGTAGGGAGGGAACTCGCCCCTTCCCGAGGCAGCCCACCTTGTTTATGAACAGCTCTAATTTTTATGATGCTTTTCTTCACTTCAACCATTTATTTACTTCTGCAATTTTCACCCATTGTCCCCTGGTTTATCCCTAAATCTCTCCTCCAACATGACAGCTCAGATACTTGAACATATCCCCATAGTCTTCTCTACTCCAGTGAATTTTCTTTAGAGGAAGAAATCATCTCAGCAAAAGTAACCAACTTGACTCAGAAAAGACGCAGCTTAAAAAACACCTATAGAAAGCGTTTCCTGACTCTCCACTTTCTTCCCCAAAGCTGTCTTAGGACTATTTTGTAACCATTTGACATATATCTATATGTGTGTTGTCTCCAGCTGGGTTGCCAGCTAGAGGTAGAGACAATTTTTGTATTTCTAGTACCTAGGATAATGCCTGGCACAGTTGTTGTTTTAGGCATTTTTCAGCCGCCTCACCTCTGACTCTTCATGACCCCTTTTGGAGTTTTCTCAGCAAAGATACTGGAGTGGTTTGCCATTTCCTTTTCCAGCTCATTTTACAGTTGAGGAAACTGAGACAAACAGGGTGAAGTGACTTGCCCCATGTCACACAGCCTTTAAGTATCTGAGGCCAGACTTGAACTCATGAAGATGAGTCTTCTTGACCCCAGGCCCAGCATTCCTATGCACTGCATCACCTAGCTGTCCTGCCTGGCATATAGTAGGTATTTGATAAATGTCCACTGTCTTGACAGTTTATCCAACATTCCACATCCAGTCTCTCCCCTCTGCAATGAAAGTGTTTTGCTTACTTTTCTGGGTCCAATCTTGGCCATTACAATTATGTAGCCATTTCCTTTACATTTATATGATTTTCAACATTGTGCCTCTACTACTCCTGGCTCTGCTTATTTCACCATGACATCAGTTCATGCATTCCCACACCTCTATGAATTCATGTTTCTCTCTTATTTTTTGCCAAACCATTTTTTTTTCGTTGGCATAACTTTTACCTCTTCACAGAGCATCATGTTGGCTATGCTTGGCCCAATTCCATCCCCTTTTGGACAGCATCAATTTAACACTGAAATGCCCTCATTCCTGCCAACAGATTCAATCGTCATTGCTTTTTGGGTCAGCCTTGCAGCTTTCGTGGTGCTTCTCTTCCTGATTTTGCTCTACATGTCCTGGTCTGGCTCAGTTCCGATAAGGTAAGTCAGCCACGGTAGGTAAGTGAGCTCAGGTAGATAAACTAAAACCAGTAAAGTCACAATCATTCTATGTGGCAGCTGGTATGCTAGTCAGAATGAAGTCAACTTGGGCGTCAGTGACGTTTTTCAAAAACCTACTGTGCATACAACACTCTAGTAAGTACTTTATCAGAAATGGGGATGTTCAGTAGGCTAAGTTAGAGTCAGAAACTCAAGGGCTAAAAATTCTAAAATCTGATTCCTAAGACAATTCCCCCCAAGGTCTACTTTATTGGGCATCTGTAGGCAGACACAAGTCAGAAACTTACGGGCAATGGAGAAGTTAGCTTTTTTTTTAAATAAGATTTTTGTTAAGCAAGCAAATATGCTACCTTTTCTATTCACCTGATACAGATTATTAGTCATTGGACAAGATACTGTTTAGAGTGTTCATCAACATTATGACAAGTGAAAATTTTCCCCAATTTAGTGCATAACAGGAGTGGATAGTGGGATGAGGGAAAGACCTAAAATTATCAAATGTCCACAGAAAGGCCTAAAATGCTAAATAAGGGATAGAATACATCAGGCCAGCTTTGAGTTGAGCTACTGTGCAATCTTGAGGTAATGACAAGTTATTTATCCTGACCTTCCTTATGAGCCCATAATATATGACTAATAAAAGCATTTAGCTAATTCTACTATTCACAATAAAATGGCTCAATAATACGAACTTAGAAAAATGGATGGTGACTTACTGTATCTCTGGATGTACCCTTAGATAAAGAGAACAGGCTCCATCACAGCTGCCCTCCCCCTCCCCCCACCCATTTGCTTATTTTCTAAAAGGAATAATACCCTTTCAATGACAGTAAAGCCCCCTTTGGGGGTGGGTAAGATCAAAATAAAGAAAACCAATTTAGGGCTGACATTTTAAAGGATAGTTTGGTCCCAAAGGAACTTCCATTTCTCTTCCTCCCCTACAACTTGATATATGTATATGGAATGAGCTATACTTTCAAACACATCAACATGTGGAAAATTTAACCTGTTTTTGCCTTAGTTTCTTTGCATATAAGATTATTTTTCTCCTTCACATCCACTCTGAATCCCTAATGCCTACTTCAAAACAAAAGAATTTCCAGTAATGATTTTGAAGCTCAAAGATGATTGAAGCTCAGAGAGCAAGGAATGGTACTTAGACGGTCATTATAATCCTTAAGCTCTTGGGGGTTTTCCCTCAAGTAGTTTTTTCTTTCTCTCAGCTCTCCCTTCTTTACTTATAGTGCAGGAGTGAAATATGAAAAACTCCTTTGTGATAATGTGTTGCCTACCCAGTATCTTTGACTCTAGTTTCTTATTCTGACCTATCCCCAGAGGTGACCGTTCACACCGTAAGTGCACATGGAATCACATCTTCAACATGCTCTTCTTTGTCCAAAAGCCCAGAAGCTTTCGAATCAGCCCCACAAGCACCTCACAGCCTCAGGGCCAAATCAAAGAACTTGAAGATGGAAGTGAGCAGCCACAGGGTAATAACTGTACCTCGGATTCTGTTCTAATCACTGCCCCTGACAGCACTCCTCCTTTACAAGAAAATGCACATTTATAGAGGCCTAGAGCTCTGAGCTGATAGTACAATTGCCCTATGCATGGTATTCCCCTCCACCTAGACTGAAAACTGAAGGTGGAAGGAAAACAAGAATAACCCTATGGTATCAGCAAAAAGAACAGAACAAATCAACCAAACTGGTCATATACTTTTGTGGTAGCTAAAAAAAATAATTAAAAAAACAAACAAATAAAAATTAAAAAAAAAAGACCATTTAGGTACAGCAACAGGTCTAGCCAGGCCAAGATTAATCATGAGGAAGATGAGAACATGTTATTGCAGTTTTACAAATAAAGAATGCTGCTGATTTTATGTAGGATCCTTAAGTAGTAGGTTAGCTGATGTCAGTGTGTCTCTTGTGGGAGGTCCATAATGAAAATTAAAAAGTGAATTCATGAGGTTTTTATGGACATTCACTCAGTTATCTGCAGTATGTACAGAACTTTATCTATTTATTCTACAACACTCCTTTTATAGACGAGGAAACGGAGGCATGAGGTGACCTGAACTGGCTTTCTCTTCCCCCACTTTGACCTTTCTTGATGTTGCACCTACTTAGTGTGTACTCAGGCTCCTATTCATCCTTTCTGTTACCTATCAGCAGCCTTTTCCTCACAAGATGCACCTACCTCAGCACCACAAAGTTGAGTCAATCTCTGCCTAAGTGGAAAAAAAAACCATTTTTCCCAAAGCCTCCCAAAAGAAGGCCTGATGGAAGTCTCTCCCCTAGAAGTAACACAGTGAGAGACTATCTAATGATAGTATTAAAAACATCATGAGAAATAAAGGTTGTTCTTAATAAACCTTACCTGGAATTCCAGAATCTCCACGTTCTTTATCTTAAAATTAGGTTTCAGCAGTTAAAATTAAACACAATAAAACCCTATAAAAACCAAATTTTATTAATATACAAAGCTCTATGTTCTACACAAAATTAATGGCCTCAGGTAGCAACAGTGATGTTCTCACACAGTGTTACTATTGCTTCTTCTTGTTCCCGAGTCTTCCCTTCATCCCCACTGAACAACTCTGTAGCATCACAGATCATTCGGATGTGGGCCAGGAATGTATTTACTGGCTTTGCTCCTGGCCAGATGTCTTTAATATAAAGAGATACCAGGAACACTGCAGCAGCTGAAAAATGAGAGGTCACACAGTCACCAGAACACAAAAACCACTGAGATTGAAAACAATTCAGAATTTCACAGACACTTCCCCCAGCTGCAAAGTATGCTTATGTGCACCTGGCAGCATCTTAACAAATACTGCTTGACAATATGGATGACAAAAATTGATTATGCTCATGCCTAACTTCTGCTTGATATTTTCCTCAGGTTAAAACGACGCTTCCTCATACTCAGAACAAATGCGTGCGGGTGGATAGTTTGAACCTCCTTGGTTTTAACGATTAATGTTAATAAGCAGATACACTGGGACTTCCACCTCCACAATGCCCCTTATATCTATGCTCTCTTTTTCATTCCCATATTCACCATCTTCTCACAGGCTCTCACTGCTACCCAAGTGATCTATTCAATTAGCCCCCCAACACGTTTTCCTGCCTCCCTCCCTCCTTCCCTTGCTTCAGTTCACCCTTTATACTATTGCCAGAATAGTTTTTCTTACACATGTCCAGCGTATATTACTTGTGTCAATCAACAATTCTGATAGGGTTTCATTTTGTGACAGCAATGGTGCTACATGCTTGCTTCTACCAACATGAAGCTGCCTGGATTGAACTGGTTTCCTAACTTTGGTTCTCTTTGGCTGAGTGCTGGATTTCAGGACACATATGCATGATTCGTTGCTTTGTTTTGCTGTGTTTTTATTCTGTGGTTTTTAAGGATGGATTATTAGTTACTCCAAGGAAATTTTGAAAAGTTGTAACTCTTAAAAAAGTCAACGACTATTGAGATTGAGAGATATTTCAATTGCTGCTGACATGGGGAAGTCGAGAGTTCCAAGGATCATTCAAACCAACAATGCTAAAAAGGATTAGTTGTACCAAAAGTACTGTACAAAACAAAAAACAAACATCAAGAGCTAGCAAACTAATGCTACAAAAAACTCCAGTTCTCAGAAAACAAGCAAAGATCTTCAGAGGGAACTGGCAGCTGGAAGGCTGGTTAGTGATTCCTGGCACCAGGCTTCCTGAGGTTGGAAGATAAAGGAGAAAAAAATTTGCTGTTCCTTAAAAACGTACACTTACACACAATGTGATAAAGGTGTGGCTTCATAATGAATTAAAAAATATATATAAAAACGTGTAAACTCAATGCAAGTTGTATAAAACAAGTGACTGCTGCCAAGAAAGCATCATATTTCATATGAAAAGTTTTTCAAATATTTAAGTGTAAATTGATTGTAGAAGTCAATAAATTTAATTGTTTTACTTTGTCCCAGTTCATTTGCACACCACCATATTTAGTCATATTTTTACTTAAATTAATTCCTGTGCTAGGATGAAGGTGGACAGTCTAAAATGGGATAGTCTGGCACTTGCTTCTACTACTTGTGTTGTAATGAAAAAAAATATTGGATTTCAGAGTCAAAAGAGCCAGGTTTGAATCCCAATTCCGCTATTTACTATCTCTCTCATCTTGGACACATCACTCAGCTTCTCTGGTCTCAGTTTCCTCATCTATAAAAGGAGGCAGTTGGACCAGAGCTCCAAGATTCCTTTCAGCTCTAAATTCTATAGCTTATGAGCTATCTACGGAAACCAAATTCCCAAAGATTCTTAGTCACCTCCTTATTACCAAACCCAACGGCCTATTTTCAGTTCTTATCCTTGTTCGATTTTCTCCAGTATCTGACACTACTGACCAATCCTGAAATGCCTCTGCTTTGGTTTCCCTGATACTACCACGCTTCTTACTTCTGTCTGATCTATATTTATGGCTCTTTTCTCCCACCTATCCCCTAGATGAATATATTTCTCAAGGTTCATTGAATATGTGTAATATCTCCTTACTGGACTGTAAACTCTATGATGCCAGAGACTGTGTCTGATGTGTATCTTTCCCTCTCCTCCAAACACCATCCCCCTTCCCCCTTCCCCAAGCATCCTGCCTCCTCACTTACTACCTACGGCAAGTCATTTATTACATTCAGAACAAAACAGAAAATTCTGTGGGGCTTTTAAAGCCCTTCCTAACCCAGCCCCACTTCTATCTTACTTCTTACCTTCCTCCATATACTCTACCAGCCAGTGACTCTGGCCTCTTCAAACAAGACACTCCTATCTCCTGATTCTGGATCACGAGCTGTCCTTTATGTCTGGAATTCTCTACTTCCTTATCACCTCATTCTGGTTTCTTCAAGTCCCAGATAAAATCCCATCTTTTACAAGAAACCTTTCCCAATCCTCCTAATGCTAATGCCTTCCCTCTGTAATTATCTCCAAAATATCACACACACCCAAATATGTGTGTATGTATATTTATATCTCTCTACCTATAGGCAGATATATAGATATATATGTGTATATGTATGTATGTACATATGCATATCTTGTTTGCACACAGATGTCTGCATACTGTTTCCTCTGTTAGATTATGAACTCCTTGAGGACAAGCCTTTCTTTGTATCCCTAGCACTTAGCACAGTGCCTGGAACATAGCAGACACTTAAACACTCATTGACATGACCTTCCTGGGCCTCAAGTTTCCTGATTTGTAAAATAAGGGGTTTAGACTAGATGGCCTCAGAGGGCTCTTCCAGCTCCAGCTTTATGACTTCAAAGACCTACTTACTTCCTCAAACACCGTGACCTCCCAAATCCCCAAGGTCCTTAAGTCATATGAGCTACTCTATTCTAACCTAGGGACACAGAAGAATGGTCATATTGTAGATTTCCTCACCATCCACCATTCCAATTCCATGATCAAAACTGGCATCCCCCCCCCTTTTTTTGGGCATTCATTTTCATTTCACCTCCTTCATTTAATTCTTATCCTCATGGTGACCTCCAATTCCTCTACCCCTTAATTCTCTCTCACGTCATTAGTCCTGCCTTGACTTCATTTTTCTCTCTTCTTCCCAATCTTGACCCCCAACTCTACAATCCTCTACACTAGAAGTTCTTGCCCCTCTGTCCCATCTCTGCTAATGCCTTGCCAAATCCCATCTCAGTATTACACCTACCCTCCAATTCTATTCAGGTGCTATGAGTGGTACTGGAAGTCAACCAACTCAGATGACTGGGTTCATTAGAAATTTTTATCTAAACATAAACTCTCCTCAAACTTCCTATGTTTTCCTTGACCCAGATCTCTCAGCTCAAGACCTTGACCCACACTATGCTGAAGAAAAGAGCTTAACCCTGAGCTCCCCTTCTCTCCTTCCAATTTATCTCAAAACCCCTTGACATCATCCTTTCTTTACTTCTTCATTTCACCCCTACCTTCTCCCGCAGACTCTCTCCTCAATCACCACCTTTTTCTCACTAATCCTTCATTTTTCTCGTTTTAGTGGTTCTGGCCCTGTTGCCTACAAACATTCCCAATTCTCCACCATTCTTAAAATTAATTACTATACCCTACCATCCCCCCTCTCAAGTTATGATCTTATATCTCTTCTTCCTTTCTCAGCCAAACTCCTGGAAAAATACTTGCTTCCTTCCTTCCAATTTGTTTTGTTCATGCCGTGAATACATGTTATCTTCCCTAATAGAATGTTAGCTCCTAAAAGCAGTAACTGTTTTGCTCTTGTCTTTGTACACTCAGCACTTTGCATAGTGCCTAGTGGTGTTTACTAAATGCTTGTTTGCTGATTGATTAAATGAATGAATGTATATTACCTTGTTTTCTTTTGTCTTCTTCATCTGTAGAAGAAAGAGCAATTGTTTCTAGTACTTCATGAAAAGAGTTCTCTATTGGGCCCTGGGATGCCATCAAGTGAAGCATGACTGTATTGAAGAGGCAGAGGACACTCTGAGTGGCTGCCTTCAGTTCTCTGGCACTGGAAAACTGGCTATACAGCTTAAAAATGCTATTTCTCCACACAACATCTCTGAGAAGTTCTGTGATAACCATCTGGTATGGCAAAATGCTGCTTTTAAACCACCTGAGGACTTCTGAAACACCCTGGACATCGAGTGTTGGGTCAATCAGAGAGCCGATTTCCCATCTGGCCACCAGAACAGCAGTGGCACCAACAAGCCCCACTGCTTCACTCTCAGGGCGAGGAGCTAAGTGGATGTGCTCTTGCTTTGGCTCTGTCTCTGCTACTGGGAAGACGGGCTCCCAGTGGGTCAATACAGACCTCAGCAGAGCCCTGCACTTCTTTAGGCTGGAAGCCTTTAACTCTGGATCAGTTGTCTCCTCTGGAACCACCTCCATCTTCTTTTTGTTACGCTGGGCTTTAGATCGAGCTGCTGCAGGGGGCTTGTTCCTATCTTTAATAATTTCTGCCGCACAAAGAAAAATATATCTTAGGTCATACGAATGACTCCTAAGTACTTGTTCTCACTTATTAGACATATTTATTGAGCTCTTGGTAGTTGCAAGATACTATGAAGGATGTAAGATGAGTAAGACACAGTCTCATCTTTTATGGAGCTTACAGAGCCGTAAAGGAGACATAACACATACAAAAATAGACAAAAAAGAATATTTAAATACAATAAAGATGGGAATTCAGGCAGGATATTACAGATGGCAAGGAGATGGAATCAGGGCAAACTTATGGGTGAGATGGTAGCTGAGATGGGCCACAGAAGAATGGGTAGGATTTGAAAGGAAAAACTGGGGGGACAGGAGTGGGGCAAGTAAGAGCTTTTCAGGACAAGGAACAAAGCAAGCCAAGGGAGGGCGGCAGAAAAACTCAGGTTGGTGTAACAAATAGTGCAGAGTATAGCATATATGAAGAATAATTGTAGGAAAGTGTAGAAAAGTAGCTACACTGATGGAGTGGTAGCCCTCCAAAACTTTAAAAACAACATAGGTCTGTATGACCTATTTCCCCTCCTGCTCTAGGGGGCAATGAAACAGACTGGAATAGTGAAACACAAGATTTAGAGTTAGAGGACCTGGATTTGAATTCTAGTCTGCCACTTCCCAGTTATGTGATCTCAGGCAAATCATTTTCCTCTGGGCATCAGTTTCCTGATCCAAACAAGAAGTCAGGATTACATGAGTTCTAAGGTTCTATCTTGCTTTCAGTGAATGATCCTAAATGAAAAGGCATGGGAAGTATATATGCAAGGTTTCATGTATAATCTCTTCTTTCTGGTCCAAAATTTATATGGTATTTAATACCATAAGTTCAAAATTTAAAAAAGAAAAAAAGTTTATACAAAAGTAAAACAAAAAGATAAGGTATAGGAAAGAATCCTCCTAACCATGGAGTTCTTCCTCTGTCATGCTAGATGAAACTGAGACACCCTAAGTACTGCCCCTTGAATTAAGAGAGCTCAGTCTAGGGGGTTTTAGGTAGTAGAGTACATAGGAGAAAAGCTGAAAGGGAAGAGCAAAACAGTTTCACTTGGAGCACAGTCCAGTAACTTGAACCCTTTCCTGCTGCCTGCTCTCCAGGACATGGAAGATATACATGATAAGTATTTGGTTAGAAAAGACTGTAATGGAATTAGATTCTCTAGCATGGATGAAATGACAACACTGTAACGCAGACAGACATCAACTTTAAAACTTACTCATTAATTCCTTGACTTGGTATTTTTCAATCATTGTTTTCAGGTCTTCTTGGAGCTTAACATCTCCCATAATTATGCTCCACTTATGCAAGAGCATGAGGACATCCTTGGTAGAAAACACATTTTCATTCACCGTCAGTCGATCCATTTCCTTGAAGGCTTCTAAAACAGTTTCTCGGTACCTCAGCACAGAGCTTAAAGTACTAAAAAAGTGAGTAATCTGGACAGAATCCAAGGTGGGCCTATATGAGGACCAAAAAATGACAGAAACTTACTCAGAAGGTTCTTTTCTCTAGGTTTAGTTCCTACTGGTACAAAACAGATACAAGCTCTGCCAAGCAATCTTGAAAGTACCTGGCAGAAAAAAACCTCGCAGGCCAAGTCTCTTGCAGCTTAAATGGATTTCTACTCAAATAAAATTAGCTATCTTTGCCTATATGAGCTATCGTAGACTCCTAAAGATGGGAAAGATTGAACAATAGATATGAATTTAATTTCTAAGTGAAAAACAGTGCCACAGTGGCCTCCCCTACTGTACCCTACTTCTCTTTCTGGAAAACCACCCAAGTTTTCAATGTAACTCTAATCTTTTAAGTTATTATCAAACAGGACAGAAAACTGACAAGGCTCTGTTGATCATGGATAAACATAGCTTTCTGAACTCTACATGCAACCTCAAATACCCATGTAACACAAAATTTTTGTCTTTAAAAGTAAAAAAAAAATTATCCAAATATTTCTAGAATTGACTAAGTTAGTTCCCCTGGCCAATGGTACTTTTTCCAGTCTTTACCTACAATAAATAAGATGGATACTTAGCAACTTAAATTGTGAATACATATACAAAAAAACCCAAACCTTGTTCCTAATTTTTTTCAAGAGATCTGTCAGGGTATTGTGATCAACTTGCTATTATGATTTGTATTACTTAGTTAAGTCACAAATTCTAGGTCTTAAATTCTTTTGTCAACAAAAACAGTGACTGAATAATTAATATTTTTCATCTCATCTTATGAGTGTCTAGTAAGGATGGACTATTTGAAACAAAACAGAAGCATAAGTGCTACTGCAGACTACAATACAAATACAGAAGGATTTGAGGCTTTAAACAAAGCCATACACAACTAATCCCTAACTTGTTATTAAAGGATGAGAAAAAAGTTTACAATACATCCTTAACTTTATTAGACTGGAATTTTGGCAGACAATTCTGCCCATTTACAAAATATTTCTTGGTATCCCTGGCATAGACAGCACCCTAAGCTGTACAGGTCATTGGTCTGACCTAAAACATTTTTAGAAGTACTTTAAGTTCTCACAGACCCAGTGGAAACTACATAAGGGAAAAAAAATGAAAGCAGGGAGATTTAACAGTCTTCTTGAGGTCACAAGGTAAGCTGACATGTCCATTAGTAGGACAGCCCCAAATACACACTATGGGGACACTTACCGAAGATATTTCACCAACACAATCAAAATGTAGAGGAATTCATTGACAAACTGTAGAGGAAGCAGCTTTGGTGACTGTGGAGCCACAAGCTCACAGGGATGGTCATCCTGTATCTCCATTCTTTTATTACCCAAGTTGGATACCCACAGAGTATGCAGCAAGGATATAATGTTGGATAGGATCTGGTTTCCAAAAACCTACAACCAAAGATAAATACCTTTCAGCACTCTTTCAAAATTGCTGCCTTCCAGCTAAATCTCTCTCAACTAAAATAAAGGATGACTGAACTAGGCTTTAAAAAAAAGAAGTTTGCTATTTTCTAATACAAGTAAGTGAAGCAGCTTAATTTATGCCTTCCATAAATTTAAAACAGCTCGAAGGATGATCTATAAAGTAACATACTAGACTTAGGACCACAGATTTAGAACTGGACAACATTTCTTTTTAAAAAATGATGTGAAAAATACTTTTAAAAACTCTGAGAAGGTCTAGATAAAGGTTCTGTTACTGACAAATACATGAAGAGTTTGTTTCTTATTTCTCATATGAGGTTTCTTATCACGTGTCTCAATTAAAAGCCGAAAATGACGAAAGCACCATTTAAGAGTAAACATAACAAGTCAACTCTAGATCATTTAATATCAGTACTTTGTATTTGGAAATACAAACCCATGTAACAAATAAGCATAGAAAACAAATTCACATATTGGCCCCCTAGTAGTACAGGTCTTTGGGTTTATCCAATATGAGGGCTACTAGATTCATTTGCTTCTTTCAGTATGATACATACTTAATCTGTTGCACTGATGGGCCTGTTCATTCATTCATTTAGTTGTGTATTGTTCTTTTAATAACACCAAGAATATGATTTTAAATTAATTTTTCAAATTAACCTTACAAAAAACATACTGATACAGTAAAATGTTTCTTATCAAAGAAAAAAACTGAAAACTTTGGAAAATACTAATCAATGTTATGCTAGGAATGTTTCATTAGATGTATATGAAGTTGAAAACACAATCAATATGGCACATAAATTATCAAAGACAGTTTCTGTTTTATTAAAGTGATCCGTCCTGAATAAATTCTCACTTTTCAATTTCAGTATATTCTAAAGATAAATGTAACATGTTTCCTGACAATTTACCTACCTCCCTTAAGCAGCCCCTTATGTTTTTGCAATTTATACCACATGCTGTTTATTATAAAAATAGCAATAATACCACCTTATATTTGTGTAGCACAGTTTTCAAAACACTTTCACAGACATTTTAGAAATGTGCGCCACCAATATATCTGCATGATGTTTGAACACCCCTATTTTCCCCCTCTGAACAGGCAGCACAGTCCAGTGGAAAGTATTTAAAGTCAGAAGACTTCTGTTCAAATAAATAGCAGCTTTGCTACTTCCTAACATATGTGACTCTGGACAAGTACCCTGGCCTCTCTGGATCTCAGATTCCTCACCTATAAAATAAGAGGGTGGTGGGACTAGATAGGTGCTGAGCCCTAAATTTAAAATCCTGCAATTCTTCTACTTCTTAAATATTCAGGAACCCAGCAGCGCAAAAGACTCTGCTGCCACTACTGCACAGTAGAAAAGAAACACTTCCAGGGTATGAGCCAGAGTCAATGCTTGGATATATAATTTTTTAAACTATTCTCACTTTCTAAGGACCAGAGACCTAGAGCTGGGAGGCACCTTAAAGACGATCTAGTTTAGTCTCTCATTTTTCAATAAGAAATTGAGACCCAGAAAAGCTAAATGGATTAAACACTAGGTCCTTTTACACTTGGTCACCATCTTTCCTAGTGTAGGACTGGTAGATAATGCTATTTTCTAGTCAGGAAAAAATGATATTGCTGACTAGGGAAGTATTTCATAAAATTTAAAGTAGGTCACTTAATATCTTGAAAGGTTTGCTACACTGTTCATCCATCTTTTCCAGTTCTTGTACTTACAGAATTGTTCTTCTCTTTTTCGTAACATCAAACAGTGTACATTAAAGATGACATAACTCTTTTGAGTAGCCCACACAATGGGCATTTGTCAATGTTAGTCAATTTCTCATTGTCGCAAAATTGTATGTGAATTTTTATTAATCTCCTCCCCAAAGGACAAAATTGAAATGTTTTTTTCTGCTACAAGAGATTAAATGAGCAGCTGACAGAATACCCACATCAGTGAGATCACAGATCTACTACAATAAAATAAGCTCATTGGATACCACAGATCTACTGAAATAAAATAAGCTCACTGGATACACAAATGAGCCTTAGAGACCACCTAGTCCAACCTTCTTATTCTACAAATGAGTTGATTCTCTCAAAAATACTAATAACTTATGTGGCTTAATTTTACATCCTATAACTTTACTGAAGTTATTGTTTTAATCAAAATTTTAATTGATTCTCAAGGCTTCTCTCAGAATCACATCATTCACAAAAATTAATAGTTTTGTTTCTTCTTTGCCTTTGCTTCTTTCCTCAATTTCTTCTTTTTGTTTTACTGCTATCATTGGCCCTTCTAGGACAAGAATGACAATGAACAATTTTGCTTTAACCCTGATATTGGAAAGGACTCTGATTTATCTATATCACATGTAATGCTGGCTCCTGGTGTAAATATATGTGTGTGTATATGTGTGTGTGTGTGTGTGTGTGTGTGTGTATACATATATATATACTGTGTGTACGTATGTATATGTGTGTATATATGTATATGTGTGTATACATGTATATGTGTGTATACATACACACACACACACATGACTTAAGAGGCTGCTAGGTGGTGCTGTGGATAGACTGGGTCTGGAGTCAGGAAGACCTGCGCTCAAATTTAGCCTCATATACTTACTAGGTAATTTAATCTATTTGCCCCAGTTTACTTAACAGCAAAAACTCCCAGGGTTGCTGTGAGAATCAAATGAGTGCTTTGCAAACTGTAGAGCAGTATATAAATGTTAGCTATATTATTAGTTTTTTGCTCATTCTTGAGCAGTCAAGTGATTGCACAAAAGCCCTGCTTTTCATGTAGGGGCAGTCTGAGTGACAAAGTTGTGGCCCCTTCTCTTAGGGGTTGAATCCTGTGATGATTGAGGACTTAAGTCATGTAGTGGCAGGGGAGCACCATTTCCTCCTATTCTGCCATCCTGGATGGTCTCCATTTAGTATTAATTTAAAGATGGATTCTGTCTATCTCCTTACTGTGGGCTCCACTGGCCATTTTCACTCTGAATAGTTGACAGTAGATAACGTTGACCCAGTATCATGTCTGAAGGTCAGTCTTGAAGATAAGTTTGAATGTAATTTCTTCAAAAAGTGATATGTGCTTTTTTCCTATTGTAATTAAGGAATGATTGTGTTGTTCCAAACCCAAACTTAATACTTTTTGGCAGCATAAAGTTGATGTTCAAGGACCATTATCCTGAAAGTTAAAATTGGTGAACCATCTTTCAGAACAGGACTAATCCGCTGCACACATAAAGGAAACTAGAGGGTCTCTTATGGAGCTGGCTAATGATCAAGGCCAACACTTGAGCCATCACATGGGCAAAATCGGAAACTCAAATAACATTTTAAAAATTAGAAAGACACCATTTCAGTAATATTAAGTGGTGTTATGGATTCAGTGGAACTTGGTGTTTCAATGACTTCACTCATTCATTTATTTATGTATTCATTCATTCATTTTTGTGTGAATGGCTAGTTTACCACTGGGTAGAAATACCATACAAGGGATTTCCGTTGAGGAATGGGTTGGACTTAGTTTCCGAGGGCACTTCAACTTTAAAAATCTGTGAAAATTCTACTCAACACTAATGAAGTAGATGAGCCATCAATGTCTCCTCCCAACATCGATAAATACACAGAAAAGAGAATAGGTACTCACTTTGTCCCAAGGATATGCAAAATCCAAGTTAAAAGGCTATGTTCCTGCACAATTTCAAAGGCAGCTTTTGTAATATGGGCAGCATTCTGGAGGATTTCTAGAATCCAGTTCTGAAAACAAAAAACCAAAAAGTAACTCCTCAATATAAAAAAAAGGCTTTATTTAACTAAAAGATAAACTTTTTAAAAGTATGCTACAGGTGTTTGTTTATGGAAAACAAAGTATCTGTAATGAAGTATCATATGGTACCACACAAATTTTCACTTTAATCACTGGGCTTCAGTTCTAAATCACCACTTATGTTAATGCACTCTAGTCCAATCCAATCCAACAACTATTCATTACATGCCTACTGTGTGCAGGGCACTGTGTGGGCATCAAAAATAAAATAAAAAACAGTCCACCATCAGAAATCAGCACATGTAACATGCAAAATCTGTTACCAAGTTAACTACGGGGTCCATTTTCCTTCTCTATGCCTCAGTTTCTTAACCTGTACATGCTATTTAAGAGTTTTAGAATCCCTAGATATATATATCTATATATATAGATATATATAGATATATATATCTATATATATATATATATATGAGCTCAGGAGCACTGATATAAAAATCTGAGTGAACTGGATTTGTATAAAAATATTCTGTTCCTTCTGACTTCTGTTAACAATACTCCTTTAGCCTCTATTCACTCTTACTTATCCAAACCTAGTATCACTTTAGAAACCAAAAGAAAGGTCATGGGTCCATATTCCAAGACATTTCAAAATTTATGCTAGAGTGAACACCAGAGAGTATGAGAGTTTTGTCATATTTATTTCTTCCAACTGTCTGTTGCTATTTAGAACATAAATCTGGATTAAATTCCAGGGGGAGAAAGATGAATATATACATTCTCTTGATGCCCATGTTAATCTGTCCAAGTCAGTCTGGCATTTGAGGATACATAAATTCTCTTTGTTTTCTAGGGTCTCACTTGGTAACATACCACTTCCATATGCTAAAACGGAGCTAAGTGGCTTGAGAGTTCCTGAAACAAGAGGTTTAATTACCTACTTAGATGGAACAATTTATGTTTTCACTACTTAGTCTTAAATAGAATAAGATGACTAAATATATCTTCCCTCTTGGGGCAAATAAAAGGCCCTTATTAACAGAAGAGTAACACAGCATAAAGGGGCAACAGTACAAAGGGTTTTTTGAGAATACATTTTTAGGAGTGGGCAGGAAAAGGTAAATATTGAACACAAACTGTACTATGTCTACTAAAGAACTCTACTGTAGTAAAGAAGGCTGTGTAATAAGGAAGGCATTATATCTTATTTTTCCCACACTAAAAACCAGGTGAAAGGTCATAGGAGTAAACTAGGGAAATATTCACATCCAGGTCAGGATTAGAAGTCACAGTCTTAGCTTTCAGATGACAAACATGAGAATGTACACATACTTTTCTTTCTCAAATAAGCTTTTGTAAAAACACCTTACCTGCATTGTTTCATCACACAATGGGCTATTGAAGAAGGTCAGGATGATATGGAAAATCCTCTGAGAGGAATACAAATCATAGCAGTGCGTGTCTCGAATTCCTTGCCTCAGAAGTTCAAATATCCACTCTTGTTCTACTCTATACTATAATCCAAGCAAAAAAGGAACGTGTTATCTACAGCAAAATTTTTATTAATTAGATTTTTAAAAGGTCTTAGGAGTTTTTTGGATGCTTTTTGTTTTTTAATCAGTCATTTTTGTCCCTTCTCCAAAAGACCAGAGTTGAATCCTCCCTTATAAAAAGCAAATCTGTAAAACAAATACAATGGGAAGTGATATCTGACAATGGAGATAACGTTCTGCCTGCCCTGGTGGTCCCCAGTCTTTCTGCTGAGAAGAGACAGTGTATGCCGCATTATCCATTCTCTGAGATGATTCCTGGCTATTCAGTTGCTCGTAGGTTTGCTTCCTCTTAGTTATCTTTTTATTTACAATGGTGTGTAGCACAAAGCAGTATGGAGCAAGAGATAGACAGATGGCCTCAGAGTCAAAAAGATCTAGGTTCCAGTCTCCCTTCTGACACATCCTGCCTGTGTGAACCCTGGCCACATCACTTAATTCCTCAGTGCCCACCAGGAACGCTGCAGATAGGTGCCAATCTGTGCATACTGCTTATCTGGTCCAAAGAATACTATTTCTAAGAACTGACCAATACTATACCACAGACCTCAATAACTGTACTGATTTCTGATTTTAGGTATCTGTTTTCTTTCAGTAAGAGTCAGTGTGGCACAGTGGATAGAGAGCCAACCACAAAGTCAGGAAGACTTAGTCACTTGGCATCTTAACTGCACTGGGCAACTTTCTAATCCCATAAATTGTACAGTTAATTGCTGATAAGCTTTGGTAAAGGAAATTTCCTCCTTGGGAGTTTCCCCATACCAATGAAACCAAACGTTCATTCCTTATCTTTAAACCCAATGCAGGTGGGATTTTTGAGCCCAGTGGTAGGTGCTAGGATTACAAAGACAAAATGAAATAGAGTTCTGCCCTTTTCCATCTCATTTTAGATTTCATTCCTTCACATCAAAACAAAGGACCAAGTTAAACCTTGACTGGGTTAATTCAAAAGGCAAAATGACAGCTATCAGTCAAGCCTAGTTTATATTTAACCAATTTTCATCAGATGCCTGGTAAAACCAAAATTTCAGAAGTTTTTAAAAAATCAGGCCTTCAGAATTAAAGAAATAATTTTCAAGGCTTTAGGTCCTACTTAAAACTAAAAAGAAGAACAAAATTCTTCAAAGTACTTGTAGATTTGAACATCCCATAACTCTTACTTTCAACATTTCAATGACTACAGGCCCAAGCCTTTAGCATTTAGTCCAGAAGCATTTACTATCCCCATTGTTGTTGTTCAGTTGTGTCTTTGAGGTCCATACCATACATGGAGTTTTCTTTGCAAAGACATTGAAGTGGTTTGTCATTTCCTTCTTCAGTGGTTTAGGGCAAAGAGACATTAAGTGACCTGCCCAGGGTCACACAGTCAGGAAGTGTCTGAGGTCACATTTGAACACTGGTCTTCCTGACTTCGGGCCCAGAGCTCTATCCACTAAGCCATCTAGCTGGCTCTAGTATCCCCATAGTAGGTGCTTAAATATTAATTGTTGAACTGAATTACCTCTAAGTCAGAGCTGTAGAAACAGTTATAGAATCCCGGCACCTTGTTCAAGTATAAGTCTTGATGTGACAAAAGGAATTTGTTTATCTTCATGTACATGTGCTCCTCTGGAAATAGATTTAAGCAGTTATTTAAAATGTTAAGTCTCAAAGTCACACATGGCAAGGTTTTCTTGTTTTCTGTCATGATTAAGAAGCAGAATTTTCTGTATAACATAACATGGTTAATTACATTTTAAAGAATTAAATTGCAATAGAACACACTAAATGATAAGTAGTACCTAATGTAATTAATGTAATCCTCCTCTGATGATACAGATATTTCAGGGCATAAAGATGCTTCTGTATCCTTCAAATTCCTCAAATTTTCATAGTGCTTTTTATAGTTTACAAACAGCTTTAATACATTATCTCCTTTTCTCCCAAGTTTAGAAATGTTGCACAAAGATTTCCAGTTAATAACATGCCAGACATAAGACAACTTAACTTTACATTCTCAACAGACTCATCCATGAATCTCAAACCTGATCTTTCACTGTTACAGGCAGAAAGGTTCTTGGATGAGGAAAGATAAAGGTGGCTTACACTAGGCCTTACCAGAAACATAATTTTATCTTTTGTTGCACCAATCTCTCACCATAAGCATAAAGGTAGATGCACCATAATAATGTTGCATTTATAATGCTTTAAAGTTTGGCAAGCACTTTACACACAGTATTTTGTTCACCACCATGATGCAACAAAGTAAATGATATGATTATCTCTATTTTATAGATGAGGAAACCAAGACTCAGAGGGGTTAAGTGATTTGTCCAGGATCATGGAGCACATAAATATCTAAGGTAGAATTTGAACCTAAGTCTTCTGGATTCCAACCCTCATTGCCTCTAGTTTCCATCACCCCTTCCTGCTCCAAAGCTCATACCTATCAAGTGAGAATTGGCTTAAATGATTTCTCAGGTCAAGTTCTAAAATATCACAAACATCTCCTATTGTCTTCCTACAGCAGGGGAGGGAAACCTACAGCCTCACGGACACACATGGCCCTCGAGGTCCTCAAGTGTGGCCTTTGACTGAATCCAAACTTCACTTTTGGATCCACTTTGACATGTGGCCTCAAGGCCACAGGTTCCCCACCCCTGTGCCACAGGTTCCCCACCCCTGTACCACAGGTTCTCAAAGGGGGAAAATGGTCCAATGATAGGCCAAACATACCCACTCCCGCAATCAAGGCATGATGCCACCTGCTATCAGTGATCACAAGGAGAGGGATGTATGGAAGTAATGAAATATCCATCATGTCCATGAATCATATTTTCTTAAAGCTCTATTGCTTTTCAGGCCTGGCACTAAGGACTTTTGCTAAGCAATTTTAAGATTGCAAATCTTAATACTAATTCACATATTTATGAGCCATTGTGATCAGACCTCATTTTTAATTTATATTCCAAACATAAGTGAATCAGGTAATAATACCTGGTTTCAGAATCTGCAAGGCAGTTTTGGCAATAAAGAGAGTCAAGGTGTAGGTGAATCTGAGGTTCTGTTTTCTGATTCCATTTTGCACTATGTCCAAGAGATAGAGCAGCTTGAAGGAAAAAAAAATACACAAAGAGAAATGAATAATAGGGAATGTGATCAAGTTGTGGTACTACAATCAGAATACAAGGTCTTTTCTAAGAACAGAATAAAGAAGAAACTGCCATTTCCTCGGCTATGGGAATAAGATAAGAAATACTGCTGATGATGGTTTGTCCTTTTCTTCACTACAGGTCTAGTCAATCAACTCCATCATGAGTCAAATAAATGTCCAAAGATAGTTCTGTGCCCCAACAACCCGCCTGCTGCCATTTCATCAATAAGAGCAATTTCAGAGCTTTGGTTTTGCCCCATTCTACATTCTCCCACCTTCTCCCTTTCTTAATTTCCCCCATTGTTTTCAGTTCTCCCTTTTTACCTCCCTCCTTTCCCTTCCCCCCACCCCAACATCCCTTAACATCAAGAGCCAAGAGCACAAAACAACACTGTAACCTCACATACTCGATTACTGTTGGAGGCCAGTGTCCAGCTGGATGTCACAACTGTCAAGTTGCTGGGGGGGAGGAGAAGAGGAGAACAATTTGACCCTTAAAGCTTTGACCAAAAATACCTTCCCAAACTAAACAGGGATTTGTGGCTCAAAGTCAGCTTTCCAAATCATTCTCCTTTTTGCTCTTTTTCTGTAAAACTTCATTTATCCATAATGTTTTTTGGTGGAGATTCTGTGGAGAACCAATTCTCTAAACACTACACTCTATAAGCACAGCTGATCTTACCTGTGGCTGTTCTCGAAATCGAGCCCCTTCCAAATGGGAATAATAGGAAGCCAAGACATAATAAGCTGCTGCTCGCATCTGAGGATCATAACTGCTAAGGGCAGAAACTGTGAGGCCCAGGGCATTGGAATCAACAAATTTGTGACAATCCACAACAAATTCTATAAGAAACAAACAATAAAAACAATGTTAGTGAAGCAATATGGTATAGTAGAAATCTGGTTTTGGAGTCAGGAAGATATGAGTTCAAGTTCTGCCCCAACATATACTAGCTATGTGACCCTGGGCAAGTCACTGAATTTCTCAGTGCCCTGGGCAACTCACCTCTCTAACACTCTAAGTTTAAGAAAAGTCTCCAATTTTCATTGACAAAATGAGCATCCTTGCAGAGACTCTCCTAAAACACAAAATCTTAGGTCCCAGACCAAAAAGCAGGGCTGCAATATCTATTACTGAAATTTGCTAAAGTTTTCTATCAAAAATGTAAATCATTTAATAGGAATAAAAGCTTCTTGAGGGCAGGATCATGTCTTTGTAACCCCAGTGCCTGACACAGAGTATATACTTAATGAAAATATTCAGTGAAACTGAACTGAATTTAGGAAACAGAAAAATTCTGCTCAATGAAATCTTAGTCACAGACTTTGAGAGATGGAAGGTACCTCAGTGGTCATCTAATCCTCTCCACAATGAAAAGACTCCTCAATGTAACTCACCTGACAAGTGGCTATGCGGCCTTTGCTTGAAGACCTACAAAGATGGAGAACCCACTGCCTCCCAAAGCAAATTCAGTCTACTTTGACTAGCTCTAATTATTGCACTATTTTCTCTGATGTCAAACCTCAGCTTACTTCATTTCAGTTTTCACCCACCTCCTGTGGCCAAAAAAGAATTAATTTAATCTCTTTTCTATAAGATAGATCTTCAAATACTTGCGCTTACTTCTGGACACTCTCAAGCTTAACAACGTTGTTGCTAAACTGTGGTACCCAGAACTGACCTCAGTGTTCTCGATGTGGTCTGACCAGGGTAGAGAACAGAGGAATGATCATCTCCTTTTTTCCTAAAAACTACTGACTCTAATTAATGCTACTTGCATTGGTTTTTTTGGTCGCCACACCTGATTCATATGGCTGCTTCAAGAGATGCTAGTTCACCTTCAACTTCTGGCTCACTAAAATCACAAAACCGTTTTTATACAAGCTGTTGCCTAACCATGACTCCCCCAACCTGGTAGTGGTGAAGTTGACTTTCTGAACACAAATGTAAGACTACACATTTACCTCTAATGAATTTGTCTTCTTTTTTTGCTTTTTGGTGAGGCAATTGGGGTTAAGTGACTTGCCCAGGGACACATAGCTAGTAAGTGTCATGTGTCTGAGACTGGATTTGAACTCACATCCTCCTGACTCCAAGGCCAGAGCTCTATCCACTGTGCCACCTAGCTGCCCCCATGAATTTGTCTTCTTACATTCATCCCAATGCTATAGCCTAGAGAATCTTTTTGATCCTGATTTTATCATTCAGTATGTTAAAGATACCCCTCCTGGCTTTGTGTCATCAGCAAATCTGATTAGCATTCTGCTTATGCCTTTATCTATCATTGATAAAAATGGACCAAGCACATGCCCTGGGAATTTCACTATAGATCTCCTGGCAACCTGAGACTGAACTATTAACAACTCTTAAGAGTCTGGTCATTCAACCCAGTTCTAAATCTATTTCAATATATTATCACTTAGCCCACAGCTATCTTTTTCATAAAAATAGTATGAGAGACATTCTCAAAAAATTTGCTAAAATCTAGGCAAATCATGTCGCAGTATTCCTCTACTCACTAGTTTAGTAATTCTTCAAAAAAGAAAATAAGGTTAGCCTGTCATGACTTGTTCTGTCTCTTTGTAATTCTTTTTTTGTTCACTAACCATTTCTTTAATAATTCTAGAATTTTCCCATGAATCAGTCAAGCTCCCAGACCTATAATTTATACATTCTATTCTCTTTCCTTTTATAAAAACCAAGATATCTGCCCTTTTCCAGTCTTGTGGCACCACTCCCATTACCCACAGTCTTTCATCTCACTGCCAGTGGTTCAGCAATAATCTATCTCAGATCTTTCAGTAACTGAGGATATAGTTTGTCTAGACTAAGTGACCTGAATTCATCAAATTGCAGTTAGGTGTTCTGTTATTATCTCTTTTATTGATCTTGAGTATTTATTTGTTAGTGAAGTTTTCTGAGTATTCTTATGAATGTTGAGGAAATGAGTTGTATGTGTAAAGGAGTTCTCCTTCCCAGAACTAGGTGCCTGACATAAGATTAGCAGAAGAAAAATAGAAGGAAAAGCTGAATTGAAAAGAAGACCTTTTATAGAGTTCAGGGATAGGATTAGCAATGCTTTTTTTTTAAGTTGAATTAAGTCTATTTCAGAATTATGATTAAATGTTATCATTTCAGAAACTATAAATGTTACATCTTAAAAACAGTAATGTGACTGCCATAATAGATACATTTTAGATAAACATACACAGAAGGAAGCAGTGTGACAGTATAGTACCACCAAAAGAGCAAGAAATTGCATATCAGGAGATAGGGGTTCAAATCCACATTCTGCCATTTGCTAATTAAATGAGGTAACTTTGGGCAAGTAAATCATACTACCAAAAAGCTAGAAGACAGCTTCACATAAAACTCCTTCAGTCTTTGCTTCCTCACATGTAACTTGGATACTAATACTTGTATTATGCAAGTACTGCTCCTTCAAATTCACTTTACAAAATGCTGGACATAAATTATCTCATTTAATATTCACAGGAACCTCGGAGGTAGATGATAGAAGTAGTATTTTCCCAATATTACAAATGAGGAAACTGAGGAACAAATACACTAAGGGATTTGCTTGACATTAAATTTCAGAGTCAAATTCTAAACTCTGGACTCCCAAACTAGTGTTCTACACCACAACTTCTCTAATAAAGTAGCCCTCAAATAATGAAAGCTCTAAATGTGACCAGAGAGATGCTCCTATTTGCTAATCTGAACTAACTTCCTACTACTTTTGGAGAACCATGAAATAAAATAAGTCACATATACCGTGTGTGTGTGTGTGTGTGTGTGTGTGTGTTGTGTATTTCTGGAATTTGGTTTTGGAAACTTGGGACCGTGCACTTTCAGTGCCCTCCAGGGAGCCTTGTTTTGGCTTCTCCCAGTAAGGACTTTGCTCAGCTCCTTGTGGTTCTGGTTCTCGTGGCACTGCATGCATAGGCACATGTCTTCAGAGAAACCTTAGTTTGTTGAAGATGGATGGCCGTGCTCTTGTCCTTTTTCCTTGGAACCTTGGCCTAGAAATAGCTATGTATATACCTAGCAATGAGCTTCTCTGAAGTTAGCCAGGCTGGTCCGCAGATAACAGAGTAAAGACCTGGCAATGGATTACATATAAGACTTCATTTCCAAGGGGGAAAAAAGAATTTCTTTAATTAACTATTATTATTTTTAGTAATCACTGATACTTTCCTTTTAACACCATAAATTTTCCATGTGACCCAGAGGAAATTGTGATTCCTTGTTTTATAGCCACCCTGGCACTTCCTAAAAATCTCACTTTAGTAACATTCCTTCCCCTGGGAAATAACTGTCCTTGTGGTGTTCAAAACATGCAAAACACTTGCCAAATAATAAGCTATTTAAAAAAAAAGTTAAACACAATCAGTGACATCACATTTGTTTAAAGAACCTTGCAAAGTACAACTGAAGACTTCTGCTGACAGGCTTATCAGCCTGAAGACTGGATTTAAATGACTCTGACAAGGTCTTTTCTCAGTGAACGGGCATCGAGTTATAGTCGCAATCATCAGAGTCATAGGAAAAGTTTGGGGGATGGTAAGATTCCAGGAATAAGCTATTTGATGTCTTTGCCATCCTTTTAACAAGACCGCAGAAGCAGTGAAATCTGCTACTGTGACCACTTCAATGAGGGAAGGTGTGGAGGACTAGACTGGGAAGAGTGAGGCTCTGGTTGAGTCTACCAGCATCACATCCCTTTGATTTGTGAAAAATAACTCAGAAATTTCAGTCTAGTTCTGTGGAAATAAGAATCCATCACGGAAAAAGCATCAGTCATTGTCACTATTAAAGAACCTTAGCTGAGCTGTTTCTGGGCCAAGGTTCCAGGGGAAAAGGACAAGAGCACAGCCATCCATCTTCAACAAACTGAGGTTTCTCTGAAGACATGTACCTATGCACACAGTGCCACGAGAACCAGAATCACGAGGAATTGAGCAAAGTCCTTACTGGGAAAAGCCAAACAAGGCTCCCTGGAGGGAACTGAAAGTGCACAGTCCCAAGTTCCCAAAATCAAATTCCAGAAATGAGAGAAGAATAAACATTCTGGTACAGGTCTATTTAGTCATCAGGACAAAGGCAGAAGTAAATCAAACATATTTTTAGCTTAATAAATTAGACTAAGTTCTTGGTACCTTTGACTTCTACAATACTGTTTTGTGACTTTAGACAACTTTGCCACCATATATTTAAATGCTTTATATCCCCAATTAAAATGTTAAGAGTGTACATCCATCACTGTACATCCATTATTCTCAAGCCCCAATTCATTGCCTTGCCAACTTGGACTCCAGCCCTGAACACCAACCCAGAATCAGGCCTCCATGGCTTCCTGGCCATCTTCACCCTGGAAGAGGCTCTTCTTTATGTGTTGTCTTCCCCTATTAGAATGAAAGCTTCTTGAAGGCAGGGGCTGTCTTGTTTACTTGCATTTGTATCTCTAGCACTTAGCAAAATACTTGGCACTGAGTAGGTACTTTATAAATGCCTTTGTGCTTTTGTGGGTGCTCTCTCTCTCTCGCTCTCTCTCTCTCTCTCTCTCTCTCTCTCTCATTATTTTTAAAAGGGATTGCTATTTAACCATCAAGAATAGGGTGGTATAGTAGAAAGAGAATGAGACAGGGCAGAAGTATTAAGAGGCAGAGCTGGGATTGGAACTTGGGTTCTCTGATAATAGGGAGGCTGTAGAGGGACTTCCTGCTCAGGTATGCATCATAATATGTGTTTGCAAATGGTCCTTCCAATAAGAATATTCTCTAATTCATGACTCTAATGAAGCAAACTGGATTAGACATAAATAGCAGATAGTAGAAAATGGCCTTTAAAGAGAAAGCATTCCTTTACCTGGTCTGGTAATTTCACTGAAGAGGTGAAGTAGAAAACAGGGGGTCATAAAGTTCATCGAAATCTACTTTGCTCTTGTCTTTAAATATATCCTGTGCATCCTAAAACAGAAAAAGGCAAAACTAAAATAAAGGTCTTAAGCTGAAGTGTTGTCTCATCCCAGAAAACTCAATGACTTTTCATAATTTTAGAAGCTCATGGCCACCATTTCTGAGGCTGAAACAGATAATAAGACTTAAAAAGCATAAAAATGTTACCATTATTTTGAAAAAGTACTATTAATATGATATATATTTCATGGGTATTTCATAGATTGTCAGCTGACCAGACTGGGTACACAGATGAGTGGATAATTGATAGAGCTCATCCATTAGCATATATACTTTGGTCCAGGATTGTGCTAATAAATGTTAATAAGCAGCTCTACAAAAAAAAAATGTACTCAAGACACACTTTTAAGTTTAATCTGCATTATTAACATTTTCTCAGTTTTTTTCTTAAATCTAGATAATCATCAAAATAATACATTAAGCCCTGATTTGTAGTATTTATAAATTTCCAAAGCAGATACTCGCATAGAAAATTTAACAATTAGCTCTTGTGGGCCAGTTCAAGCTGGCTCGAAGACAACCCTGTTTTGGCTCAGCACCGTAAACAAAAGGAGGTCTAGACTTAAACAGAAATGGGAGAACAGGCGGTAATGCCCACGGGAAATTGCAGAGCTCCATTAATTATGACACAAACCTCTCTCTGAAATGAAGGTCCATATTTTTAATACCAATATTTTACTGGTAGTGTTCTATGGCTGCAAGTCAAGGAATATAATAGTTTCTAATTAAAATTTAGTATGACTCAGAGGGCAATAGAGAAGTGCCTGGTGAATGTGAGCAGGAAATGTATAACAAAAAAGAACTACAAAAAAGAAATGAAGCAAAGGATAGAATCAAAGAAACGTAGATGACAAAAAAAGCGGGCTGGTTGTGTAGTGAGAGTGAGTATAACTAGTGAATAGCTTGTGCGCTCCTGGATGTCATTCAGTTATCACAGGACAGGTGATTGGCAACAGTGGGTTGGAAGAGAACATCAACGAGACCACAGATTCGTATGAGTATTCTAAAATGACAGAAAAGAGCTTGAGGCTAGAACACAGAGCTGACTCTGGAAAAAAAAATCAGATTTAATGGGGATAAATGAATGCGAAGACTTACGCTCAGGTTCAACAAAACAACTTCACCAATATAGGATGGTGGAGGCAGAGTTAGACTGGAAATGATTCTGAACATCAATATGAGTTAGCACAGAAAACTTCTGCAAGAAATACATTGATCTCTTGCAGCAATAAAAGAAATAAAACCATTAGAAAATTTATGCTAGTACTGATGTGATCAAAAGAAGATATCTCCCCTATCAAAAAGAGACAGAAACAGCCTTTGAGAACTATACCTCCTTTAGCACAAGTCTTCGATTCTGCGGGAAGTGAAGAATGGTCTTCATCATCTTCTCTCGATCCAGGAGACACAAAATTTCTCCCACACTTGGTTGCTGCCATAGTGACTTTCCCATGCTCTTACACGTCTTCTGATGTTCCACAGCAGCATGGCCCCACAGCAGCATTCTAAAATTGGATTACGGAACAGTTGATTCACTGTAGGATCCTCCAGCACAAAGTAAAAATGGCTGATCCTATCTATTGACTGGAGAAATATGAAAAAGTATAGGCATTTTTCTTTCAAAAGTTTTCTTTTTCCTAACAGCTACTCATAATTATTTTTTCAGAACCTTCAGAAACAAACAAAAAATCCAAATCTTTTGTTCCCTACTACCAATTATCTGTACTAAACTTATTATTTTAGCAGAATACATTCCTGTGTTCAAATGTTTATACTCATTTTCTGGAATCAGCTAACTTATAATAAAACTATGATTGACAATTCAACTAAAGGCAAAATAATATCTGCAAAGAACTCTGGTTTTTAGTTGATATTCTCCCACTGAAACAAATGTGACAACAAAACTTAGAAATTCAATCCTAAGAGCACTTAGTCTGCTGTCAGTCTCTTTACCTTATAAAAAGAGAACTTATTAATTTTTAATAAATTAACAGCAAAAAGGATTTCATTAAACTTTTGAAACAAAAATCTAGTTTTTCTTTAAATATATTTTCCTTTAACAACTATTCTAGGAGAATAGACAGAAGGCATTAAATACACACACACACACACACAGACACGTATATATTCTCATAGACACTATCATAATGATTAGTTGGCAGCACCAGATTAATCTAATAAATATTCAGCCACGTAACTCCCAGTACATAATGTGATAATGGTTTTTTTCCTATTGTTTCTGGCTTGTTTCTTTCAAAATAAATCTTCCCTTGACAGGGAAATCCCATTCTACCTTTGTTTGTGATTTCAGGGGTATGGACAACTCTTCTAATGAGGAAACTCCCTCTACCAATGTAGGTCAGTATCTTCTTTGCAACTTAAAGTCTTAGAGAAGGGCCTACAGTACTGAGAGGTTAAGTGATATGCTCAGGATCACACAGTCAGTATGCGTCAGAAATGGGACTTGAACCCAGGTCTAGGAAGGCTCTGGGGCAGCTCTCTATCCACTATGCCAAGGCTGCCTTTCTCTTTATTCTTGTTTGTTGCTGCAGTTGCTGAGTCGTTTCAGTCACGTCCAACTCTTCATGACCCCTTTTGGGGTTTTGCTGGCAAAGACACTGGAGTGGTTTACCATTCCCTTCTCCAACTCATTTTACAGATGAGGAACTGAGACAAACAGAGTTAAGTGACTTGCTCAGAGTCACACAGCCAGTAAGTGTCTAAGGCCAAATTTGAACTCAGGAAGATCAGTCTTGCTAACTCCAGGCCCAGTATTCTATCCACTGTGCCACCTAATTGCCCTTATTCTTAGGTTCTTTAATCTTTATCTTGTCATTAAGTGTTCTGACCTACATAGAACAATTAAAATAGTTCTTTCTTAAATTCAATAAGAACAATTTCTAATTTGCTCTTTTTTCTCCAATAAAATACTGAGTTCATCATTTTAGTACAGTAAAAGTACAACTGAAATGTTATCCATCCCAAAACAATACGAGAGGCTGACTCATGGGGAAGGATTTTTTGCTGGTTTTTTTCTTTCCAGCAGATCCTTACTTAGACTGGACATAACTTTGTACACTGAAAATATTTTAAAACAAACTTTTCCTCATGGAGAATTCTGAAATTACTTGTTAGTGTACAAGTAACAATCATCCCTCCCCATACCCTACCCTGTCCCTACAATATTCAATCTTCCATCTTATCTACCAATTCCTTCTCTGCTGCCTACAAATATGCCCAGGTCTTCCTCATCCTTAAAAAGTCTTCCTTCGACGCTATTATTCCCTTGAGCTATTTTCCTATATAGCTTCATATTCCTAGAAAAAAGTCATCTATACTTGTTGCCTCCATTTCCCATTTTCTATTCGCTTTTCAAAATGACTTCTGAATTCACTACTCAAATGAAATGGCTATCTTTTAAATGCTAAGGCCAAAGTCCTTTTCTCAGTGCTCATCTTTCTTAAGCTTCCTGTAACACTGACAACTCTGACCACCCTCCTCCCCTCAGACTCCTTCCCTGAATATGTCCTTTGGCTTTTGGGGCATTGCTCTTTCCTGTTATCTGACTAATACTTCTCAGATTCTTACTATATCATTAACCACCTTCTACTACCTAAATACTGGCATTTCCCAAAGCTCTGTTCTGGGTCCTCATCTGTTCCTTCCTAACAAATTTTTCCTGTAAACTCATAAGCTGCTATAGATTAAATCATCATCTCTATGCAGATGACTCCCAAATCAACAATTCTAGTCCTTATCTCTCTCTGCTGAATTCTATTTTTTCATTAGCAACTGCCTGGTATCTTGATGGTCTATACATCTTAAACTCTACATGTCCAGAACAGAAGTAATTATCTTTCCCTACAAACCGTGTCCTTCCAAACTTACCTATTTTTGTTGACAATACTACCTCAACTTACCTGTGACTTTCTAGTCATTGTAGTTCACCACCTCAAAGTCGACATTTACTTTTCTCTCCTTCACTCTCCACAGCCAATTAGTTGCCAAATCTTGGCAATTCTACGTCTATAACATACCTTACAGTCATCTTCTTCTTTTTAATTAACATAGATTGTAAGCTCCTTGAGGGCAAAGACCACCTTTTGCCTCTTTTTGTATCCCCAGTGCCTAGCACAGTGCCTGACACACAGTAGGCTCTTAGTAAATGTTTACTGAATGAATAGTCACCACCCTAGTCCACACCTATATCATCTCTGACTGAACCCCCCAACAAAACTGCTTCTATTCTCTCCCCTCTCTGATTCATCCTACACATAGGCACTAAAATTATTTTCTTAAAGCACAGGTTGGACCATGTCATTCCTCTGTTGAAGAACAATGGTTCCCTATTGCCCCAGGATAAATTATAAATTCCTCAGCTGGGCATTTAAAGTCCTCCACAGGCTGGTTCCAGCCTACCTTTCCAAATATTCCCTATGACTCCCCTTCATACACTCTGTTATCAAGCCAATTGCCATTCCCTGAACTCAGCATTCCAGCTCTAATCTACATGTCTTTGGAAAGGATGTCTCTCAAGCCTGCAATAATTCCCATAATACTCATAAAATCCTTTTTAAGGCTCACCTCAAATGCTACCTCCTAGAGAAAGCCATTCCAGATCCTCTTCAGTTTTGGTATTCTCTCCTACTTATCTATGTAAATAGCATAGCTCCTAAGGAGAATGAGAGCTTCTTGGGGATAGGGACTATTTTTCATTTTGTTCTGGTGCTCCCAGCATCTAGCACCCTGCCTTACATACAGTAGATGCTTAATAAATTGCTTGTGGAATCAAATTCCAGAATTTCTAGTCTTACTATTAGCCATACTTCCAAATCTGGTAAAAGAACAATCCAAAAATGCTTTAATCAATGCATTTATTCAGTCACTCTCATTCCTCCCGTGGCACAGAGGATAGAATACTGAGCCTAGAGTCAGGAAGACCCGAGTTCAAATCTGGCCTCAGATGCTTAGCTGTGCGATCCTGGGCAAGTCACTTAACCCTGTCTGCTTTAGTTTCCTCCTGTGTAAAATGAGCTGGAGAAGAAAACAGCAAACCACTCCAGCATCTTTGCCAAGAAAACCCCAAATGGGGTCTTAAAGAGTCAGACAGTACTGAAATGACTGAAGAACAAAAAACTCATCCCTCAAAGTCTGAGTCATGACAAAGTTCATGTGGTTACTGGGTTCTGGAAAGCAAGGCAAGGCAATTGTCACTGAGCATGCATGGGAAGTGCTGCCCTAATTATTGTCAGCTCTCATTATTCCTCACCCTGCTTCCTCAGATGTCCAACCTCAAAATCCAGTCAAAACCAAAAGTGAGAGTGATAAATCTTTTCAATAATTCAAGTATTGCTGTCAAACTAAATGGAAGGTGAATTAGATCAAGAAGTATGAGAAACATAGAAATACCCACAAACCCGGTAACCTGATGCTGATTCTAGATTCCAAAGAAGCTCCTCACAAAGTGATGGCATTCTTGGAGAACTCTTCCACTTGACATTCACTGCTTGATAATTTCAACCTCCTACCTCTCACGAGAATAAAATTCACCCTAAGAAATTTTTCTTTTTGGCCTTTTTGGTGAGGCAATCAGGGTTAAGTGACTTGCCCAGGGTCACACAGCTAGTAAGTATCATGTGTCTGAGGCCACATTTGAACTCAGGTCCTCCAGTCTCCAAGGCTGGAGCTTTATCCACTATGCCACCTAGCTGCCCCGGTAATTTCTTTTTTCTATAAGTTTTGTGTTGATTCTAATGAATTCTTCTAAAGGCCATGCATGTGAAGCTCCTCAAACAAAAAACTTATTAAATGCTTACTATGTGACAGATACTTCATTAAGTACTGAGGATACATACACAAAAGTTAGAGTCCCTGGCCTCCAAAAGCTTACAATCTAATACATAGCACATATATATGGGAATGATGACCAGGGAAGGAAATGTCTGATGAGTCACTGAGGGTGGAGGGGCAAGCTGATTTATAAAGCAACAGGTTGATGAAGTGTTTTCAGAAACAATGGTACCTCTGATTTGATACACTGACTTACTTCATCCAAAAACTCACCTGAAGTTTATGAGGCTCAGATCATTCTTTTCATACAGTCTCAGAAGAAGCAATATCTTCTGATCTAGAAAGTGAATGAAGTTCTATTCAGAATGCGGTAAGTACCATAAGAGAACATGTCATTTATATATGGAAAAAAGCACAAAATGCCATGCTTTCATAAACTTACCCAGGACACTGAGGGTTGCACCATAGCCTCCCAGTAGCACTGCAAAGTGGCTGCTTTCACAGACACAAGGACAAAGTTTTACGATAGTTGATATTAGGTCTATTAACACTTCTAAGGAAAAAACAGACAGAATTTTAGCATTAAAGGTGATGACAGGTCATTTAGTAGAGTTCTGGGCTTAGAGTCAGGAGGACCCAAGTTCAAATTTTGTCTCAGACGTTTAACTGCGTGATCTTGGAAAAGTCACTTAACCCTCTTGGTCTGTTTGCCTCATCAGTAAAATGAGGTAGCAGAAGGGTAGTTGGATTTGACAGCCTCTCCCTTCAGTTCTAAATCTATGGATCTAGAATGGTATATATTTGGGGGAGGGACAAGAGAGAAAAAGAAAACAAATCTGAAAAAATATTTAAATGCTTTTCAATTTCTTTCCTATTACAGTTTTGCTCTAATGCCCTTAATATAGCCATTTTGCTAGAAATTTCATAGCAAATATTTCCTTTCAGACTGACAGATCTTTTAGGAAAGAGGAAAGTAGTCTGATATTACTTTTCTCCCAATTTCAATTCTATTATTCAAGTAATGATAATAACTAACATTTCCATATCACTTTTAACATTTTCAAAGCACTTCATGTATTAGCTTATTTGATCCTGATGACAACGCTGGAAGGTAGACGCTATTATTATTCTCATTTTACAGATGAGGAAACTGATCTTAAGAAAGGTTAAGTGATATCTAGGGTCACACTGAAAGAAAATGTCTGAGGCAGAATTTAGACTCAGATCTTGTTGGTTCCAAGTCCATCATTCTAATCATTATGCCACCTAATTTTGTAAGTTAAAAAAAAATTGCTCATATATCACTTTAGCCAGGGAAATTCAAGGAAAGCTTAGCAAGAAAGGAGCATGTCAGAGATTTAGTTACTTGGATTTCTGCTTGTGGATCAGATTCTGTTGGTTAACATTACAGTAAGAAAGGATTATACTAATTAACAATTAGAGGTTGTTTGCCTAGATATTATTTGTTGAAAAGTCAAGAAGACTCTGATCAGGGAACATAGCACAGGGAACAAGCACGGCCTCAGAGACAGTCAGGTTTAAGTCCTGTTACTGACACCTACTGACCGTGTGACCCTGGAGCAAGTCTCTTAACTTCTAAGTTCCCTAGGCAACCCTGTAAGATAGTAAGTTACAGATGAGTTGCAATTTTGGATTGGTAAAGTTGTAACACACAACTAGTTTAGACCAAAAACACCCAATCATTTCTAAGTCAAAGAAAACAAGTGTAAGTTTGGATTCAATAGGAACATAACATTCTGATACTGTTTTAGAAATCATTCTAAAAACAAGTCAGAGACAAGTATGGGTGGGAAGCTAGTTTGGTGAAATCAGAGGACAAACATGTACAATAAAATACACATATAAACACACAAGGAGACCTTTTACTTGGATGTTTCTGTCATCTTCTGTTGATTGCAATATGGTTGGCAAAAACATAGAGTGCTGTGTGATCATCACGTACATTAGTGGTAGCTGGATTAACTTTTTGCAAAGGGAATTTTCAGGCTTATATAAGAGCTGTATACAAGCATGTAGAGTCTTTAAAAATGTGTAATCCTGATAGTGGAACCTAAAAAGACAAGAATTAATTTTTTAAAAGGCTGTACTAAATGTAGATACTATTTAACAAAGAGTAGCTTTTTATATTACACTTAATTCCCTAAACCTCTAAACAAAGACAAGGTATTCCACTCTAGAGACCAAGCACCCTGGGGGGCTTAATGCCTTCATTGCTGGAACGCCTGCCACGGAGCCCTGCCGTGCTGATTGGTTGTTGCCTCACTACCTACTAGGCTCAGCTCCTGCCATGCTGCCTAGACCTTCTCAGGTACCTTCCCGTCTCTCTACCTTTTCACTGTTTTCTACTTGTGGAACCATAATGCAATCAACTCTGTCATGACTCCTACAAAGGGTACAACAATTTATTCCCCTAAAGCTCCATTCCCTACATATGTTGTCTCCTCCTTTTATAATATAAGCTTCTTGAGGGCAGGGATTATCTTCAATTTTGCATCTGCATCTCAAGGGCTTAGCACAGTTCCTGGAAGATGGTAAATGCTTAATATAACCATATTAATGCATTCATAGAAGGTTCGAGAAGTGGAGACATATTAACTTCTAAGGCTACTAAAATGCTGAACAACCACATCTAGTTTTTTAAAGTTTGAAGATTCACTAGAAGAACAGAACCTGAAAGGAACACTTCTTTCAGAAAAAAAAGAGCTTCTCCCATACTAAACTGCCTTCACAGCCAATACCTCTTTCTCTTCCCATTCTGTTCTTTACACCACATTGGACCGTCCTCATTTTCAACTTCTCAAATCTCCAAATTATTTTGTAAACCCTTATTTACTAAGACTTCAATTACACTGAGAAAACATGGTAGGCAAAAGCTGTTGCTTCCATGTTGTTTCCTCAATAAGAAAACAGTTTTTAAGCTATCTTGAATTTCAGAAGAGACAACCAACAGTTTAGCAACAGGAAATTCTTTCCAGATACTGAATGACCTCCAAACCACAAAAGGGAATACACGGCAAAGTGCTCAGGTAGTGGTGGAGAAGCAAAAATGGCTCCTGAGCTAACAACACTTAAATAAAGTAGAACAATAACTACCAATATGATAGGTACTCAAAAAGGCTTAATAATATGATATTTAATGAATATGTATCAATAAATACACATTAATCAATAATTAATTGATGGTTATTAAGTTATTGTTATTGATAACTTCATTTTATTTAGGCCTTTGTAATATTAAATATATAAACAGAATGACCTATTTTTACTTTACATTTTCCCTCTAATCATCAACTGAGTTAAAATGAATTGGTTTTTTCTCAGCAAATTTCACAACTGAAGAAAATCTTTCCAGTAAAATAAAGTCAGCTTACTTAAGCCCTGTCTTCACAAACTTCTGCCAATCAACAGGATCCACTTCATTAGCTGAGTGCTGTGTGGAAAGTAAACAAAGAGAAACAATAAACACCATGGCAGATAATAAGGTACAATTTCCAGTTGTATGAAGAGTTGTATGTGTTTCACTCTTTAGGAAACACAGTTGCAGCTAGATAGCTGAACGAACTGTCAGGAAGACCTAAGTTTGAATCCTGCCTCAGACACCTACTAACTATATAGGACTCTTGGCGAGTCACGTGATATCTCTGAGCCTCACTTTCCCCATCTATAAAGTGGAGGTAATAATAGCACCTATTTTACATATGTAAAGCACTTTGCAGACCTCCAAGGGAATATAAATACAACGATTACCTATCAGACTCTGAACTCTGTCAGAGAACTGACTGGTTTTAGCTTTCTTAGTACTGTCAGCACTTAGCACACTAAGCATTTGGAAAACATATGCTGAAAGGACTAAGATACAGAGTTGCCCAGGAAGAAAACGATGTGTCTTGCATTCTTACCACCATGGTTTTTGTTCTACACTCCACAACACTCACAAATAACCTGTCTCAATATTAAAGAGATATTAAATCTATAAACCAATCACAGCTCCCTTCTGCCTTGAGAGAGACACTAGAAAAAGTCAATGATAAAGGTAGATTCTTAGAGCACATCCAATTGTCCTGAGAACACAGATGACAAAAATGTAAAAATATGTATTTTTAGGAAAAAGTGCTTAGCAATGGAAAGAGCACAGGGCAGGGAGACAGGAAGCCTGGTTCCAGTCTTAGACCAACTGAGAAAAAGTCACCTCACTCTCTATGGGCTTGTTAAATCATGTGTAAACTGAGGGAGTTTAACTAAATATCTAAGGTCCTTTTCCTACTCTATGTTTCTATCCAAGGTCCCTTTTTTAGTATCTATATAATTATTGATAAGAATGTGATAAATGAAAGCCATTTTGCTATACCGAAGTAGTATAAAACTAGTCAGAAAAAGCAGAATTAAGTTTTAAAAAATGAAATATAGAATAAATACAATAATTAAAATATCTGCTGCAGATAATGGTATAAAAATGCCACCACCTTTCCAAACCACAGATGGTAAGGAGGTCAGACAAGCAGCCAGGAGATTACAGGATCAGGAATTAAATTTGGATTGCAGTCTTGGATCTCAGTTCCAGGACAAGGAGGAACAACAGCACACCAGAGCCTGTGGCCATATGTAAGCTGGGCCCCTGGTCACAGTTCCAGCGTGGAAATGAGAGCTGGTGGTCGCTCACAGACCACAGTGCACCTCTCCCTAGATCCTACCACCTTGAAAGAGCTGAAAATTCAGAGAATTATCTCTGAAAATAGCCGCACAAAAAACCTGAAACTGGGGATGTTTCCCTCTCCACTTCAGAAGCAGAGCTCCACTTTAGCATAGAGTTGAAAATCAAGAAATAGGCTGAAAAAAATGAGAAAACAGTAGAAAAAGATCTTGACTATACAAGTTACAAAGATCTCCAAAGGAAAACTCCTAAGAATATTGTAGCCAAATTTCAGAGTTCCCAGGTCAACAAGAAACTATTGCAAGCAGCCAGAAAGAAACAACTCAAGTATTGTGGAAACACAATCAGGATAACACAAGATTTAGCAGCTTCTACATTAAGGGCCTAGAGGACTTGGAATATAATATTCCGGAGGGCAAAACAGCTAGGATTACAACCAAGAATCACCTGCCCAGTAAAACGAAGTATAATCCTTCAGGAGGAAAAATGGACATTCAATGAAATAGAGAACTTTCAAGCATTCCTGATGAAAAGACCAGAGCTGAACAGAAAATTTCACATTCAAACACAAGACTCAAGAGAAGCATAAAAACGTAAACAGGAAAGAGAAATCATTAAGGTATTTAATAAGGTTAAGCTGTTTACATTCTTACACGGGAAAATGATAATTTTAACTCCTAAAAACTTTCTCATTATTAGGGCAGTTGGAAGGAACATACAGACACAGGACATGGGTGTGAGCAGAATATGAAAGGATGATTATTTTAAAAAATAAAATAAAAGGTAAGAAAGAGGAATACACTGGGAGAAGGGAAAAGGAATAGGTAGAATGGATAAATTTTTTGACAAAAAAGAGGGATGAAAGAGATTTTACAATGCAGGAGAAAATGGGGGAAGTGGGGAAGAGCATGTGAACCTTACCATTAGCTTAACTGGCTCAAAGAGCGAATAATATACATACTCAGTTGGTATAAAAATCTGTCTTACCATACAGGAAAGTAAGAGGGGAAGGGAATAAGAGAAAGGTGTGAGGGGGGAGGTGCTGATAGAAGGGAGGGCAGATTGGGGAAGTTAAAAGTCAGAAGTAAAACACTTTTGAGAACAGACAGGGTGAAAGAAGAGAGAATTAATAAAGGGGGGGGAAATAAGATAGAGGGAAATACATAGTAATCATAATTGTGAAAAAAAATTTTAAAGCAAATTTCTCTGATAAAGATCTCATTTCTCAAATATATAGAGAGAACTGAGTCAAACTTATAGGAATAGAGCTATTCCTCAACTGATAAATAGTCAAAGGATATGAACAGGCAGTTTTCAGAAGACGTAATCAAAGCTATCCATATTCATATGAAAAAATGCTCTGAATCATTACTGATTAGAGAAATGCAAATTAAAACAATTCTGAGGTATGCCACCTCACATCTATCAGAAATGACAAATGTTTTTAACCAGGCATAACAGACATCTTCACACAATGACTTATCCCAGCGCACAACAGACTGGGCATCAAGTGGTTAGGTTAGGATGCACAAAGGAAGGCTGGTGAAACAGAATCCAAACTAATGAAGACCAAGGATAGAAACACTGAGACAAGGTCACAGGTTGTTTCCATGATACTCCTCTTAACCATTCCAACTTTCACCATGATAAGTACATTAGCAGGAGATACCATGACAGAAAATTCTAGGGAGAAAAGTGTAGGACCAGCTGGACATAATTCCCTCTAGGTGCTGTTCACATGATGAATAACTAGTGCTGTTACCTAGTGAATATAGTATTTTTTCATAAGAAGGACAGAAAGCAAAGATTATTCAAAGTGAACAAGTATTCTGAAGAAAGCACCATTTTTCTCAGTAGTTAATAATTATTAGATAGATTAAATTTCCATATCAATACACATGTCAAAGACTGGCCTCACTTGCTAACAGTAGTAGTTCTTTGGGACACTGCTTCGTAGACTCATGTCATTGATTGTCATTGTTTTTTCCTACTAGGTCATAGAAATGTCAGATTGTTTTAAGTGGTAATTTAGGATAACTATAAAATGCTTCTTCTACCTACATAAGTAAAAGGAACTCACCAATAACTCGGTAAGTCGTGACAACATAGACTTCTCTGCATCCTGGGTTTTTTCTTCTTTGTTACCACTGCTGTATGAGGCTATTAGCCATTTTATACACGACCCCAACAAAGTCTTTTTCCAAACATCCAGCTCTTCCACAGATTTTTCCAGTACTAATGACATGGAATCTGATACAATCCAGCTGCAACAGACGTGAAATATGTCAAGAATATAGGCTTATAGGATTTCACCCTTATAATTCACAGAAGTTTAAAACAGGTTACAGAAGACACCAGCATACCCACAATAACTACATATCATGCTAAAGACACCCAGAGATAACATATTCTTTTTCACTCTTTTGTTAAAAACAAGAATATCACATTAAGGACAGGATTAGAGCAAGCAAAAGTTAAAAATAATAGCATCACTGCATTCTTGAAGTCAAGTACAAAAACTTCGGCCAGTCCACAATATCTGTGCATTGCAAACCCACCCAGCCACCTGCCTGTTTCTTCTCTTCTGGTAATATCTTTCATGGAAAAAAAAATGAGCTTTAGGTGTAATAATTATAAGTAATTATTATGGATGAAGTCAATGTGGTATACTAGAGTTAAGAGTCAGAGGCCTATTTTTAAGAACCAACTCCATTATTTACTATAATTTACATTATATTCTATAAATTACATTATATTCTAGGCCTCAGTTTCCTATTCTGTAAAATGAAAAGAATACCTGTACCACCTATCTCGTAGGACTGCTGTGAATATCCCAAGGATCCCTCTCATCTTTTAGGATCCAACTTAAAACCCTTCTCCACAAAGCTTAACTTGAACATGCTGACTTGAAGATGAAGACCTATATCAATGGCTGGTACAACTTGGCTAGGTGACCAATGCACCATAAATCAATAAGCATTTATTAAGTGCTGACTATGTGATACAAAGACAAAAGGGAAGTCCCTGTCCTCAAAGACAATTTAGTGAGGAGAGATACATAAATACAGATATCTTGTTTTAACTGTCTATCACATAGACTATGTAGACTGTTGCTACCTCTAAGAGCCAGGTAAAGTCTCAGATGCCATACTGTAGCTTTAAGAGCTTACATGGACAAATGGGAGGAGGTAGTTGGGAAATGGGTTGAAGAGAAGTATCTCTCCCTGTAGATTCAGAAAGGAGGTGTATTTATCCATGGCCAATGAACAACCACAGATAATTTGCACTGTCTGTTTTGAAGACCTTCTTGATAAACTACGGAGAGAACTGGCTGAAAGGATGAGCCTGAGAAAAACTGGCCGAGACACAGGAGGAAAAAGAAGACAAGATCTTCTTTTCTGAGGGAGCTGGCTTCAACTTTATCTGATAAAGGGGACTTAAGAAAAGGACTTTTCTTCATATTCTGAGAGATACCGAATGGAATAATAATGAATTTTCAGACAAATGAAAAGAAGTCAACTACTAACAGTTCGGGAGTTTGAGACAACTTTGGCAACGATACCAGTCATCACGAATATATGATAAATATATGTACGTAATCTATTAAATATAACAACATGTTACATTATGCTTATTACTGCTCATTTGTTATTATATACAGAGTAATTTTAACATTTATTTAAATACATATAAATATGAGTAAGTACTAATGGGGAAAGTTTCTTTGGTTCACTGAATATCTAATATTTAAAAATTGGAGTGGGGAAACCCCAAGTACAGTAATTAATGAGAAGAGTTTGCAACTTTATTAATGAGGAAAAGTATTCAGCACATCCCTGGATGGTTATAAGAGCCTGAAATTAATAAATTAAATATACAGCAAAGAGAGGAGGGACAGGCTGAAGTTCAATGGTCTATAAGTGAATGTGGTCAAATCCTAGGACCTGTTTACAACTGTTACCGAGTTTACAACTGGGGCAAGTACCTGTAAACCTGTTACATATATACCTATAAAAAGAGATACAAAGTAATTTGGAGGGAAGGCCCTAGCAGCAGGCTTCCTGTAGGAGGAGGCCCTTGAGCTGTGTCTTGAAGGATACCAGGGACTCTATGAGGTAGAGGAGAGGCAGGAGAGCATTTCAGGCATGGGATGGGGATGGGGTGGGAGGTGGCCAGCCAGTACCAAGGTTTGGAGATGGGAGAGAGAGTATTGTATATGTGGAAGAGAGAGAAGGCCATTTTGGCTGGATTGTCAAGTGTGGAATAGAGAGTAATATATAAGGAAGCTCTAAAAATCAAACAAGAGTTCAAATTTTATTCCAGAGGTAACTTTATACACTGGAAGTTTAGGGAAATGACAGAGTTAAACCACTGGCCTAGTATATGGAGAACTGATTAGAATAGAGAGATATATTTGAAGAAGTAAGTCCAATTAAGAGGCAAGAGATGCTAAATCACTACTGATTAGAGAAATGCAAATTAAAACAAATTCACGGTACCACCTCACACCTATCAGATAGGAAAAATGACAAAAAAGGAAAATGATAAATGTTGGAGGGGGTGTAGGAAAACTGGGACACTGATGCACTGTTAGTGAGTTCTGGACTGATTCACCTATTCTGGACAGCAATTTGGAACTATGCCCAAAGGGCTATAAAACTGTGTATACCCTTTGATCCAGCAATATCACTACTAGGTCTGTATCCCAAGAAGATCAAAAAAAGGGAAAAGGACCTATTTATACAAAAATATTTACAGCAGCTCTTTTTGTGATGGCCAAGAATTGGAAATCAAAGGGACGTCCATCAACTGGGGAATGGCTGAACAAATTATGGTATATGACTATAATCTATTATGCTATAAGATATGACAAGCAGGATGATTTCAGAAAAACCTGGAAAGACTTATATGAACTGATGCAAAGTGAAGTGAACAGAACCAGTAGAATGTTGTACAAAGTAACTGCAATGCTGTACGATGAAGAACTATGAATAACTTTACTATTCTCTGTAATATAATGATCCAAGATGATTCCAAAGGACTCATGATGAAACATACTGTCCATCTCCAGAGAAAGAACTGGTTATTATCTGAGTACAGACTAAAGCATACCATTTTTCAATTTCTTTTTCTTCCTTCCTTCCTCTTTTATTTTGTTAGAGTTTTCTTGTACAAAATGACTAATATGGAAATGTTTTACATGATTGCACATGCCTAACCTATATCAGATTGCTTACATCTCAGGGAGGGGGGAGGAAAGGGAGGTAGAGTGGAATAGAATTTGGAATTCAAAACTTTCAAAAAAAAAAACAAAACCCAAATGTTAAAAATTGTTTTAACATGTAATTGGGGAAAAAATAAAATATTATTTTTGAAAAAATAAAGAGTTCCTAGCCCGAAGGGGGAAAAAAAGAGGCAAGAGGAGAAAAGGTACTAAATGGCAGACATGTGAGTAGTGACAAGGGGATGGATCAAAGACATGCTGTGGAAGTAGGTGTAAAAGATATTGATCATTGAATGGATATGTAAAAATGAAGGAGAACTAGAAGCTGAGAATAACACAGAGGTTGCAAAACTGGGAGACTGGAAGGACAGTCATGCCCTCAAAAGAAATAAAGTTCAGGGGGGCAGCTAGGTGATGCAATAGAGTCAGGAGGACCTGAGTTCAAATCCAGCCTCAGACATTTGACGCTTACTAGGTGTGTGACCCTGGGCAAGTCACTTAACCCCAATTGCCTCACCAAAATGAACAAAAAAAAAAAAGGGAGAGAAGAAAAGAAATAAAGTTCAGAAAAGGGGTGGGTCTGGAGATAAGATAGTGAGTTTTTATTTGGACATGTTGAATTTGATACTTTTGTGGGACATCCAATAAGAAATCACAGAATGTAAGAGTTGGAAGGGATCCCTGTAGCCACCTAGTCAAACCCAAAAATGAAAGGAATCCCACTATAAAGGAGCACTAGGTAGTCCAAGACATATGACTGGAGCTCAGGAAAGAGGATGAGGGCAAGATATATAGACATGAGAAACAACAGAAAGAGATCATTAAACCAACAGGTAATGATGAGGTCACAGAGAATGAAGAGAGAAGAGAGTCAAACACAGTCTTGGAGTTATACACCCAAATTTGGGAGTGGCACAATGATAATAGTCTAGTGAAGGGACAGTTGAACAGGTTGGAGGTAAAGATAAAGTACTGTCACAAAAACCCAGAAAAGAGAGCATATCCAGGAAGAGATGGTGATCAGTGCATCAAATATTGCAGAGAAGTTTAGAAGAAACAGAATGAGAAAAGGATATTAAATTGATATCTTTGGAGAAAGCACTTTCATTTGAATGAAAAGGCAGGAAACCAGACTGCAAAGGACTGAGAAGTGAGTGAGAAGAGAGAAAGTAGAAACAATTAGTGTAGACAATTTTTTTGAGAAGTTTGGCCAAGATGACTTAAGGGGATAGTAAGCACTAGTAATGGCTTTTCAATGAATACAGAATTAGGCATGTTTGTAGGCAGCATAGTTAGAATCGTAGATAGGGAGAGACTGAAGATAAATAGTAAAAAGAGATGACTGTGGGGATAATCTACTGAAGAAAACGGGAAAGATGGGTTAGTCTTACTGAGGAGAAAGGCCACTTCTTCAACAGAGACTGGAGCAAAGGAGAAGAGAATGGAAGACAGCTTCAAGGGACTGAGATTTAGAGAAGGGACTCATTCAGCATCAATGGCTTCTATTTTCAGTAAGGTAGAAAGTGAAATCTTCAGGTATGAGGGTAGGAGGGGGTGGTACGAGAGGGTTAAGGAGAGAAAGGATTCAATGAAAAGCATTTATTAAATGCTCATATGTGTCAAGGTCTCTGCTAAGCACTGAAGATACAAATACAAAAGTGACACATTACCTGCTCTTATGAAGCTTACGTTCTAATGGGGGAGAGGTACAAGGCAATGCTAGCCAGGGAAGGGAATGATGGTCTAACTGCTGTAGGGGATGAATTAAGGAGGAGTAAAAAGACTGTCTTGCTCCAATGAGAGATCATGTCTTCCTGAAATGCTGAATTGATACTTATCTTTTCACACTGTATCTTCTATGTCCAACTAGATTTTAAGTTCCCTGAAAGCAGGAATCATAGTATATACTGTACTATAATTCTCTAACTGGCTAAAAACATGTCGTTTACATGAAAATACTCAATAAGCACCTACATTTTTCTTGTTGGTTTTTTTTTGTGTGAATTCTCAATAAAGTGTACCTGGGCATAGGCATAACCACAGGCAGCAAGTAAACATTAAAGCGTTCAGGAATGAAGATGCTAAAGTGAATCCTCTCCATGGAAGTAACTCAGGACCACGGGATCCAAAATATCCCAAATTTCTTCCTAACCCAGATAACATGGATACATGTAGCCTTAAAATGAAAGAACACTCCCCAAATTTATTTTCACACTGCTCAACTCTCCTTCCCACTCTCTAAACCCTTCACTTGTGTTCCCTTTTTTGGGGTCCACTTTAGTTTTTACATACTGAAGAGTCTTTCTGATGAGCCATCATTGATTCATTCCTCTTACCTCCTGGATTTCTCTGGCCTTTGAAGAATGACGGGCAGCTGGTCTATGAGGAGTTTAAGCTCCTTTGCTCTTGAATAAGGAACCAATTTAGAAAGGACTTCTTCTTGCATCCCAAGACCCTGAGGACCATCTCCTAAAAGATTGTTTTGAAGCTCTCTCCACAGGGCCTTTCTCAACACATTCATGACACCTCTAGACACTGGGGCAGAGATAAACATGGAAAAAAAAAAGTCAGCTACAGCTTGCTAACCTAAACCCCCCTGCATGCCCTTTTAGAACAAAAAGGTGTACACTTCCAAGCTTACTAATACTAAAAATCTTATACATGTTACTAAGACTTTCATGATTGACCTCTAAGTATCCTTCTAGCCCAAAATAATTTGATTTGTTCCTGAAAAGTACAGGGTGACAGAGGAGTATAAAGTAAAAACAGACATCAGCCTTCTTGTTCTTTAAAAAGAAAAACACATCATAAAGGGTCGACTGACAGACATTTATTAAGTGCTTATTAGCTAACCTGATGCTATACAGAAGCAGGGTGACACACTACTCACCAAAAAGTTACAGAATATCAGAGAGATTAAATTCTACTATAAAACACAACTTGCCTACTTACTCGTTCTTAGAACTAAATGGAAACCCACAGAATGGTTAGGGTAAGGGGTCTAAGGAGGATACAGGGTTAGTCCATGGCACAGGCACAACTTCCAGTTAATAGGAAGAGTCATGCCTTAGCATAGGCCGCAGGTTACCCACCCTTGGACTCTATGCTAAGGCATGACTCTTCCTATTAACTGGAAATTGCCATAAAAATTAGGATGGCTGGAGAACAGAGGCATTGATATTCTATAAGGCTACCACAAAGGGTACAGGCCTTAAAGAAACATGGTGCCCCTGGCACTGACCCTCTCTCCTCTTGTTATCTCATTCACTGATGGAGTAGCCAAGAACATGTACAGAATTCAACAAGTCACAAGAGCCTCCTGTCACTTCATGTCATGGGATCCTACCACAGAAAGACAAGAGTTATATCTCCAAAGTAGGAGTTTTAAAAGCTTTCTTGTGTCATGAACTCTTTTGGCAGTCTGGTGAGGCCTATGGAACCCTTTTCAGGATGTTTTTAAATAATAAAAGGAAATGCTAAATTTTAGATCATAGTGAAAATAAAGACATAATCTTTTCCCACCAAAGTTCATAGGTTTTCCCCACCCAATTCACCCACAGGGAGTCAAGGGACTCCAGGGTTAAGAATTCCTACCTTAAAGAGTTTATTTAGAATAAGGACTATACTCAGCTATAATCTGGTAGCTCAAAGATCTGGGATTTTAAAAATAAAACATAAATTATTTCCCAACCAATCCTGGAACATGGTTTACCTTTGGATGGACGTGTAAAGTCTCCCTGCATACAAGACTGCAAATAGGTATGGAGGAGTGGAAGAAAGAGGCTGATGTTTTCTGGAAGGCAGGGCCCTAGGTCCTGCAAACACCACAACTCAAAGTATAGCAGGTGGGTACTACTTTGCTGAATCAACAAAGCTACAATGGAAAGAGAAGTTTCTGTCTTACGATTTAGACAGTAGGTCAATAAATCTAACTCAACTACATGGACCAGAACTGGGTCTTTCTGTAAAGCTTGAAAGAACACAGTCTCCAGCTCTTCAATGCCCAGTGCAGGCAGTAGGGCACTCATTCCCTTCACATATTCCAGGGACAACTGTAATTCTCCTTGCTGGGGTTGTTTCTGGTGGCATCCAGTGATCAGCTGTTTGAGGATCTCTCCTAGGAAGCTCAGATGTTTTCCTTTTTGGGGAGATTTCTTAGATCTCTGACCCAAGAGGGTCAGTTTGGGAAGGGCCAGGAGGGCAAGTATAATGTCCCTAAGCTGGGCTCCATCCATGTAGGGATGTAGTTGGTACAAAGCCTCTATCTGAGTTGAGGGTTTCCCATATGCAGTGGGAGGGCCTGTCCTCAGGGTCTGTAGTTCCTTCAAGACACTCTTAGTAATGGCTTCCAAATACTTTGAAAGGATGTCCATGTGATGCATGTCCTGCAGAATTGGGGCGCTCACTTTCAGCAGTGAGAGGACCCCAGCATTCAAGTGAGTTGCTAGGAGCTTTACGAGAACTGGATTGAGGGCATGTGAGGGAAGAGTCTGCTGCTCCAAGGCCAAGTACCAGCTCTCCAAGGTGGGGTGTCTGAAGATCACCATCAATACATCTTCAAGGGTCTGAAATGCAGCACATATAACAATACACACAAATATAATTGGTTAATTAAATAGTTCTTATCATTTCTCTAGCCTGTTAAAAAACCTACAATGGTCCCCTACTGCCTCCCAAATAAAGTCCAGCTTCCTTAGCCAAGCCCTTGAAGCTCTTCTCAAGGAGCAAGTCTTATGCCCTTCATTCACTACTTCCTCTGATATACTTCATATGCTCCATTCCACAGGCTTTTTTATCTTTGTTCACATCAAAGGGAACTATGCCCAAATGCTTTTCCAACTCTGCCTTTTGAAACCCTACCCATCCTTTTCTTACATGAAGACATTTTACTCCTGAACAACACAATTAGCAATATTTGAGGACAGTGACCAGAGCTTATTTATCTAGCACAGTGCATTAGTATGCTTAATAAATGTTTTTGCTAAATGCTACTGAATGAATACAAAGTCTTTAATCCACAAACAAGGATTTAGGAGAAGACTACTGGCCCTTGTTCCTTTCACACTGCACAAGTTCACTATAGTAGCATACAACAGAAACAGCACTGGCTCTGGAACCAGAGGACCTGGGCTTCAGTCCCTCATCTGTAAATTGAAGGGGTCAGTCCAGATGGTCTCTGGGGTTGCTTCCAGATCTAGTTCCACTACAGTCACTCTCAATGATTGGAATGACTGGAATAGAGCTGTAAAATATCTCATCCAAAACAATGGATAAAATAAAATAATTTTATTTTCTATTTTATTTTCAGCATATCTACTCTTTTACCTATATTAGCTCAGGACAGTTAACACAGAAGTAAGTTTATATTTACTGAACTCAGTTAACTGATGGTATGAAGTGACAAGCAATCTCAAGTGGGCTGTGTCAATGGGAAGTCAGTCTGGGATTAAAAATCTGTCACAGAGGAAACTGCAATAGATAAAATAGGCTATTTTGATTATATGAAACTGAAAAGCTTTTGTACAAATAAAATCAAAGAAAGCAAGATAGGGAAGGGAACACTGCAGACTGGAGGAAAGACTATATTCAATATCTCTGACAATAGCCTAGAATTCAAACAGTTAGAGAGAACTCTTTTCTCTACATTTCACTTGATGAGCTGAGGCCACCTTCTCAGCTCCATTTCTATAACACCAGCTGACTACTGGACACTTCAAATTGGATGCACCATAGGCATAGCAATCTCAACACGTCCGAAACAGAACTCATTATCTCTCCCCTGTGATCCTACTCCTTTTCCAAACGTTCCTGTTTCTGTCAAGAGCATGGACAATTCTTTCAGTCTTCTAGGTTTGTATTATCCTGAACTTCTCACCCCAATCAGTTGCCAATATGTGTCTAATCTCTACATCAGTCTCCTCCTTCCCCCTTACTACTTACACAGCCACCAACTTAGTTCAGCCCCAGCACCTATTGGTTAGACTACTGCAGCAGCATCCTGATTGGATGCCTCAAATCCACTCCAATCTATCCTCCCCATAGTAGCCAGAGCTATTTTCCTTAAGCATAGGTCTGACCAATGTAACTCAATAAATTCCAGTTAATTCCACTGACTCCACATTGTCTCTAAGATAAATCAACTCATTTTTTGTCTTTTAAAGCTTTCCTCAACCCAGCCCCATCCTACCTCTTCATTTGCCATTACTTCTTATCCCTAGGAAGTCTATAGTCCAGCTAAACTGGCCTTCTGTCTTTGTTCTTCCTACCCATCTGATGGCTCCTTCTCAGTCTCCTTTGCTGGATCTTCCTCCAGATCACACTCTCTAACTGTAGGTTTCCCTCAGGCCTCTGTTTGAGGGTCCTCTTCTCTTTCCTTCTATACTACTTTACTTGGTGATTTCATCAGCTGCCATGACTTTAATTATCACCTCTATGATGCTGATTTTCAAATCTACCTCACGTGTATAGCTGAGTAGACACTACCAAGTCAGAAAAAAAAATGTGAAGCTACTCACTAAAAGCTATTCCTATCAAATGGAGTGATACTGAGCTGCACAGAGAGAAGCAACTTTCCTTCCTCATTTCCAAGGAAAGAGAGAAATTCAAATACCTAAAAAAATTTTCTAGTTAGAAACAAGAGAATGATTATGTATAAGAATTTTTCTACACCTTATATGTAGGTAGCAAATATTATTATAATAAATACTTCCAGAATGTCAATTAAGTGATCTGCAGAAGGTCCAGATCTCATTAAATTGTGAAATGAGATCCAACTGGGCTCAAACAAACTTTAAATCTTGAGTTGAAGTCTGTGTAGAACCAATTAAACACCCTACTTTACACGAATAACAAGGGAAGAATAGCTCTGTCTTCTCAGAGCAGCAATTCTAGAAATATTTACAATGCAAAGGCTTCTCCAAATACATGTCCTTTCTTCAATTCAGGCTGCTACAATTAGGAGGAAAAAAACCCCAACAAAATATTTCCTAGTTAATTTTCTAAAGATGCTCATTTCACCTGTCATAAGAGAAAAATGCCTTCATGTGGTAAAATCTCGAGAGCATCACTACCTTATCATTGGCTAATTCCAGTGTGGCCAAGGACTCTTCATCCAAAAAGATAGCAGATTCAGCCTGAGCAGCTTCACATTTCTGTTGGTTACATGTATCCAACTGAAAACAACGGCTCAACAGGTGGCTGAGTAAATTCATGAAGAGCTGAAGCAGTGCAGGACCTGAACTTTTACCAAGCTGTGAAATAAACAGGTAATTACCTTTTAGATATAGTGGAAGATGATAGGCAACTAAAATCCCTTCTTAACATGTAATACTAATTACAAAAACTTATTTTGCCTAAAAGGAGAAAACAGGCATAAGCTAAAACCCAAACTAAGTAAATGTTAACCACAGGGGTGACTGCGTAAAAAAAGACATGGAAAGACAAGGGATGGATCTCTGCTAGTGATCCACAATTAACTTAAGAACTTGATTTGTTGTCCTAGCTTGAGAAACTCGGTTCAATTTTGTTTATCCTTCAGAAACCTACAGAGAATAGACCAGAAAAGCTTATGAGAGAAAGAGGCAATAAGCATTATTAAAAGCTTATTATGCACTAAGTACCAGGGATATGAAAATTATACACACAAAATAATACACTGCATAGTGTAAGTGGAAGATAATCTCAGAAGGGAAGGTACTGGACACTGGGGAGTGAAAGGGAAGACTGGGAAAGGCCCCATGCCATATGTGGAATTTAAGCTGAGTCTTAATGGGAACCTGGAAAGCCAAAAGATAAAGAACGGGAGGGAGAGCATTCCAGGCATGGGACAGCCACCGAAAAAATACAGAATGCTGCCAGTTGAATTTGTTCTTCCCAAACGTCAATTTTATGACCACAGTCCAATTTCAAGCAGCTAGTAGATGACAGGCAATGGGTACAAATTCTAAAGAAATACTTAGTAACCAATAAATCAGGACACTGGGAATTACTTGGCACTAGAATTGTGATAGTTTCAACACTAGCACATCAGGCCTGGCAAAAGTCTGGCTTCTGAAACTGGGTCTCCTGCATCTGGGGAGCCACCTAACAGAAATGTCAAGGAAGTGAGGCCTACTCCTGAAAGGCAATCACCATCATCCTCCCTTCTCCAGTATCTGGCTTTGGCCTCTTGTTTAGTATGTAGTATTTAGCACAGTGTTCTACATAAACAGGCATTTAATGTTTGTTGACTGATATTATCAATAAGTAGGATGGGCATGTGGAATAGTAGACAAAACATCAATCTAGAAGTCAAGTGACCTGGTTTCAACCAATCAGCATTTATTAAGTGATTACTATGTTCCTGACTTAGGCACTAGGGCTACAAACAAAGAAGTGAGAATACTTTTCAAGAAGTTTACATGCTATGGGGGAGTGGAGATGGGGGTGAGGAAGGAATATATGTTCACAGATAAACAGCACATACGCTCCTTTTGTAAAACCAGGAAGTTATATTAGATGATCCTTAAACCCCATTCCAGCTCTAAAATTCTGTGATTATATCAATCAACTCATTCTACCTGACCATGTCCTTGGAAAAAATAAACTTTTTTCAAAGGCTACAGATTAGTGTAATTCTAGTTTACCTAAAACATTCATTCTCCAGAAAGTAGGAGGAAAAGAAGACTTTAAAGAAAAGCAGTTTCACCTTGGCAAAGTTCTCCACAGTGGTTCTGAGATACAGCATCACCTGCTTCACAGAAAGCAGTATCTGCTGCATCGGGAGCTGAGCAATCCTTTCTCTCAGCTTCCCCTGGACATCCTCTTCTAAGAGGAGGGTGCTCCCCTTCTCATAAGTACCTGTTAACAAGATGGAAAAGGCAGAGCCAACCACAAGTGATGCCTCAGTGGGTCTGGCAGCTTGAAATTCCTTTGGAAAAACAGCAAAAGCATAAAGAAAAAATCAAAACAGAAACAAAGCTACCAAATCCTAAACTTTTAAACTGATCAATGTGAATATCCAATTCCTTTTATAGTGTAATTGTGATGATGTATTAACAGATCAAGCTTTTCTATAACAATTAGATATTTTGCTACAATGAAAAAACTAAAATTGATGTGATAACATATGATACTTACAGATTTAATTGTACATTGTACCACAAACAATTAAAACACTATAATTAGGAATAGTGGTAACAGAATTTACAACTAATATTCCTTTTTTTTTTTTTTAAAGGCAATTGGGGTTAAGTGACGTGCTCAGGGTCACACAGCTAGTAAGTGTCCAGTGTCAGGTCCTGAGACCAGATTTGAACTCAGGTCCTCCTGACTTCAGGGCTGGTGCTCTATATACTGCGCCACCTAGCTGCCCCTAATATCCCTTTAAAAGAAACCAATAATCCTTAACTTTAATATGTTGCACAAGAATAAGAGGGAAAAGGGAATAAAGATGAATTCTGAAGCTGTAAAATCTAACCAACTTATTCTTTCCAGTGTAATTAATAAATTCCACTGTTACCTCACCAGGCTTTCCAACACTATCCTATAAGGATACTCTAGATGTGACTTCCTGACTCTTATGAAAAGAAAGAAATTAAATTTTGTGGAAATCTGACATAAGTATTTATAGAATGCCCTTGAGAATGTGTGATACCTCCACTTATTTAGCAGTTTGCTTTCACTGAGTAAGTTAACCATTATGAATCACATAAAATGCCCTGGATGCATAGATTTTTTTGAATACCTCCACAATTTTAAATAAAAATTAAACATGTCTATCTAAAAACTGATTATGAAGTAGGGCAAATGTTCTGAATGCCCCATGATCTGAGCTGATGTTACAGTATCACGTTACAAAGGAGTTAATCCTCAACTAGAGAAGAGAATCAATTCTTTCTTTTCAGTTCCTCAATTTTAGCAGGATTCAGCTGTTTGTCTTTCAGCAGCTGTGTCGAACTATTAAACTCAGATAATCCAACAATGCATTAGTCTCCTTTAAGACATTTAATCCAAACAAATGTTTGTAAAAAAAATTTTTGTTTAAATACTATCCCTCTAAACGAGGGGTTCTTAAGTTTTTGTGTGCTATGGATCCCTTTGGCAATCTGGTAAAGTTTATGGATCACTTTTCAGAATGTTTTTAAATTGCTGAAAGTCACGTTAAATTTCAGTTAGAGGTTAGTCAAAACAAAGATACATTTTTTTATCCATCTAAGTTCATGGACTCCTTGGGACTTTTTGGGCCCTGGGTTAAGAACCCCTGTTCTAAGCTGTAGTGGTGATAATGAGACTATTATCATTAGGGAGTAATGGTAAATTTCATTTTATTACATCTTTGATGTATCTGTGCCTTGTTTTCATCATCTACAAAGTGGGCATTCTATTTCGTTCCCTATCAAGTAGCATCTAATACAGTTTTATTGTAACCATGTACAGCCTGAAAGAAATAATAGTATCTACATACATTTTAGGATAGAATATAAATTTCACTACTAATCACATTTTTTTTTTCAAAATCAAACACAAAATAATTGCAGATAAGTCTCACCAAAGTTTCTCTGGCTTGCTTAGGTATCCACAGGCTGTAGTATTTGTTGAATTGGCAAAGCCGAGCACACAAAGATGTGCTTGAAAGTTGCAAATTGTCATAAGACTGAAGCATCAGACAAAGAGCCAAAGGATCTCTTTGTGTATGTAGGAGGTCTGTCAGAACAGCTATGAGATATGCCAGTATGCTTTCTCCTAAGAAGATAATTACACATTTAGAATATTTGCCCAATCAAGCCTGTAATTAATCAATTCAATCTTTGTCATACACATATACATCCCAATTAACTTCATGCTACAACACAGCATGTTCAACATGGTTCAAATGTAGTTATGTGGCACACCCCTAAAAGCTTCCCCTCAATCAATCATTAATCAATACTCTTTTAATATGATTTGTTCACATTACCTATAATGAAGTCAGTATTAACAAGACAGTGTGAAAGACCAGCTGAAATAAACTATCTACTAGATGCCTCTAGAATACTGGAGTGCTGGATTCAGGAAGGTAACAGTTTGAATCTTGCGTCATCCACCAGCTGTGTAACCTTGGACAAGTCACTTAACTAACTTTTCTCATAGCCACAGTTTCTTCCTCTGTAAAATTAGGTAATAATGACAACTACCTTACAGGGTATTGTGAGGTCCAAATGAGATAACACAAGCAAGTGCTTTGCAAACCTAAAAGGTTTTTTTAAATGCTAGCTATTATCATTATCGTTACTATTTATGTCTTCCCAAACACAACAATCAGCCTAATACAACTTAATCAAAAAAGGAGGTGATTTATTCTGGATAGAATTTAGCTCCTAGTGATCACTGCTTCTTTTACTAAACAGATTAGTGCTAAACCACTCTCTTTAAATATTCACCATATTTATACATATTCTGTTCCTCAGGGAACAGAAACTAAGCCCCGTGGACACATGAAGCAAAAGCCACATGTATTCATCTTGTACATGTTACATGCCTACATGCCTATGGAAATTTATAAACTGCAGGGAATGTCAGATGAGGAGAGTCAGAACTCTTGCTGCTTCAAGCTTCCAATAACTGAACTGAATTATCCCTAGTACTAAATGCACTGTGCCATGGGCTTCCCTATTAACTATTTTCCCACAAAGACATAGCCACTGTTAGGCAGCTAATATGCAGAGCCAAAAAAAGGTACCTGAATCATGTCCAGTCCCAAGAAGCGATCTATTCCTGCTGTCCAGAGCAGCAGGAACTATGGCACTAAAAGGGAACGTCATCAGGATCATATCTTCACTTAATGAGAACCCAATTTCCTCATCTAAGCCTTCGCTGTCCTCCATGAGGACATCCACCATATCCAGGATATCTACAAGATAAGGAAACAAGAAATTATCAAATTCAAATGAACACAGAGACAGGACTGAAATCCAAATGGTTCCATGAGGAAGTATAAACAAGAGGATGCGAACAATAACTATTTGAGAACAAGAAAGATAAAAAGCTTGATTATAATCCATTATAAATAAGAATTTGGACTCTAAGGTCTCAAGACCCTTTTCCGAATTAAAGCAACTTCGAGGTTACATCTCACACTCATCAGACTAGCAAAACTGACATAAAAGGAAAATGACAAGTGCTAGAGGAGTTATGAGAAAACAGACACATTAACACACTGCTGATGGGGTTACAAGCTGACTGGCCATTCTGGAAAGCAACATGGTACTATGGCCAAGAAGTCACTAAACTGCATATCCTTTGACCCAGTGACAACACTACTAGGCCTAGTTCCTAAAGAGATCAATGCAAGAGAAAAAGGACCCTTATGTACAAAAATGTTTATAGTGGCTCTTTTCCTAATAGAAAAGAACTACAAACTAATGGAGTGCCCATCAAGTGGAGAATGGATGAACACATTATGGCATATGAATATAATGCACTACTACTATATTGTGCCATATGAAATGATAAAGGGGACTGTTTCACAGGAGCCTGGGAAGACTTGTATGAACTCATGAAAAGTGAATTGAGCAGAATCAGAATAGTTTACACAATAACAACAACAATGTAAAAAACAAATCGCTTTGAAAATCATAAGAACTTTGATCAAAACAATGACTAACTGTGATTCTAGAGGTCAAGCAATGAAACAATGTTACTGGCTAACCAAGAAGTAGAGGAATAAGACATTTTTTCTGACGTGGCTGACGTAGGAATTAGTTTTGCTTACCAAAAATATTTGTTAAAAAGGTTTTGTTTTTCTTTTCTAATGTTGGGATTGGATAGAGTAGCAGAAGGGAGAGAAAATTTCTTTTGGCTAACTGAAAAAATAAATTAAAAAGAAGACCCTTGCCTAATAAAATATATGATATTTAGTTGAACAGATAATACAAGCTTTCCCTAGCTTGAAATTCCCAGAAGAGACTCTGGGGGAGAAAAAGATTAAAAAAAAAAACCTTAATAATTTTAAGTTGTGAATTAAGGTGAGAAAAAAACAAAACCAAAAACAAACATGGACTAATGGATAGAGTTGGCCTTGGGGACAAAAAGAAGTGGGTTCACGTTCTGCTTCTGACACACTGTAACTTACTTAACTTCTCAACTTCCCAGAAAACTGCCTAAGACTTTAAGTTGCTGAAGTGTTGCCAATCTGCACTGACAGAGTAAACATCCTTCTTAGTCATTCTCTCCATCATTTCAATATGTCCCCTCCAACAAATTAAGGTGACTGAGCTGGTCTCTACCAGATAACACAAGGCACTTGCATTTGCTATTAAATTTCATGATAAAATTATAAATGAAACATTTATTTCATTCCTAACATTGACTGACTCCATAACTGGAAAAAGTCATGACTTGGCAGGTATGACATAGGATCACAGACTAAGAGCTAGAAGCAATCATCAAATCCTACAATCCTAGAATTTTAGAGATGAGAAACTGGAGTCCAGAGAGGTTATGTGGCTTGCCTAATGTCATACAGGCTTAAGCCAATGATCTGAGATTCAAATCCAGGACTCACAAGCACAAATCGAGTGTACTCTGCATTATTCCATTCTATGTCTCATGTTTACTACAGTAACAGTCACCTTTAATGGAACTGCCACAAAGCATTAAACTTCTCTTTTCTGCTTTACAACAGCCTTCTGTAATTTGATCTTTAAAATTGTGGGTTAAAGCCAGAGGACAAGAATGACACGAGTACATACCATCAATGTGGGATATAGGTATGCTAACATTATCAGCATCTTGCTTCATCATAGTAGCTTGCAGTGTACTGGCTTCTTGAACAAAGTCAGCCGCCTTATCTGTGTATGAATAAGGATTTGTTACCAACTGCAACAAAACCTGAATATCAAAGACAAAAAACAAGACGTTATCATTGGCTGCATGGGCAAATACAAAAAATGTTAATGTTCAAAAGCAAGAATTGATTCATAAAAATTTTATCTTTCTACCAATAAAAACAACTTTATTAGCAGTTTTTTTCCCCTTTGCTGTTTGTTTTTTCTTTAATATCTGTGTAAGTTTCAAGTATACCATTTTAAGGTTATAATACCATTAATGAATGAATAGAGCTTTCAGACTGACCAAGACGTGCCTAGAAGTCACTGACCCAGACAAGCTAACACTCTTTTCCATTTGTTACACCACTGATCTTTTAAGCAATTCTGCCACATCCTCTAGGGGGTTTTCAGCAAGCTTTAACAATGCCTTCATGATATTAGAAGAATCAAGTAGCACCGTGAAGAGAATTTAAAACTTTTGTTACATTGCAGAAGAAATTTTTAAACTGAAATTCAAAGTCTTCGTTGAAAAGCTACTTTAAAAAATTAAGGTTCTAATTGTCAAGAGGAAAAAACCCCCCAAAATCTTGATCAATCTCCTTTTACATTTAGGGATATGAAAAAAATCCTTACACATTCCAAAAACTGAATCACTACTTCTTTTCCCTCTTCTGCTGTGTTATCTAACTGTTCCAACCACAGCTCTAGTTCCTTCCATGTGTACTCAAATACTCCAGTGTCACGTAAAATCTGTCAGAAAGAAAAGCAACAAGTGAAAAAAAGGAAGCTAAATTCTAGCAAGACAAACACATCTCAAACATATTTTACCTTAATGATGCTCCTACAAAATGAGCAAACTAAAATACTACCAAGTGGATACAGTGCTGGAGCTGGGTTAGGAAGACCTGAGTACAAATCTGGCCTTAGACTCTTATTAGCTATGTGACCTGGGCAAGTAATTGAACCAGTCTGCCTCAGTTTCCTCATCTGTAAAATACGGATAATAACAGCACAATCCAGATAGCATCAAATGAGAAAATATTTGTAAAATGCTTTGCATATCTTTAAGCACTAAATAAACACTAGCTGCTATGATCATGATTATTACAATTATGATTGTTAAGTGGATAAGAAGATTTTTTTAATTTGGAGAATTTTTTTTAACCAAAAGTTATCTTATTTTAATGATTAGTCTTTAAAAACATAAATAAGTGCTTACAAGCAAGTGGAGGAATGACAAGATTATTTTGTTCTCTAGAATGGAAACTCAGCCTCTCTTGCTCTTGTTGATCTTTTTTTTTTTGGCTTAGCTCTTTCTAAAATGAAAAAAGAAAAGTCTTCTACATCTACTAAGAACATTCTCTACCTGGTTCTCTACTAAAGATCCAAAGATCTAGGTAAAGAAATCTCCTTTATAAGAGTAAATTTATTTTGCTATTTCACGGTCACTCAAGCACATTACAAATTCTACTACATACAGATTATCCCTCTACTTATTCTTATCCAGTCATGGCACCACAGTGATGATTTATACTAGAACCTATTAAACTATGTATCCGAGAACAGAATCTAAGAGAGGACAAGGCTGTCTTAGAAGCCCCATCACTAAAGTGGAACTGTGGCATGGGGTATTATAACAACAAAAAACAAAGTTACAAATATTGTATATAACACAGTAAAAACCCGTTAATTCAGATTGAAATTTGTGATATTTCACTCTGGATTGGGTTGAAGCTCAATTCTGAGGCAGCTAGGTGGCATAGTGGACAGAGTGCTGGACCTGGAAACCAGGAAGTCCTAGGTTCAAATTCCACTTCAGACTCTACTAGCTATGTGTCCATGGACAAGACAATTAACTTCTCTCAGCCTCAGTTTCTTCAACAACAAAATGGGGATAATAACAGTTGTATCATTTATCTTATAGGCAGTTACAAAGATTAAGTGAGATAATAAAAATGAAGCATTTTATAAACCTTAAAGCCATGGGTGTGCTAGAACCAGCTTTAATCTGTTCCTGAAAACCACTTGTTGAATTTTCAGAACAAGCATTTACACCTCAGAAATACACCAACACTACTAATACATGCTAATAAATCAAGGGTTGACTGATTGCTTTGATTGCCTTTAAAAGGCGATGGAAAAATGTCAGTAATAGAGATTAAATATAAAAGTGTATCATGTCAACATTTTTTTTTCAGAGAACTGGTTGTTGAACATTTACAAGCACTCTTCTGCTTAAAGCACTATATAAATGTCAATTATGATGATGATTTACAGAAAATGTGTCACAGAGAATAAGGCCTGCGGGAAGGATCTGCAAGTCCATAAGCATAAGTTCCAGTTTTGAAATTTCCTCTACCAATGTAAACTGCAATCTACCTGTGTTTTAGTAGATAAGTTCTAGGGAGTTGTCTGAGCCATAGGGATAAAACAATTTGCCCAGGGTTACACAGCTAGTAAAAGTCAAAGGCAGAATTTGAACCCAGATCTTTATAACTCCAAGGCCAGAATCCTATCCACTATTCCATGTTGCCTTTCATATAAATGAAAACACCTTAGTTTATTGCCTAGATCAAAGACCTGGGAGGTCCTAGGTCATAAAACAGTGCTCCTATGAATCATTAAACAGTCCTTACCAAGAGTATCTAAGCTAAAACTGAGACATGCAGCAGAAAAACCTATTTTTAAGTTTATCTTTTAAGGCAACAAGAGCTTTAACACCCAGCAGCCAATATATAATAAAATAAAAATATCTCAAATATAAAACAGTGGGAAATTCTTACCTTCATAATCAATTGCTTTGTTGATGCTTTGAGCTGTGAGTGTTTACTTGTTACAAACATTTTCATCAGCAAATAAAATACAGATCTTTCCCCACCATTTAGACTTTCCTAAAGGAACAAGGGATATAATATTTTAGGTACAATTTACTCCTTTTGAAATAACCTAGAAGCTGAGGTTACTCATGAAAGAGAAGCACTGTACATTCCTGATTTGTGACAAAAAAAAAACCAAACAAACCCTGTTAAGCCTGCATTTTTAACTCAAGATTGTGGTTTTTATTAATGAGGAAGCAACACTTCAAAATATAAAGCTAAAGACAACACCACCAACAAAAGACAGCAAGGAAATCAACTGACAGTGCCAGGGTTTCTCCTGATGTATTGATTTATGATTGATTCATTACAGCTCCAACTTCCACATAAAGATCTAGAAGGACTGAGCTGAAGAAAACTGTGAAGGTGATATGGAAAGCTCTGGAACTGGGAAAGCCAGAGACTGAAGTTGGAATGAAAGGTCAAATTTGTAAGGATTTTAGAATTTAAAAGAGAAGGAAAAGGCAGAGAAAAGCAAGAACTAAAAGATGAAGAGCCAGAGAGGAAGAAGGTACAAAAGGACCTGAGATGAAGAAGACTCAATAAGAACAGCAGTAATAGATCAAGCCTAAATAATAACAATGACAATACTAACTAAAGTGATTGTTTATTCAATGCCATATGAATAAAAACATAAAAGGATTACTTTATAGAACTAGAAAAAAAGAAATTTATTTGGAAGCATAAAAAGCCAAGAATCTCAAGAGGAATAAAGTGGGAAAGATGAGGGTTTAGCCCTCATCTCAAACTGTATCTCAAACTATAAACTACACATCAGTAGTAATCAAAACAATTTGGTATAAGTTAAGAAACAAGATATAGATTTATCAGTGGACTCAATTAGACATGCAATATACAGAAGCAAAAGAGCAAAGTCCTCAGCTACTAGGGTAAGAATCTACTATTTGACAAAAACTGATCCATTTATCCGCACTATCATCCTATTTCAATCCTCCCTTTAATGGCTGAACATCTTGAGGAGGCTGTCTCCAATTACTGCCTCAACTTCCTTTCCTCCCATTATCTTCTTTATTCTCTGTAATCTAGCTTCTGACCTCATTGTTCAATTAAAACCATTCTCTCCCAAGTTACCAGTGATCTCGATTGCCAAATTAGCCTTTTCTCAATCCTCGCCCTTCCTGACCTCTCTGCAGCTGCTGACACTATCCATCACCCTCTTCCCTCTAGGATTTCATGCCGCTCTCTCCTGGTACTCCTGAGGGTCTGACTGCTCCTCAGTGTCCTATGCTAGATCTTCATTGAGGTCATGCCTGCTGAAGGTGGGTGAATGACAAGGCTCTGTCCTGGGCCCTCTTCTCTCTATATACAATTTCATTTGGTGGTTTCATCAGTTCCCATGGATGAATTATAATCTCTATGTAGATGATCCCAAGATCCACTTGTCCAGCTTTAGCCTTTATTTTAATCCCTAATCTTATACTTCCAAACACCCAGTGTACACCTTAAACTGAATGTCACATAGACAGATTTTAAACTCAACATACCCTCCCCTCCATGCTGTTGCTCACACAAGACCCTCTGTCTCCCAACTCCCTGCATTTCCAGGGGCTGTCCTCCTTGCCTGGAATGCCCTCCCTCCTCATCTCTGCCTCTTTGTTTCCTGTAAGTCTCAGCTAAAATCCCATCTTCTAGAAGAAGCCTTTCTTAGCCCCTGCTAATGCCTGTGCCTTATTGACATAAGGTGGATTGTCTCAAATATATCCCATATGTATCTTATTTGTACATAGTTGTCTGTGTGTTGTCACCATGCCTTGAGGACAGAGACTATTTTTGTCTTTCTTTGTATCTCCAGTGCTTAGCATAGTGCCTGGTATATAAACAAGCACTTAACAAATGTTTATTCACTTGATTCAAAATAATAAATCAGAGAAATGAAAATTAAAGCAACTCTGAGGTTTGCCATAAGATTGGCAAAGTCGATAAAAAAGGAAAATAAAAATGTCAGATGAGATGTGGGACAGTATGTATGTCCAACACATTAGGACAGCTAGGTGGTACGGTGGATAGTGCACTGGCCCTGGAATCAGGAGCACCTGAATTCAAATGTGATCTCAGCTACTTAATGGCTATGTGACCCTAGTCAAGTCACTTAACCCGGAATGCAGGAAGGAAGGAAGGAAGGAAACACATACATTAATGAACCAATGGTAGAGCTGTAAATTGGCCTGGCCATTCCGGAAAGCAATTTGAAACTATACTCAAAAAGTCACTAAAATGTGCATATCCACTGACCCAGTGATATCACTACTATACCAATACCCCAAAGTGATCAAAGCAAGAGAAAAAAGACTCTACAAAAACACACACACACACACACATATATACATATATACACACATACACATATAAAATATAATATACAATATCACATATTATTATATTAAATATAATATATAAAATCTATATAAAAGTGTTACAAATGTATTATGTATGTGTATATGTATACCGTGTATACATCCTCCCCCCCTCACACACACAGACAGAGCTCTTTTCTAATAGGAAAAAACTGCAAACTAAGAGGGTGCCCATCAACTGGATAATGGCTGAATAAATTATGGAAGGTCATAGAATACTACTGTGTCATTAAGAAATGATAAAGGGGATAGATTCAGAGAAACCCATTAAGACTAGTATGAACTAAGAAAAAGTGAAGTGAGCAGAACCAAGAGAACAATTTATACAATAAAAACATTGTAAAGAGAAAAAACTTTGAAAGACTTAAGAATTCTGATTAAAGCAATAACCAACCAGTATTCTGGAGGACTCATAAAATATGCTTCCCATTTCCTGTCAGAGAGGTAATGGACTCAAGAGTGCAGAATGAGACATGGCCAGTGAAGGAATCTGTGCATGTTTATTACCAAGGCTTTATTTTTCTTTATTTCTCAAGGGGGAGGGACGAAAGGGTGGGAAGAGAGAGGAAACAAATTTGTTAATTGAAAAAGAAAATGTAATTTTTTAAAAAGAAGTACTAGCACTCAACTGGAATCCTGATGTAGGATGAACTGATGCTGAGCGAAGTGAGGAGAATCAGAACATTGTACATAGTAACAGAAACATTGTGTGATGACCAACTTTGATAGACAACTTCTCAGCAATGCAATGATCTAAAACAATTCCAAGGGACTCATGACGGAAAAGCTATCCACATCCAGAGAAAGAACTATGGAGTCTGAATGCAGATCAAAGCATACTATTTTTTCTCTTTTCTTTTTTGTGGTTTTTCCCTTTCATTCTGATTCTTCTTTCACAACATGACTAATGTGGGAATGTGTTTAATATGATTGCACATGTATAGTCTATAATCAGATCGCATGTTGTCTTGTGGGGGAGGGAGGGAGAAAAAAATCTGGAACTCAAAATCTTGTAAAAGTGAATGTTGAAAACTATCTTTGTATGTAATTGGAAAAAATAAAATACTATTAAGTGGCGGGAAAAAAGAAAAAAATAGAATCTCAATGTAGGTCCTTATTAAAGAGGAAACATTATAAACTCAAAGGTACACTGCATCTTTTCCAATCAAAGTAAGCAGTCCAGTATGAACTGTACAGAAATGATTCCATCAGAAGTAGAGAAGAACAAATAATACAAATCATCTCTAAGTACAAGGGGGTCTTCCTAATTAAGAGAATTCTTCTAAGGAAACCATCAAGTACGTGATTTTTCTAAGTCTAGCAACTTCTAATGGCTTGATATCCCTGTTCTTCAATAATGAAGCCTCAGGAAGTTAAACCCAAGTAATGGTATATTTAGGAGTAAAATGCCATACCATTCTTAAGTATTTCTTGAGATTACTTAAAAATAATTATCTAATATCACTTCCATGTTGCTGATTCTGATGAAGAGACACTACCACATTATTATGTTAAAAACCAAATTTGTTTTTTATAGTTATTCTTAGGGACTCTCTATTGCCTACTGAATACAGCATAAACAGTAACTGCAGCATTTAACAACCTCCACAAGGTACAGTGGAAAAAGTAGTAAATTTCGAGTCAGAGGATCTGGGTTAGAATCGTGGGTCAGCTACTTATTACCCATGTGATTGTAGCAAGTCATAATCTCAGTGTTCTCAACTATAAAACAAAGGAGTTGAACTAGAAAAAGTCTACCTCTATATCCAAAAGCCCATGATCTTACTGACACTATGGCTCCAATCTACCATTCTATTCTAGCCTTCTCTCATGGGATGCCCTTTCACGTACTCTCTGTACATACAAACTGGACAACTCACTTACCCATCCCCAGTTTGCTCTCTCTCCCTCTCTACACCTTTGCTCCTGCTAGCCTCCATGCCCACAATGGGCTCATTTCTACCTCATCATCTCCACCTGTTGAAATCTTCTTTCAAGTTCCAGTGGAAGTGACCCCATCTCCATTAAGGCTTTCCTGATCCCCAAGCCTGAAGTGAACTGTCTCTCCTCAGACTTCTCAAGGAATTCTGCATGGCCCCTTCCTTTGTACTCATCAAGTTCTACTTCACATTATAGTTGGTTACAGAGATGTCATGAAATACCAGTCTCTGAAGAATTAAAGTGCAGATGAACCAAAGGGAAATAGAGGTGCATAGTAACTGTGAGCAAGCTGAGCCACGTTACCAATGAAGAATTATGCAAAAAGATCATAAAAGATAATATCAAAGATGTATAAGTCTAGAAAAGGTTGTATTCTGGTCTTGCAGTGAGACTGATGGATAAATAAATGACAGATAGCCCATATACTCCACTACTCCATACAATATCACAAGATCTAGAGGAAGATCCTCCCTCCATAGGACTACATGGGAGGACAAGGACAAGAGTCATACTGGATGACAGGGAATGAATGAGCTGCCCATCTGAGTCACTGGAGAGTACACACACCAATTAGATTATATGTATCAATAAAAATACAGAAGAAATGTACGTGTCCAATTTCTTGTTCCACTATGCTGAAAACTCTGTGAACTTACAGGCAAAATGCCTGAAGACAAATTTCATAGTTTATGTTGTCATTAAACACACAAGTTGGCTCTTCTTTTTCACAGATCTGGACAAGGACATGGACCTCTAAAGACCTGGCTGACCAATTTTGTTCAACCTCAACCTCAACCAACCAACATTTTTCTTCAACCTCCTACTCTCATAATAATTCATGATTATGCTAGAAATACATCCAGCTGGGACCTACATAAGATTTTTAGTACACTATATCAATCTCAGGCCCTGAAGTTATATGATTGACAAAAAACTAGTGGTCCCACCTGTCCTTTTAACCAGGCAAATTTGCTGGCAGGCAATTCCAGGGCCACCTTCAGAATACAGTACTGAAGAACAGGAGGAACTTCCTCTTGAAATCCCTCTTCTGAAATGATACCTAGAGTTTGAAGAGAAAAAAATTTATGAGTCTTGGGAGAACAGCCATAAGTTAGAAATTTCCTATGGCAGTTGCTGCTTCTGGGTCAAATTCCCACAATTAGATGAACCAGACAAAAGGCTTGGTTTTCAGAATAGAAAAGGAAGCTAAGTAAACAGTACTACATGAAGCATCTTTGATTCCTACAGTAATTTTTTTTCACTCCCTACATTCAATCATTCACCAAATACTATCGATTCTTCTTTCCAAGTATTTCTTGTTTTTGTCCTTTGCTGACCATTCCCAAAGCTACCACTATTGTGGTACCTTATCACCTCATGCCTGGACTATTCTAATTGGTCTGCCTGATCTCAGCCTTTTTCCAATTAGCTACTTTCCAATTAACCTTGCATACTTGATAATCATGTCACAATACACTAGAAATATTTCAGAGTGGAATATTCTTGACCGCCCTGGTCTATTCCAACAGCATGCTGGTAGGTCTCTCTGCCATAGGTCTACTCTAGATAACCCTCCACTATTCTGTCAAAGTAATCTTCCTAAAGCCACCAGCCTTCACAGTGAACCATATTTTCCAAGCTAGCTTTTTCCCATCCTCCTCTGTGACTTTCACAATTAAATCATCAAATATCAAAGTATGTGTTGACTGTAGGGAATGGGATCTTGTCAAGGTTTTCTAAAAGCTCCCTACTTCATCCATTACAATGAATGGTGGTGAATAAGCAGTAGTCACCTTTGCAGTGTTGTTGCTGCTTGCATCATGAATGCTGTAAGGCAAAAAGAGGAAATAGTATCCTATGACATTTTCTGTTTCACACAGATCTGTTTGCTTCTTAGTACATGAAGGAATCAAGTCCTCTAACCTTGAGTAGAAACCTGAAAGCCATCATTTACCTGTTTTTCTTTAGGTCTCATTTACATTAGGTTTCATTTACATTTAGGGTATAAATACAGAATATAGTTTAGTTCCTCCAGTATTTTACCAACTTGGTCATTAGAAAAAGATCACAGGTTAAATGCACCAGAAGTTAAACTAATACTTGTAGACAGCCTAAGATTCTGATAACCATTCACTCCCCTTTTTTCCCCTATCATGACAAAAGAGGAATGGGGTTTCATGGGACTGAAACAAATCTGCATTTTTTGTCCATTTTATGAGTTGCTACAGTTGAAAAGAACAAAATATATCAGCAGGTGGCCAATCTTCCTATAATGAAATGTATCAAACAAGCTAGCCTAGTCCTCAGAAAAACCCAGGCGGCTTACAGTCCACTTTTGTTGATCTAGTCTGTGTAGCATACTTAACAAATAGCTCTACCACTCCCAATAACATTTCTGATACCACTAACCCACTGTCAATTGTTATAGGGAAAGGACGACACACTCATTTTTCATATTGCGCTAGGCAAAAATAGCCAAGAAGATAAATTTGTCAGAGATAATATACATTAAAGCATCTCAAGAAAGGTTGCCTACTCTTCTGGAATATTTGCAGTACTGCTCAATGCCAGTGGCAGAGATAACCAAGGAATAACAGACATACCTTTTAGAAGCTTGCTGAAGTCAAATGTACATTGGATGACAACATGGGGAACCACCATCTGGTAAAGACAAATGACCTGAAGTAAAATAGCCTTCAAAAGAGTTGTTTCTGCATCATCTAAGCCAAATAAAACCAAGATGAATTAGAGACTATAGTCATTTTTTTCTTTTAATCAGTTACACCTTAGCAATCATGTCAGTTCTAACACCAAGAAAAAATTTACATTCACTTCTATAATGCTGCTAAGAAGATCCAGAGAAAAAAAGTTTTCAAATACTAATTAAAACAAGTTGCATGATCAACTATGCAAAACTATGCTATGTTTAAAAAAAAGGACATAAAACAGCAACTAGGCACTGAATTTGGCTCAGAATACAGCTGTGGGCAGCCACATTATGGTGTGCTGTACAGTGAGCAGATTTGTGGGGTAGCAGATGGGTCAAGAGACTCATCATGGTATATCAATCAAAAAGCCTTTATTAAATGCTTACCTGTCATGGGCCAGGTACTCTGCTGAGGATACAGAGACAGAAGTGAAATAGACCGTATCCTCAAAGAACTTGCATTCTAACAAGGCAAGTAACATATACATATATAATTATATAAACAATGAATAATGGTAGTTTTGAAGCAATTGAGGGAAATCAGGAAAGGCTGCATGAAGGAGGTAGAGCTGGAAATGAGTCTTGAAGGAAGGCATAATAAATAGGTGAGAAGGGGGTACATTCCAGGTATTGGGGAAAGACAGTATAAATGCATGGAGATGGGAATGGAATATATTGTGTGTGGAAGTGAGTACATCCATATGGCTGAACTGTAGAGTTTATGGAAGAGAAATAATATGTAAGAACACTGGAAAGGTAAGAAGGGGACAGGTGGTAAGGACATTTAAATACCAAAGAGAAGAATTATATATTATCTTAGAGATAATAAGGAGCCACTGTAGTTTAATGTGTGTGCTTGGGGGCAGGAGGGAGGGGGAGAAAGAGAAAGGGTTGACATAATCAGACATGAGCTTTAAAAAAACCACTTTAGTGGTTATGTGGAGGAGGAAGAGAAGTTTAAGGTAGAAAGACCAACCATGAGGCTACTGGAATAGTCCAGATGAGAAGTGATGAGAGCCTGAATTAAGGTGGTAGCTGTTGAGTATTGAGAAACGGATACACACAAGAAATGCTGTAAAGATAAAAAATGGCAATTGACTAGATATGTGAGTTGAGTGAGGATGGGCTGATGATGAGTACGTGTTAAACATAAGTCTATTTTACAAGCCAAATTTTTAGAGAGGAAAACAGCTATTTTTTATCTAATTCTTTGAAGATATAAATAACTTAGGAAAACTGATGTTTCAATGTAAATGGTTCAAGATAAACTGTCATGTAATCTATTCCATACTTTTTTTCCAAAAAGAATTTAGGGTAAAAAAAAAAGTATAGTATACACTTTCAAAATGCCAGAAATACTTCAGAACTTGAACTTACTCTAAGAATCTTTCAGTAAGAATAATTTCAAGGCTACACCATACTTTACAGATTTTTACCAAAGGGCAAAAAACAGGTCATTTGCACGTACTTAGAGGATGCACACATATACTCACCATGTTTGTGATCTGCTTCTCTAGTTTCAGTCATTTCATCCTCAAGTGAACTTTTCTTTTCTAACCCACCATCTTCACCTGCTTTTTGCTTTCCAAGTGATTGCCACACACATACAATATTGTTCAGATCTGGTAAAAGCTATACAGGGAAAAGAAAACAGTCAACACAAATGGTGTATTCCCTAAACCAACATATTCCCTTCTCACCACTGCTGGGGTAGTGAGAGAAATTATTATTTTTCTTATATATTCATAACCAATTATTAAGATTAAGCCTTCTCCCTTTCTATTTCCTCACTCAGAAACCAACCCCTGTAGATTATTATTCAGCCAGTTTCTGAAAGATATTGCTGATAAATGAGATTGCCCAGATTCTCAGGGTATATGCTTTTAGATCTTGGGTGAGACCCCCACCCAACTAGAAGACTTTACAAATAGAATCCAGTCTAGGCAAGATCTTGCCCTTGGGAAATAAGCCCCCTGTCCTTGGGACCTTCCATTAGAATTTAGGGTGACCTAGCTTATAAAGAGGAAAGCCAGCCAGAGCAGTCTAGGTAGAGATGGATTCTTTTCTCCAGATCACTGGAGGCAGCTGAGTCTCATGATCTGGTCACACTCTCAGTAAAAGGAGCCGAAGACTTTTTGCCCACTTCCCTCAGTAATACATCTACTCCCTCATTGATTGGTGAACAATCACAGTTAATTTCTACCCCTCAGGTACACCCCTTTTCCAAGCATTTTTTAAGCACTGAATGTTGGGGGGGGGGGAAGACAGGTCTTTGGTTTATGAGAGAAAAATCAATGATCATCACTTTGTTAATTATTTGCCAGCCATAATTAATAAAACTGGTTATTACATGCCCTGAAATTATATCTCTCAGAATTTTCATTTGTCACAGTGGAGAAAAAACCAGGACAAAAATTCAGAGTGCCAATAAAGAGCCCCCTTTCTGCCATGTTCCAGGAAATTCATGTTCTCCTGGTGAGCTAATCCATCTTCATTATGCATAGTTTTCCATTGGACTTTTTCCTCTGTAAGGTTTATAAATGTACTGAACCACCCTTTATAATATTGTTTCTCCAGGAAAATACTTTGAAGTCCCTTCAAGAAAATGGGCTGTGAATTTTTTTAAAAACTGACTTAAAAATTAACTTCTGGCATACAACTTGTTGGTAATCTGAGGAAAGACCACCTGTGCTGCTAAACTGTATGTGAAAAAAGCTGATCCTGATGTTTGCATCACTTTCTCACACTTTAGTACACACAGTACAATCCCTGGATAAAGGATACCAATAGTTCACTCTTCTATGGCACTTTTAAGGATCTACAAAGCACTTTCTCCACAATATTCACAACAACCCTTCAAGGCAGGTGGCCTGGCTATTTCTGGCTTTAAGTAAGACAGGTCTGAAGAAATATGGCTCAAAGGGATAGAATGCTGGACAGCAAGAGCAGATTTCTATTCTGCTTCTGACAGTAGCTGTAAGAACACAAGAAAGTCTAGGTGGCATAGTGGATAGAGAACCAGGCCTGGAATCAGAAAGATTTATCTTCCTGAGTTCAAATCTGGCCTCAGACACTTACTTAGCTGTATGACCCTGGGCAAGTCACTTAACCCTGTTTACCTCAGTTTCCTCATCTGTAAAATGAGCTGGAAAAGGAAATGGCAAACCACTCCAGTATCTTTGCCAAGAAAACCCCAAATGGGGTCATGAAGAATCAGACAAAACTGAACAACAGTAACAACAAAGGAGTAGTGAAGCTCAAATGAGATAATGTATATAACTTTAAAGCATGATACAAATTACATTGCTAGTAGAGTTATGAATTGATGCAATCTTACTGGAAAACAATATAGAATTATTTCATAAGAGTTATAAAACTGTTCCTACTCATTCCTAGATCTTTGCCTTCATTTACTACTGACCCATTTGAAAAGACTTATGAGTAAATTTTAGGAGCACAATTTGTAATTAAAAACTGGAAACAAGTTGTGTCAAATTACTGGAGAGCAGTAGAACAAACTGAGGTATCTGAATGCAATGGAATATGATTGCACTGGAGGAAATGACAAATACATGAAGAATATAAAAAACTGGTAAGACACACAAAGTGATGCGAAGTGAAAGACATAAAACCAAAACAATATATTTACTGACTACAACTACATAAGTAAGGGTAGCAGAGATAAGATTCAGATAAATACACAGCAAATGAGTTCAGAAGGAAACAAAATAAGATGGGGGAAGAAGGAGATGCTAAGAACAGACCTGGGATTTCACTGGTGTAAGGAATTCCCAGTGAGAACATTCCCTCTACCAATGCAGATCAGGAGCTGCTCTGCACCTTCGTCTTAGGGAATTTCAGAGGCACTGAAGATCACAGCCAATATGTGTCAGAGGTCGGATTTGAAGCCAGGTCTTCCCAACCCTGAGGTGGCTCTTTATTCATTACACCATTATGTCACTTTATAATTCATATATATTTTTAAATACAAACTGTAATGAGTAGAAATTTATGGTTTCATACATAATCCATCAATTTTTTTCTTTTTACCCTTTGTTCTTTGGAAGTATTTGGACACTTGCATTCACTGGTGGAAGGTAAAAGATACTGAACAAGTTGCAGTTGGTCCTGTGACTGGCCCAGAATCACAAAGCTAGGTGCTCAACTCCAAACAATGGGACTCTATGTCTTTCACTCCCCACTGTGCTGTGCTATGCGCCTCCATCCCAGGCTTTTTCACCTCCTGGTTTTCCAGTGTCCTTCATTCAGGACCACACATTGCCTTCCTGTAGCAGCTGCTGCAGCATAGCTACCTGCTATTCACTTTCAAGTTTTTAAAAACACTTTTGAAAGGACCACACTGTTTTCTTTCTTACCTTGCTCACAGCTTCTCTGTACAGATGCACAAATTCCTCCATCATTTCAGGAGTGTAGATGCTTGACTCCTGCCATACATCCTTATTGAGACAATGACCAATATTTTTTAATGCTCTCTTCAAAATGGTGGAAATAAGTGATAAAATCGTGTGATTTACTGATTTGTTTTCCAACTGGGAGGAATGAAGGAGGAGAAAAAGGTCAATCAACAACAATAATACATTACTGGATAGACTGTAAATTCACAAAGTGGGAATCTAACTAGTAGAACTCAAGTGAAAATGTAAGACTTTTAGAACTTATGGACCCTTTAGAGGACTGTATCTTTCAGTCACCAATCAGAGACTTCTTTCTGCCTTGAAGGGAAAATTACTGAAAGAGTTCAGGGTACAAGACAGACTTTTTCTGGAGTCATCTGGTATGGACTACCCACATGCCAATGATGTTCTTGATATAATGTATTTTATCATAGAGTAATAAAGCTTTATTAGTTAGAACCCTATCAACTAGAAATATTTTTTTTGCCATTTTACTTATAAATACACAAATATCAAAAAATTAATTCACATTAGGGATTTATTTTAAAAAAACTTCATAGATATGTCCTGGGGTCAATAATTATTCATCCTATTATGCTACACTTTATCAATAGTCCTGCACAATAATCACAGATATTAAAAATGATGGTTCTGAAACACTGCAAGGCTCTCAAATCCTTAAAATATAGTATACTTACCAAAACAGGAAAATAGAAAGTAGAAATACCTTCAACAAAAATTTAAATAAAAAGGGTCATCGGGTTATATTAACAAGAAGATCCCATTTTCTGACCATTACAGTTAACTGAGGTTTTACTGTATATAAGGTATACACTACATATTACATTAACTAATCACAAAACTCTAAACTAAGACTTTAAACTCAGCCCAAAGTGCTTGAAGCAAGGTGGTGAGCCAACTGCTACATACCTTGCTTCCAAAAAAGAAATGACAAATATATGACAGATCCAAAAATTTTTTTAAAGCCCAGTCAGGAAAAAACAAATATGAGAAGGCCAAAGCAGAATTTTCATTTGCTACCTATGGATCAGGCTTCCTCCCTAAACTGCACATGGCAAGAGCTGTCAAAAAGCAGAAAGCACAAAAATACCCATAACCACTGACATTTCCCTTGAAAGATGACTTTGCAAGAATCCTGAGAAATGGGTCATCCATATAAGGAAGGCTACCATCCACACTTCTGTTTGCAATTTTTGCAGTAGATATTTAGGGTATAAAATTAATCTTACTGTCTGAGGCAGTCAGAATTAAGATCTTAAAAGAGAGTAAACCCTGCCAGCAAGATCAAACTTTTTCAGAAACTTCAAATCCTCTTCCAAGTCCTTCCTATAAAGGAGGTATCTGACAAATTCCTTACAAACATATTTTCATGCCAGGCCTCTAGGATAAAATATTGTCTCCCACAAAGAACAGGGCAAGCTATCTGGGTCCTAACTTCACTTATTTGGCAAATAGAACAAAAGTCCCTTTTGATTGGTGCCCCTACAACCTCTTTCTGTCTCTTCCCATTACCTAGTCCCAGACCACACGCTGGAAAGGTACCAAAAGAAATTTTAAACCCACAATCTCAATCAAAGGAGCCAACACAATTATAATGCAACTACTACCTCACTGAATGATTTGTCCCCCAAAGACCAAGCTTTAGATTAGAGAGCTGGACACAGCAACTCATAAAACACTCTACTAAAATGTGAAGAAGCTGCAACCTGCATGAGCAGGAGTGCCCACACAGATTAAATCAAGGTCTGATGTAATAAAGTATAGCATTCAAAGTAAGATTTCCTTCCTAGGAACCTAACAATGAAGCCAACAGACATAACAAATACAGCCAGCACACTACTTTCACAATAGTTATATAACAATCTATTTAGGGGAAAACAAAAACTAAAATGACAAGCAATAAAATTATCTTACTTTTAATCCTTGAGTAAACATGATTTTGTTGCACACACTGGGAACTGTTGTCACCATGACCATGGAAAGCAATCTAGACAAGGGTATAAACTCTTTGGTTTTAAATGCTGGGGAAATCTCTGGCTGAGCTTCAAAAATCTGTAGAAGAAAAAAAACATTTAGGTAATGCCTGAGCTAAGAATAAATGCTGAAGCTAGTTCTATGCACCAGTATTAAATGATGGCACCATTACAGTTAAGGAATAATTACAGTATTAAAGGAAAAGGAATTGCTTTTTTCTGTGTTGCTCTGCAGGACAAAACGAGGACCAAACAATGGAAGATACAGAGACAGACTTGGGTCCACAGAAGGAAGAGCAATGAGAACTCTGAGCTACTTTTATGGGGCAGTTACGGGATGTGTTGAAGCAGAGCTAATTCACCTACCTATCTGTCAGAGAGATGTGTACCAAAGTGGGATTTCTGATTTTGACCCAGAGATGAACTCACACACACACACACACACGTTAAGAATCACATCCTACACTACGTGCCTGTACTATTCATCACGGACACCAGCACTAGAGACTCTGAGGCAAACTTTTCTTGGCAAGCTGGTCCTTCTTAAAAAATAAAAAACATCAGCATAAAGTTCCTGCTAATCCAGGAACATTCCATTAATCCTGTGATTGATTCCCCAAGGCACTCACTACTGACTGCCTGTAAATCATTTCAGTGTCTCCAAAAGGCTTAGTGTAGTTTTAAGCTATCAAAGTTTAAAAAAGGAAGAAAAATACCCATAAGCGCTGAAATGTTTTTAAATTATCACTGGCCCCTAGGCCTGATGGGGTACCCCGTATGTCCTTTGTGCTGATGGGCTGCATCTGCTCAGTAAGCAAGGCTGAGGGACAATTGGAGGGCACGATGGATTATGTGAACACATAGGAATTGTATATGTACAAACACAGCAATTCCCAATGTTCCACGCCAAGAATGACATAAAAAATGAAAATTTTAACTCCTCATCTCCACCTAGAGTTATTTTCCTTACCTTCCTTAGAAGCCTGATATTGTTTAACCAAGCCGACTTCATCCTTGGAACAAAGGAATAGGTCACCTCCTTAAAGTACTTTGTGAGTAAGTCTGGGCACACTTTTAGGATGTTCACTACAAGCTCAGCCACCATGTCATCATCTGCTGCTGTCTTCAAACCCAGTAAGAAGTTCAAGAGAGTCAAGTTCCCTCCTCTGATAAATAATAGGGGAAAAAAAACCCAAAACACCATCAGGTCTGCATAAAATTTCTTAGAAACTCCAATAGCCAGTGGTTACTACAATAAATGCCAATTCCTCTGTAGCACTGAGGAAACACTATATCATGGAGGAATTAAATTTATACTACTGGGTTTTCCCCAGGTTTCAGCATGAAATACTTCAGTTCTTTTGGGAAGTTTTAAATCTTATTTTACTGAATCTGAGTAGATGAAAGCTGATTTCCTGCTTTGTTTTCCTCCTTATCCTCCCCCTGCAAAGGCATATTAAAAAACTATTCTTGTTTCTTTCTTATCTCTTCCATATCAGGTTCATTCTAAATAAAAACCCAAAAGAGAAACCAGAAAAGGTAGGAATAGATAATAAATATAAATTTAATAATAAATAATAATAAATAAAGGTAAGAATTAGATAAGAAAAAGCTCAACCCTAACTCCATAAGAAAATTTTTAGAGGGGCAGCTAGGTGGCGCAGTGGATAGAGCACCGGCCCTGGATTCAGGAGGACCTGAGTTCAAATCCGGCCTCAGACACGTAATACTCACTAGCTGTGAGACTCTGGGCAAGTCACTTAACCCCAATTACCCTCACAAAAAAAAAAGAAAGAAAGAAAGAAAGTTTTTAGAGTGATAAGTAAAATGTCTAAGACATCTCATTTCCCAAAATGATTTCTAAAAAGTTTGTAGCATGGTACAACCAGCTTTTTTGACTTCTCTTGCTTGCTTCTGAGTACTCTGTCTTTAGCAACACATGAAAGAAATTTCTTGGTCTAGGATTGGAAATGCTGAGACTAAATCAAGAGATAAACAAATATCTGAAGAAGTAGATCTTATTCTAAATCAAGCAAATTTCCAATTAAGAAAAAAAATCCTTAGTATGATGAAAATTAGAAGTAATAGAATGTACTGATGATAATAGTATAGAAAAAAAGATTTAGAAAAAGTTACAGCTAATACATTTTAGGAGTTTTCTTTTTTCTCCTACTCTATCACTGTCTGAAAATTAGTGTTTTATGTGACTGATACTATGGAGAATATCAAGTTTAATAAAAATGGGCACATACATTTATATATGTAGTGTGTATATACATGCTAATAATATATACATATCTATAATAATATATACATATCTATACACATATACACCATCTTTATTTTATTATATTTACTAATAATTTTTAACATGCTTCTCATAAACTAGGAAATACTAAGAGATGTCAGCTTCTTTAAAATTCAGTACCTTGTAGCTCATTTGTAATAAGTATTTTGAAAAGAAGGTAAATTAGATGGTATAATCACCATCTTAGGAAACTATTGTCAAAGTTAATGTGCCTCCCATGATGATTCTGAGTAAAATTGTAAAGGGAGGTTAAATCACTTCACCTGAACTTTGTTTCCTTATCTAAGGGGTTGTGCTGTAGCCGGCCCACACCAACTCACAGGAGCGAATTTTAAAATTTTCAGTGTAAGCTTGAACACCTTGGAAATTAGCAAAGCTACAAATCATGGACTAATTTATTGAAGAAAATGTTAATAGTGCAGATTAAACTTAAAAGTGTGTCATGGATACATCCCACTCCCACCCACCCCCCCAACCAAGACTTGGTTGCTAAACATTTAAAAGCAAATTGCTGCTAATCTCTAAGATGGCAATAATACTTCCTATCTTATTCATGAATAGTCTAGGCTGAAGAGTCTGCTCCCAATCAAACCTGGGTTTATTCATAGGCCCTTTGTGATCCTATGAACCCAAAGCATCCATTGTAGCTCCTGCTCCAGATCTAGCGCTGGAAAGGATCTTAGAAGTTGTCTGGTCCAACTCCTTATGTTAGAGATGCAGAATCTAAGGACCACGAGATTAAGGGAAGCATCCCCCCAGATCACACAGTATAATAAACAATGGAACAAGATTTGAATCCTGGCTCTCTGAATCCAAAGCCAGGGTTCTTTCTGCTGTACCACCAGTCTCTGGTCTCAGGAGAAGTCACTTAGGTCAGTTCCAAGGACTCAGTGGGAAAGTCATTTTGTGGTAGTTTGAACTCTGGTTTCCTCCAGGCTAATCTCAGACTACCAAGAGGAGAATGAATCCATAAAACCTAAGAATGACACAGGTTCCCAGGGAATATACACATATTCCAAGTTTGCCTCAAACCCATGGGATTCAGCTGACTGCAGCTAGGACTCAGGCCTAGAGCAAATGAGATTCCAATTCAATTTACCACAGGTATACTCTATCCTTGAACATTTTCCTCCATGGGAACTCAATAAATAAAAACCTCTATGGGCAGTTTCCTGGTCTGGAGAAAAAAATGAAAGGGGGAAAGACGAGATGATTTCTAAGGTCCAAATCCTAAAATTCTTCAATTAACTTTAGGTTAACTGAATTTGCTGACTCTCACATTCATAATGGCTTGTAAAAAATACAGACCATTGCACACACCACCATACTGTATTTTACCTGCCCAGAGTACCAAGAGATGCATCATAGAAGTTAATGCCATGCTTCAGAGAACAGCAAAGGTCCATTAAGAAGTTGTGAACCAGTTCCCTGACCATGGTCTTGGCTGCTTCTTCAGTAGGCTATTAGGGAGGAAGGAAAGGGAAGCAACAGGAAAAAAAAAAAGAGAAAGAGAAAGGAGGGAAAACAAAACATTCAATGATTAGAAGGAAAAAATAGACAAAAACAAATTTCTAAGTTATATGAACACTGGGATTTATACAGACATTTTATATCAAAGTGTGGCATGATTAGGACAGAATTTTTGTTAAATGGCAAGTTCATACCTTTGTTCTAAAACAAGCTTAATACCTCTTTAATACGTTAAATTAATTTTATTCTTAATATATTTTATTTTTTTCAATTACATGTAAATACAATTTTCAATATTCATTTTTTGGAAAAATTTTGAGTTCAAATTTTTCTCCCTACACTTGCCCCAGAAAGGCAAGCAATCTGACATAGGTTATACATGCAAAATCATGTTAAACATATTTCCACATTAGTCATGCTGTGGAAAGAAAAGAAACAGAACAAAAGGGAAAAAAAACACACAAAAAAAGTGAAAACAGTATGCTTCAGTCTGCATTCAGACACCATCAATTCTTTCTCTGGACGTGGATAGCATTTTCCATCATGAGTTTTTTGAAACAACAAAGTATTTTTAAAAGAGGACACATACAAGTCATTATTAAAGATTACTGAAAATCTAGAGCTGTATCCTAAAGAGATCATAAAAATGAGAAAGGACCCACATGTACAAAAATATTTATAGCAGGTCTTTCTGTGGTGGCCAAGAATTGGAAACTTGGGGATGGGATTCCCACCAAGTGGAGAATGGCTGAACAAGTTGTGGTATATGAATGTAATGGAATACTATTGTGCTATAAGAAATGATAAGCGGACAGACTTCAGAAAAACCTGGAAAGCCTTGTATGGACTGATGTTGAGTGAAGTGAGCAGAACCAGGAGAACATTGTACACAGTAACAGCCACACTGTGTGATGACTAACTTTGATAGACTTAGTTCTTCTCAGCAACGCAAGGATCCAAGACATCTCCAAGAGTCTCATGAGGGAAAATGCTATCCACATTCAGGAAAGGACTGTGGAGTCTCAATGCAGATGGAAGCATACTACTTGCTCTTTTTTTTAGTTCTGTTTTGTTTCTTCTTTCTTGTGATTCCTCTTATTGGTTCTGATTCTTCTTTACAACATGACTAATGTGAAAATATGTTTAATAGGAATAATAGAGCCTCTATCAGATTACACACTGTCTTGGAGAGAGAGCAATGGAGGGAGGGGGAGAAAATTTAAACCTCAAAAGTTTATGGAAGTGAATGTTGAAAACTAAAAGTAAATTAATTATTAAAAAAAAGATTATTGAAAATCTTAAGATTTAAATTAAAAATTCTACAAAAAAACTTTGAAATCTAAAACTTTCACTTCTTTGGCTATGCTTAACTTCAAGAGCATATGGGAAAAGTAAAAATTTACAAAGCATTATATGCCTTTAGTCTATTTAAGTATATAAATGTTAATCCTACCAATAAAGTATTAGATAATAAATTGTACATCCTACAACTTGAGAAATTAGAAGTAGGGAGCAGAGAACCTCCAAAATGCTAGATGAAAATCAGCCATACTAGAAAAGGACAGAGTGAGAGAGAAGGGAGCAGAGCAAGCTTCAAGTAATTCTGTAAGACCAAAATGCATCGGCAAGTCATTTTAGGATAAGTATGAAATTATTTATCCAAGGGAAAAGTGTTTCTGCAGTGAAAAATATCCCATTATCCTATTACTATTCAAAGGAAATTAATATATCCCACAAAAGCCATAAGAAATTTACTACATGCTAGAATTTCTTAGGTGAAATAATATTCAATTCTATTTCCAGAACATAAAGATGACACTAACATTTTAATTCCAAAGTTACTACTGTACCTTGCCATTCTCTGTGCTGACATCAGCAATTCCATTCCAACGATAGAGAGAAGCCACATTATTTAACAAATACCCAGTAAAGAAACGAACTTTCTGAGTTTTTGAGACACCAATGTTGTGAACCACCTGAGAGCAACAAAACAAAATAATGCAAAGTATCTGGAATTTTTTACATATTTTAAAATTGTTATTAAACAGTATTAAAAGGCAAAACATTCAACAATATTCAAACTACTATTTTGTCAGGTACAATATGTTCATTTTGTTATAAAATCAAAGCAAAATTATATAATTTAGAGCTCACAGGGACTACTTGGGGTTTTTTTTCCTTTTAACTCTATTAGCATCAATAATTTTGCCCCACTGGTAAGGACACAAAGTGTGCAATACATGCATGCCAAGGTATTGAAAGGGCTGTGTTAGAACTTTTACAGTACAGTACAGTACAGAATTTGTACATGAACAAAAAACAAGTTCTCACCCAGAACTATAATCTAGACCAGTGGTTTTCAAAGTACAAGTCCATGACATTAAAACTTTTTTTCATAACAATGAGATGTTTTTGTTGTTGTTTTTCAGTCATTTTTCAGTTGTGTCTAACCCCATTTAGGTTTTAAGTTGTGTGACCCCATTTGGGTTTTCTAGGCAAAGATACTGGAGTGGTTTGCCATTTCTTTTTCTAGCTCATTTTACAGATGAGGAAACTGAGGCAAACAAGGCTAAGTGACTGGTCCATAGTCACATAGCTAGTAAGTGTCAGACCAGATTTCAACACAGGAAGATGAGTCTTCCTGACTCCAGGTCTGTCAGTCTATCCACTGCACCACTTAGCTGCCCCATTTAGATGTTACTTCTATTTATATAATCCATATAAACAAAAACTCTTTGAGGTCTTCAATTTCTAAGAGTGTAAAGGGGTCTAGAGACAAAAAAAAAAAGTTTGAGAACCACTGTTCTAGCCAAACTAAAAATTCATGAATGAGGTCATCAACGGAGTTATGTTCTATAGAATACTGACAGTTCCATTACTCAGGAAAACACAACAGCTTTCCTCACTTAGAAATGTTTTCTCTACTAAGACACACCTTGGTTTTCAGGGTGGACAACAAAAGATTGATAGTAGAAATTCTGTCTTCCTTTAAGCCCGTGCCAAAAATGACAGGGAGGAATTCTGAAAACAAAATTTTCAAAGGTTATGCACAATTTAAAGACTTCCTGAAATAAGGAAAAGTTGAAAAAAGAATTTTTTTCTTTCTGGTACAGTGATGATCTAGACAAAAGCATTCAAGAAAACAGGAACAGACAACAGGATAAATAGGGTAATTTCTCCTCTTAAAGAAAAAACAAATATTTTGCTGAGTTTTGAGGTGGGGAAAAAACTGTGCTTGAGTTTCACAAACAAGCAGCCTCTTGTTAGGAGCACAGTACCAGTTGCCCTCCTTTCACTCTTCGAGATAACCCAATCAATCTCTCAGGCTTAATAGCTCTCTGACCCACAAATTACCATCACATTCCAAGTCTGCCTCAAGGCTCCAGGTGGTCTCTTGTCCTGCAACTTACCTTTGGTTCCTACTAGAGAATGGAGAGGGCTAGAGTTGCAAACAAGCTGGAGCCTGACACCAGGCTGCCTGCTGCTTAGGCAGCATAGGCTGGGTCAAGGATTAAGACTATTTCTGAGACAGAGAAAACACAGGGCTACCAACAAGTCAAAAGCATCAGGTCAGGCCAGGCCAGCCCAAGAAGCTACAAAGGGAATGAGTCTCATATGGATTGTTTTGCTCATTCTTAAATGAAGGGAAAGAGTCAACCAGATAATGCCCAGTTCACAAAAGATAGGTTTTTTTGGTTTTTGGGTTTTTCTGTTTTGCTTTTTGGTTAGGCAATGGGTTAAGTGACTTGCCCAGGGTCACACAGCTAGTAAGATTTGAACTCAGGTCCTCCTGACTCCAAGGCTGGAGCTCTATCAAGAGACAGGTTTTTTAAAGGTTTATTTCTAGTTCTAAAAAGCAGCATGATCATCTCAATAGCACGAAGAACAGCACAACAAACTGAATTTCAGTTTTTTAAACAGCACCACTAAGGAAAGTCATACATGCACTACTTCTGAAAGCCACAAAGATGCCTGTGCTTCCAAATTCTGGAAGGTATTTATTTATTCTTTGTTAGGTCACCTCTCCACATTCCAGATAGCAAGACTGTGATATACCACTGTTATTTTTGGTCAGTGCTATTAAAATAACAAAAACTTCAATACATACTTTCTCTCTATTTTTCTGAAATAGTTTTCCCCCAAAGTACTAACAGCCCTCCCTCAGAAATAGGTGAATACCTTTTAACTCCAACACTCGTGCTATGGTATTATCATCACCAGCAATTAAGAAGGAAAGGGCAAACTGGATATATGCCAATCGAACATCTGGTAGCCCCTATTGGACAAGAAAAGAGATATGTCACATACACAGTACATGGATATAATTGAACATGTTGATAATCCATGGTTTTATTAGTATGGGCTCTCCCTCTAAAAACAGAGTTACAATACCTCCAGGTTTTCATGTACTGCTATGACTAAAAAAACATCACCAGATGGTGCAACTTTTGGTGTTAAGTCAAACTTAGCTGGGCTGGATCCTCAAGGCCCAGCTGGAGATCCATGGTTAGGGTTTTACTGAAAGCTTTTCTGGTTTAGGACCTGTCACAGTTTGTGCTCCATTGATCCAGGGTCCATGGCATTGGAGTAGGCCTTTAGCAAAGGACGTGTGCATGAACACACACAAGCATACATGCATACATACACACACGTACATGTCACCGGAATACAACAAATAGTAGTAGATTTCTCGGCCCCGGAATGTTACCATGGCTCTGAAAAGATCCATACTGTTACTAGTCTTTTGATAGCCAATGGGTGTTACATACACTGGGAAGAGAAATGAGAGTGATGCAAAAAAATCATGAAAAACTAGTCAACAGCTTGCTAAAGGAGACCCAATAAAATACTGAAGAAAATAGCACCTTAAAAAATAGCCTAACCCAAATAGCAAAAGAGGTCGAAAAAGCCAAGGAGGAGAAGAATGCCTTCAAAAGCAGAATTGGCCAAATGGAAAAGGAAGTCCAAAAGCTCACTGAAGAAAATACTTCCTTAAAAATTAGAATGGAGCAACTGAAAGCTAGTGACTTTATGAGAAATCAAGACATTGTAAAACAAAATCAAAAGAATGAAAAAATAGATGAGAATGTGAAATATCTCACTGGAAAAACAACTGACCTGGAAAATAGATCCAGGAGAGATAATTTAAAAATTATTGGACTATCTGAAAGCCATGATCAAAAAAAGAGCCTAGACATCATCTTTCAAGAAATTATCAAGGAAAACTGCCCTGATATTCTAGAACCAGAGGGTAAAATAGAAATGGAAAGAATCCACCGATCACCTCCTGAAAAAGATCCCCAAAGGAAAAATCCTAGGAATATCATAGCCAAATTCCAGAGTTCCCAGATCAAGGAGATAATATTGCAAGGAGCCAGTAAGAAACAATTCAAGTATTGTGGAAACAATCAGGATCACACAAGATTTAACAGCTTCTACATTAAGGAACTGCAGGGCTTGGAACATGATATTCTGGAGGGCAAAGGAGATAGGATTACAGCCAAGAATCACCTACCCAGCAAAACTGAGTATGATCCTTCAGGGGAAAAAAATGGATATTCAGTGAAATAGAGGACTTTCAAGCATTCTTGATGAAAAGACCAGAGCTGAATAGAAAATTTGACTTTCAAATACAAGACTCAAGAGAAGCATGAAGAGGTAAACAGGAAAGAGAAATCATAAGGGACTTATTAAGGTTGAACTGTTTACATTCCTACATGGAAAGATGACATTTGTAACTCATGAGACCTTTGTCAGTATTAGGGTAGTTGGGGGAAAAAAACTATATGTATAGATAGAGGGCACAGGGTGAGTTGAAGATGAATGAGTGATATCTGGAGAATAAAATTAAGGGGTGAGAGAGGATTATACTTGGAGAAGGAGAAATGGAGAGGTAGAATGGGGTAAATTATCTCACATAAGACAGACAAGAAAAGGCTTTTACAGTGGAGGGGAAGTGGGCGAAGGTGAGAGGGAATGAATGAATCTCATTCTCATAGGTAATTTGGCTTAAGGAGGGAATAACATACACACTTAATTGGGTATGGAAAGCTATCTTACCCTACAGGAAAACAGGGGGGAAGGAGATAAGAGAGCAGGGAGATGAGAGAGGAAAGGGCAGATTGGGGAAGGGGGTAATCAGAAGCAAACACTTCTGAGGAGGGATAGGGTCAAAAGAAAGAATAGAATAAAGGGAGGGCAGGATAGGATGAAGGGAAATATAGTTAGTTTTCCACAGCATGACTACTATGAAAGTGTTTGGCATAACTACACAAGTATAACCTGTATTGAGTTGCCTGCCTTCTCAATGAGGGTGGGTGGGGAGGGAGGAAGGAAGAAAATTTTGAAAGCAAAGTTTTAAAAACAAATGTTAAAAAATTGTTTTCACATGCAACTGGGAAATAACATATACAGGAAATGGGGTATAGAAATCTATCCTGCCCTACAAGAAAATAGAAGAGGTAGAGGATAAGAGAAGACGGGGGAGAGACAGAAAGGAGGGCAGATTAGGAGAAGGGGTACTTAGAATGCATGCCATCTTGGGGTTGGGGGAGAGAAGAGATGGGGAGAATATCTGGAACTCAAAATCTTGTGGAAGTGAATGCTGAAAACTCAAAATAAATAAATTAATGAATCTTTAAAAAATTTTTTTAAAAATATAATAAAATAGAAGCATCAAAAAAAAGAATTTCATGTAAGTACCAAATATATATATATACATATATACATATATACATACATATATATATATGGAAATACATTTTGCATGATTTCACATGTATAATTGATATATTGCTTGCCTTCTCAGTGGGTGTGGGAGGGTACAGGATGGAGGGAGAGAATCTAGAACTTTGAAAAGTGTTAAAAATAAATGATAAATTAAAAATGCAATTGGGAAATTATTAACAAATAAACAAAAATACAACACAGCATAGTTATTTGTGATTTTCTAAGTCAATATGCTAGGATTCTAATCTGAGTTATCTGACTGAAACCAACACCCTCTCCCCTGGAGAGGGCTTACTTGAAGCTTTCAGAGCACTTGGAAGAAGTCAGAAGAAGCTGATTTGGCAAATGAAAAGAAGCACTTAAATAACTTGTTGCTAATACATATGCCCAATGGATATTCTCACTAAATAATAAAAATGTTCAATTTCATGCTTTCTATTTAAGAACAGAAATTCCACGGGGGGGGGGAAACAGAGCCATATGGAATAGTTTTAGAACCTTCTTACAAACCCATCATTCATACTTCCATCTCCCTTGAGCAGAACCCATCAACCATAGTGATAACGATAGCTGCAAACAAGAAAATATGCTTGCACACACTGAACAATCATGAAAACCTTCTCTGAAGTTATGACTTCCAAGGGTTTCATTCTACCTAGGCTTAGGTAATATTAATAGGACTGGTTTCCACAGGGAAGAAAAAACGCTCTAAAAATTTACTAGCTGGTCTGCCGCAGTCGGGTCCCTCGCCTTTGTTGCACGGCTTTGCTGCTGCCACAGCTGCCCCTAAAAGCAACTTCTCCCTCTCCCTCCCCAGCCCGGTAGCTGACATAAAGATGAGTAGCTCAGAGAAAGTATCATGGATCTCATGGTTCTGTGGGCTTCATGGCAATGAATTCTTCTGCGAGGTGGATGAAGACTACATCCAAAACAAATTCAACCTCACAGTGCTTAACGAACAAGTGCCCCATTATAGCCAAGTACTAGACATGATGCTCAACTTGGAACCTGATGAGGAGCTGGAGGACAACCCCAACCAGAGTGACCTGACGTAGCAGGTAGGCGAGATGCTGTATGGACTAATTCATGCCCACTACATCCTCACAAACCACGGTATCGCCCAGATGTTAGAAAAGTAACAGCAGGGAGACTTTGGCTATTGTCCCCATCTATATTATGAAAACCTGCCCAAGTTGCCCATCGGACTGTCAGACATACCAGGTGAGGCCATGGTGAAGCTTTACTGCCCCAAGTCGTCCAAGCACCACCACACAGATGGTGCTTACTTTGGCACTGGCTTTCCCCACATGCTCTTCATGGTGAGTCCTGAGTACAGGCCCAAACAGCCTGCCGACCAATTTGTGCCCAGGCTCTACGGCTTCAAGATCCACCCTATGGCCTATCAAGTGCAGCTTCAGGCAGCCAGCAACTTCAAGAGCCCCGTCAAGACTATCTGCTGACTTGTCTCCTCCCCTCCCCCCAACACCTCAGGCTGTGACACCATTCCTCCCCCTCCCCTGCCCCAGTACACACACACACACACACACACACACACACACACACACACACACACACACACACACACACACACACACACACACACACACACACACACACCCCTTTCCAGAACCCCTAATGGTTTTTAGTTTAAATTAAGAAGTCATTATTGTGGTGGTGTGGTAGGAATATGAAATAAAGTGGAAGAAAAGGCAAAAAAAAAAATTTAACTAGCTTACTTCAGGAAAAGAAATCATTTCTTCCCCAAGTGAATGATCACTTCCCACCACATGCCACGACAAGTTCTCTGAGCTAGAAGAGTACTACCAGGGTCAGTGATTTTTCCATGGAGATTTGCTTCCAAATTCACCTTTCCTATAAAGAAACACTCGGCCTTTATAGTCATTCCATCGCAAAGAAAGCCGAAAATGTTTTGGCTAATGTAATGCCAAGATCAACTACCACTGCCACCCACCCACCCACTCCCATACTGAAAGTGATAATACTAGGAAGCATCAACAAGAATAAATCAATACTCACAAAGGAAAACAATGATGAAACTACAAAATATGTCATCTGTAAATAAAGCCATTTGAAGAGACCAGCAAAAAGGGTGGAGCTGAAGAACCAATAGAGCTCACAATCCCTCCAACAAAAATTTAAGAGCACCAGACCAGGTAGTGATCACAGAAATCCAAGGAGAAACCACAGGAGGCCATTTTCCCAGGACAAGATCATAAAATCAACTCATAGGCAAGTGACCAGGGCAAGAACTATGAAACAGAGGTAGGCCAAAAGGATCCCAGATTCAACTCCCAAGTTTAGACCAGGGCTGGGACTGTAGCTTTGAAGCTCTGACATATGAATAGGATTCTGGTTTCAACTACCAGGCAAATGAAGACCAGGGGTAGGCTAGCAGCTTAGTAGTCAGAGCAGGATCTTGGATTCAACCATGGACACAGACCAGGAAGGGCTGGTAGCTGTCATATCTAAGAGCTGTATCTAGGACTCCGCTGGGGGTGAGTGACCAGGGCAGGGGTTGAGGGACCAAGGTGGGCCTACAGCTCTATCGCTCTAAATATAAAGATCCTACCAGCTAGTTAACAGGACCAGCAACTGTACCCTCAATTACCACCCAGGAGCAAGTCTGTAAATGTGTTGCCTAGAAACAAAACCAAAGTCTAGAGTCTAGAAAGCTCAGTCCAGCAAAGAAACAATCAGACTGCTTAAGGACTACTGGAAGTTTGCATCTCCTTGGACTGAGCCCCGTAATCCTTGAAGAACACAGCAGTCAGATAACCAGAGAACAAAGCAGAGGGACCCCAGAAAATACAGACTAGGACAACACAAGGCCCTGACATTTCCTCCAGAAGTGAGAGGAGTATGGCTGTCAAAAAAAGTCCAAATTCAGTAAATAAGGTTAGAAGAATTAGTATATCTACATTTACACGTGTATATACAAATGTTATCTCCACATACATACATATATGTGAAGAGCAACTGTTTAAAGTAATAGAAGTTTCTTTAGTTTGTTCAATATCAGTGTTTAATATTTAATAATCCTAGGTAGGGCTCCAAGCTAATTAATCAGAAGTGTTTCAATTTTAGTAATTAATAACAAAATATCTAAACATACCCTGGATAACCTTAGAACTCAAGATAGTGAGAATAAACATGGTAATGAATGAAACAGCAAGCTGAGAAGTGACCATCCCATATAGGCTAAAAATAAGTGTAGTCAACTCCTTATTCTGCCACATTGTAAACTAAACCTTATAGAGATCGCTAAACAATGATTTGAGATACCAAGCTGCTAATATCAAGCTAGCTTGATTCCCTAGATTCTAAGATCTGCCCCACAAGATTCCTGATTACATATGCTTTATCCCTGATACCATCTCCCCTGGGCATTCTGACATCAGACCCAAACCTTCTTTTCCTTTTTCCCCCTCTGCTTACCATCTAGGCTGTGTATGTAGATGTTTTAAATGGAATTATATATAAGCAAAGAGTGCATAATTTCAGAAATGATATCTAAGGGCATGGAAATCTGAAGTGCATATGAAAGAATTAATACATTCAGCTTTAGGACTCCATCCTAGGACTGAGCTCTGACTGGCGGGTATGTGTGAAATCTCATCTAAATCATTCTACATACAGTCATTCTAGAACCATGCTTCACATCCCATTCAGCCATTCACCAAGCTACCAGAACCTGCCCAGCAGAGATGCATTTTCCCATCTGCTACACATAGAAGGTCTACCTCCCAATGTGACTTCAAAATGAAGCTGCCTTTCTTTCCTTGAATATCTCCCTTCTGTCAACTTGGCATTGGCCAAGTTGGGCAGTTCGGATAAAGTTCATTCATCCATTCTACAAGTCCAGGCTTAATCCTGGTTAGGAGTGAGTTTTTGGTTTAACAAGCAATTCTTACAATATTTAAGCAATTTCCCTGATTCTTGACCAAGGAAGGAAGGGAAAAAGGAGATCTCTAAACAAACAAAATAATAAAATTTGTTTTATAATTTTTTTCTGTTACCTAGAAAAAAGAATAATTCAACACAATTTACTCCCTGGGTAGCAGCAATATCTTAACCCTTTCCCCATGCAAGTTGGGCTACTTTTTCCTTAAAAGGTATAAAGATATTCCTTAAGACTTGGTTGCCTCAGGGGACTAAAGACTCAAACTGCTGATATCAATTATTTACTGCTAGTGGCCCTGAGGGGCTGGGGAGGCCTTGAGATGCTTGCCTGGTGGACTGAGATGGGAGATTTGCTCAGCTAAATCAATTCAAAGGATTCTCAATGCCTATCCTTATTAATTATTCTCTGGATAAGGCTAAATAAATCTTCTTTTGTTGACTGCTGAATGACCCACTGGTGCCTCATTTTGTTCCAATATTACACCTAAACTACCAGGAGACTAGCCTGAGTCAAATCCAGAACCAAACACCCCCAAAGTTCACAAAATACACCCTTTTCACATATCCATCACACCTTAGTTTGGAAATAGAGGAAAATTAAGAGAAAGGAAAGTAAACATTTTAAAGGAAAATATTCAAATGTTCTTTACCTTTGGACTTCTTATTTTCACCAAACCATACAACGAGTTTTTATTGAAGTCAAAACGACTATAGAAATCCCTGGCAGCATCTGGACCTTGTGCCACCATAGCTGACATGAGGTTCAAGCAGGTTTGACTCATTCTACGTGCACAATAAAGGAAAATATAAAGTTAATTCAAAATAGCAGAAGTACACATGATCTTAGAGTGAAACCAACTTTTTTGAGTGCAAGGTCCATTAATATTGAAGCACTGTCAGCTAATCAGTCAGATAACAAGAATTTACCAAGCACCTACTATGTACCAGGAATTACGCTAAGTGCTGGGGATACGAAGAAAAGCAACATAGCAAAAAGAGCAAAATAGCAAAAAAAGCAAAACAGCAAAGGCAGAAAGTGGGATTTTAGCTGAAACCTGAAGGAGATAAGGATTGAGGAGGGAGAGAATTTCAGACATGGATGACAGCCAGTATCACGGATTACATGGAGGGGTGTGAGGTATAAGGAGACTGGAAATGTAGGAAAGGATCAAGTTATGAAGAGTTTTGAATGCCAGAGGATTTTATATTTGATTCTGGAGAAAAAGGAGAGTCATTGAAATTTATATGGTCAGACTTAAGCTTAAGGAAAATCACTTTGACAACAGAATGAAAGATGTACTGGAATGAAGAGATTTGAGGCAAGAAGACCAACCAGCAGGCCACTGCAATGGTCCAGACATGAAGTGATAAGGGCCTGAACCAGAGTGACAGCAGTGTCAGGGGGAGAGGTCCCCAAAGGAGAAATGGGGAAAAAGGGAGGAAGCCATTATGTGCTCAGAGAAGAAAGGGAAAGTGTACATGGAGAGAAGTAAAATGGTATAACTGAAAGATCATTGTATTTGGCATCTGCCTAGTTTTAAATACTGATTCAACTTACTAACTGTGTGACCTTGGGTAAGTCACTTCCCCTTCTCTGGGCCTAAATCTCCTCATCTATAAAATGATGTGGTTAGACCAGACCTCTAAGATTCCTTCTGGCTCTAAAATGCCTATAAATAGAAGTTCCTGCTTTTGGGGAAACTAAGGACAAAAGACATCAGATTATAATGATGTACTGCTTTGAGACTTCAAGAATGGGTATGTGCACCTAATGTAAATAATCATATGAGTTTATTTCTGCCTTTGGGAGATAAAAAGGAAAACTATCCCTTGATAGCATGCATTTCCATAAGAGGAAGATACTATGCTGTATAATGCTGTATGATGATAATTACATGACTAGTAGTGTAGGATCTTAACCTATTAGCGTGAGAAGGAACTTTAAAAATTATTTAGTCTAATACTCATTTTACAGATGAGGAAATAAAGGCCCAGAATGGCTAAAGGACTTGTTCAAGGTCAGAGAGAGCAATCAGGACAGCTGAAACTCAAAACTCAGATCTTCTAATTCCAAGTTCCATGTTCTTTCTACTCCCCTACAGCTCCAATCTTTAACTTTAAATGCTGTATACTATAGCTTTTTATTAAATGTTGGTCTACTTCAGTAATAATTTCACATATACATTTTTCCCCAACCAAGATATAAGCTTTTATTTGTTGTACCACCAAAGTACTTAACATAATGGCAGCAAATAATAGGGTCTGATAAGTATTTCTTGATTAACTGGAAAAGGAAAAAGGGGAAGGGAAAAATAGTATTAAAAATGACAAACAGATTTTACTAGGAAAGTCTGAAGGCAAAAAGTCTTCATTAACAGCAAAAACAAGTTAGAATAGTTCATATTGGTTCTGTTAACATATGGCCAATGACTTACTTGTAACTTGAAGCATTCAGTGATTCATAAATCAGCTTCATATGGCTATTCATAACTTTCTTCATGATGTTGGTTCCCACAACATGAAAATGAGAAAGATCACCTGCTGTTCGCAGTAATATGGCTTCTAAAGTTTTAAATATTAATATCCTCTGAAAAGATAAAATTAAGACTTTAATAAATTTCATCTTTTGCTTTCTGAACAAAAAAGACCCCATCCTGATTATAGCTCTCCTTTATTATCTTCTAATATCTTAATAGCTAAAGATTTTTACAAACACTCAAGATTTCAAATGGTTTACCAAGGATCCCCAAACCAAATTTTCAACTGTTTAGAATTCTGAAGAGACCAAAGTCAACTCCATTTATTTCTAAAACCTGTGAAATATTGCTGTTTTTTAAAATCTGTGTTCTCATCTTTAACTATCTTTTGTCTTCTGTATTTACAACTAGTAATATTCAAACCTATCTTTAGTAAAATGCTATCCCACTAAACTACATTAATACCAAAAAATTACTATTCATCACAAGAATTCTTTCAAAAGACATGAATATCCCTAAGACTTAAGCAACCAAAGGACATAAACAAATAGTTTTCAAAACAATTACAAACTATTAACAGCCATACAAAAGAGTGCTCCAAATCACTAATAATAAACAGATATTTAAATTAAAACTTTGAGGTTTTACTTCACACTTAGCAAACTGACAAAGATGACAAATAATAAAAAGAGTCAATGTTGAAGGGTCTACAGGAAGATGGGCAGAATGATACACTGCTGAATGTGCTATGAATTCATCCAACTATTCCAGAAAACAATAGTCAATTGTGCTAAAAAAAATGATAAAAATGTTCACAAGCTTTGGCCCAAAGATCCCACTCCTAGGCATATAGGAATAAAAGTCCCATGTAGACCAACATATTAATAACAGCATTTTTTTTGTCATAGCAAAGGACTAAAAACAAAGTGGGTGCCCATCTTTTGAAAAATGGGTAAATAAACCATGGTGTATAAGTATAACGGAATATTTCTATCCAATAAGAAACAACGAATATGAGGAATTCAGTGAAACACAGAAAGATTTATATGAACCAATGTAGGGTGAAGTAAGTACAACCATGGAAACAATATTGCACAATAACAACAACAATGTAAATAGAAAGAACTATAATATAAAAATGGCCTTTCTGTATTACAATGACCAAGAATGGTCCCAGAGAACAGATGAGAAAGTGTATTATCCTCCTTTCATCAAAGAGAGAGGGAACTGGGGTATGGAATGTTGCAGATGCTGTCACATGTTGTCAGCGTGTTGGTTGTTTTTGACTTTGTCATTGTTACTGGGTAAAGCCAGTTAGAAGGAGAAGGGGGAGTGGGGTATATCTGAAAATGGTTGTGATATAAAAGCAAAGGGCATCAACAAAACTTTTTAAACGTTATAAATAAAAAAGTATGGATCTAGAAACCACAAAGATAAAGATAAAAATCAATCTTACTAATGTACATGTAGATGCCATTTCTCATATATCAACACTGACGACAGGATAAGTCATTTTTCCTTTGTAATGAATGTTCAGGTGAAACTTACTTCATGTTCAGTTCTTTTCTCTCCACTTAAAAGTTGGAAAATTTCTGAACACTCAACAGAAATTTTTATATATCCTTCCACGACATCATATAGTCCAGTTTGTGGTAACATTCTGGCAACAGAGATAAAAGTTTCCAAAGCTGAAACAAAAGTTACACACAGGCATTAAAAGAAGTAACCTTTAACTCAGAAACATACTACTTACTATACAGCCTGATGCTTCTTACCTCACTACAGCTACTTTTGCCATGGGAACCACCATGGGGAAAAAAAATTAAGAGCTTTTGGGGAATCTGTGGCCTCAAAAGTAAAGGAAGAAAAGCATAAAAATTAGGGGACGTTTAGAGGTATTGACCAGGCAAGTTAGAAGTCTGAGAACGCTAGTGTTTTCTCCCATTTAACCTGAATTTTTCCCTTTCATTTTGTAACACTGTCTGAAATCCCGCCAATTAAGAAGTATGTGGATTAACAGGAATCTCCCCTTTGAAAATACAAACACTTAAGAGTAAGTCATTTAACTTCTCTGACCTCTGTTCACCTGTAAAAAGAAACTATACTACAGTAGTTGACTTTCTAAGGTGACTATAATTCTATGACCTAGTCATTCACACATTAGTGTGACTAAATCTACTCAGAGTGCTTTTCCCTGGCTGAGAAGTAAGGAGGGAATATAAATTCCATCTGGAAGCAAAGACAAGAAAGGCAGGTAATTCTGAATTATGAAGAGCTCTGAAGGATGAAAAAGGCCAGGAGGAGTACCAAAGCTGGGGTTTGGAAAAGCAGGAGACTATTGGGAACCTGGGGAATGGGGAATGATGATAATAAGAATAAGAATAATCAATATTTATAACATTTTAAGGTCAGGAAATCATTTCACATAGATTATCACACTTGATTTTCAAAACAACCTTTGAAGTAAGAACTATTATCATTCTCAATTTAAAGATGAAGAAATTGAGGCCAAGAGAGGTTAAGTGACTTACTCTAGGTCACAAAGCTAGTAAGTGTCTAAGACAAGATTTGAACTTGGGTTTTCCTGATTCCAAGTCCAGAATTCTATCTACTGTTCCATCTAGCTGTAAAAAAGGAGACTGATCAAGTTTACCATCAGCATCCTTGAATCTTAAAAATTTTGTTTGTTGGTGGAGTTGTGAACTGGTCCAACAATTCTAGAGAACAATTTGGAACTATGCCCAACGGGCTTTAAAATTGTGTATACTCTTTGACCCTGTAATACCTCTACTAAGTCTAGATTCCAAAGAGATCATTAAAAAGGGAAAAGGACATTTATGTACAAAAATATTTAAAGCAGTTCTTTTCACTGAGGGGATGCCCATCAACTGGGGAATGGCTGAACAAGTTGCTGTATATGATTGTGATGGAATACTATTGTGCTATAAGAAATGACAAGCAAGTTGGGTTCAGAAAAACCTGGGGAAACTTATATGAACTGACACAGAATAAAGTGAGCAGAACTAGGACAACATTGTGCACAGTAACAGCAATACTGTACAATGATCAACTACTCTGATCAAGTCAAAGACCCATACTGAAAAATGCTATCCACCTCCAGTGAGAGAACTGATAAACTCTGAATGCAGACTGAAGCATACTTTTAAAACTTTATTCACCTTCTCTTTGTGTTTTCTTTTGCAATATGGATAATACAGAAATATGTTTTGCATGACTTCACACGTATAAGCAATATATTGCATGCCTTCTCAAGGGGTGGGGAAGGGGAGGGAAAGAATTTGGAACTCAAAATTTCAAAAAATGAATATTAAAAAATTTTACATGTAACTGGAAAATACTTAACAAAATAAACAAAAATACATCTTTTTGGTCTAGGATTAACCCTATATCCAGGAAAGGGGGAGAAAAACTGTCTTCATCTTTTTCTATTCTTCAAGTCACTCCAACAAACATTTGTTAAGCACCTACTATACACAAGGTACTGTGTTTCTTACTGGAGATAAAAACAAAACAGTTCCTGCTCAGGAGGTTTAGAGTTTACTAGAAGATAGATACAACACAAACACTTGAAGAGTGGGAAGGCGTGTCAGTGAAGGCTCCTTAGAGGAGGCATCACCTAAGAGCGGCCTTCAAGGAAGATTAGGATTTCAAAAGGATTTCAAAGGCAAGATGAGAGCATATCCAGACAATGACAACAGCTTTTATTGGAGCACAGAAGTGAAAGATGAAAGGTCAAGTTCACGGGACAGACAGAGAACAAAGTCCAGTCACAACAGAAGTTATGATCCACAACTAAAGACTGCAGTGAAGACACTAAAGTTCTGACAGAAGAGAGTGAAGAGGAAGTAGAGCTACCAGACACAGGTAATTTTTTTTACAAGAAGTTGGAATAGTTCTTTCATTGGTATCACCTACATATTTCAATCAATCAGTAAACATTTATTAAGCACCTACTATGTGCCACAGAACTATGCTAAGTGCTGGGGACACAAAAAGAGGCAAAAGCCAAGTGCTGCCCTCAAAGGGATTACAATTTAACAATGCTGAATAGTATTCCCTCTACCAATGCAAGTTGCAACTTGTTTGCAACTAAAAATCTTAGAGACTGGCCCAGAGCATTGAGAGGACTTGATCAGGGTCACGTGGTCAGTAATTTTTAGAGGCAAAATTTGAATCCAGATCTTTGTGGGCCAACTCTCCATCCACTATACCACGTGGTCAGTAATTTTTAGAGGCAAAATTTGAATCCAGATCTTTGTGGGCCAACTCTCCATCCACTATACCACACTGACAATTAAAACAAATAATGGAAGATTTTCAAACACTACTAAGAAGATGCCATATGGTAGAGTGGAAAGGACACTGGACTTCGGTCAAGACATGGGTTCAGATCCTAGCTCTGCCACTTACATGCCACGTGATCTTGGGCAGGCACATCACCTCTGAGTCTCAAATTCATTATCTACTCTTCAATATAGGAAATAACACAGGCACTACCCAATTTGCAGTTACAGTATGTAAGCTCTTCAAGGGCAAGGGCTTTTGCCTTTTTATCTTTGTAGCCCTGGAACCTAGTACAGTGCCTGGCACACACTGAGTACTTAATAAAAGTTTCTGATTGACTGAATCATGTGAGATAATGCTTGTAGATAATTTTTTTCCTTTTTTTTTAGGTAATTGTTTTATAAGTGACTGGCACATAGTAAGTGCTTCATAAATGTTTCCTGACAGTTCCAAAATCATAAAGGGCTATATGAATTTCAGCTACTATTATAAATATAATTATTGTTGCTGTTATTGCCCATTTCACAGAATTATTTTGAAGTATTACATTATAATCTTCCCCTAACATACTATTCCAATGCCTTATCCTGGAATGGAAATGATCTTGGGATCTCAAAGGCTAAGCCAGTGGATTTTACTGAACAGCCAGATGGATTACTATCCTCTGGGCTGGAGGTCAGGAATACCTGAGTTCAAATCTAGCTACTGACTATCCAGGCAACCCATTTGCCTTAGCTTCCACAACTGTAAAATGGGGAGAATAATGGCACCTACCTCCAAAGGTTGCTATGAGGATAAAATGAGACAATATTTCTAAAGCACCTAACAGTGCCAGGAACATAGTAAGTTTTATAAAAATGCTGCTGCTGCTGCTGCTACTGCTATGGCTGCCACCACCACTACTACTACTACTACTACTACTACTACTACTACTACTACTACTACTACTACTACTACTACTACTACTACTACTACTACTATCAATATTCATTTAAACATTGGTATGTACTACCAAACTGGAAAGGAGTTAAGTAGGGGCCTAAAGACTACGTCTGTCATCCAAGAACCAGCTGAACTGTTTGGAGAAACTTATCATTAGGTTGACCATGGACCAAGGCAATTTTCAGCCACAGAAATTCTCAGTCTTTCTATTAAATCCACACAATGGGGTTGTTGTTTCCATTGATGGCCACTGTACAGCCACCAATGAAATCACAGATCTGTGAAGTATTGAAATTAGATCATAATACAAATACTAGACACTGTATAATCTTAAACATGTAAGTTATATAAATATAATGCTAAATATATTTAATATTTTATTTTAAAATTTATTTCTAAATGTAAATACCATAAAATATAAAATTCACATGTATTTGCTGCATTAATAACTGTGAACAGACTAGAAGTAAATACTTCCTAACATTCAGACCTGTTCAAAAACCAAACTGACTTGCCTTGTGACATAACATGGCTCATTTAAAGGTTTTACAAAACCCCTTCTCCAAAACATTTTGGAGTACACATAGTCCCCATTTTACAAATAAGGAAACAGGCTCAGAGAAATAAACTGACTTGGCCAGGATCAGAACGCTAGTAAGAATTCATCAAAATCTTAACCTAGATTCAGCATGTGAATTCCTTATGTGTGGTATAGTGAAAAGAGCACCAGATTTGAAGAGAAAAGCTGGGTTTGAATTATAGCTCTGACTTAACTCTGGGCCACCGCTGAGGGGATTTCTGTACAGAATGGGTTATGGGACCAGACAATCTCTAAGGTCTCCTCCAACTCTAATTTCTACGAATCTAGTTAAATAAACTACTCAGACAGAGGACTCCTGCTCTAAAATACTGGTCATAAAACTGAATGGCAAACTTTTTTTTTAACCATGTAAAGGTCCCATTAAATATATTTTAATGAAGATCTAGTTTTTGCTATAGTATTCTTATAAGTCACAAATATTAGTTGTCAAGTCAACAAGAACGTATCAAGCTCTTACTATGTGCAAGGCACAATGCTAAGCACTTGGGATACAAAGAAAGGCAAAAACATGCAAACAATTATGTACAAAAAAGAGATATACAGGATAAAGTGGAGATAGTCTCAGAGGGAAGGGACTAAGGTTAAGGAGGGCTGGGAAAGCCTTCTTGAAGAAGGTGGGACTTTAGAAGTGGCTCGAAGAAAACGAGAGAAGTCGGGAGGAGAGTTCAATGCACGCGGGAAATGCCCAGAGGCAGGAGATGGTCTGTCCAGCAAGGCCAGCGTCCCTGCTCTGCAACAGTGCATGGAGGGGGCTAACGTGTAAGAAGACTAGAAAGGTAGGAAGGGACCAGGTAATTTAAGGCCTTTGAATCTCGGAGGATTTCGTATTTGATCTTGGAGGTGACAGGGAGCCACTGGAGGTTACTGGACAAGCGGAGCGACAAGATCAGATCTGGGTTTTAGAAAGGTCGATTTGACAGCAGAGTGGAGGACGGACAGACCGATATGGAACCCTAAAACTGAAAGGGTCCTTGGTGAGGCTCTAACTGGACTCCCACAGATAAGGCTGCCGTGACCTCCAGAAGCGTCGGCGCAGCCCCCGGGACAACGTGGGAGCTTCGAGACGCTGAACACGGTCTTAGAACCACCTCAGGTGAGCCCAGGGCAGACGTCCCGTCAGCACCACGTGCCTGCGGGAGCCCCGCCCCTCGCCCGCCCTTTAACCCCTGACCCCGCAGCTCGGAATGCGTACCTGACACCACAGTTTGAGGGTCTTTGAGCTGAGCTTTAAACTGCTGCCCAGTGAAGTCTTCCCCGCGAGGCCTCTTCACAGGGCCGGACGAGGACGCCTGTCCCTGTTCTGTAAGGGCTTTCCTCTTTGGGTTTCCCATGGCCCGAGGGTCGGGACGAGCCCACGCGGATATCTTCGGAGGAGTCGGGCGCGGAGCGCGGACAGGGTGTGCTCGCCGGCTACACCACGTGGGGCGGAAGGAGGAGGCGATGGAGCGAGGCCGGAAGGAGCCGAGCTTGCCCCAAGCGGCGCTCCGCGGGCGCGCGAGCCCGGGGAGGCGGGGCTTCTGGTTACCGGAGGGCTTCTCTGCGAGCTGGGAATGCGCAGGCGCACAAAATGTTCCTGCGCTTGCCTCATAGGTCTGTGCACCTGGTCCTATGTAGGAACCTGCTGTCCTCTTAGCTGCTGAATTCGCAGGAAGCAGGTTGGAGCGCAGACCTGGAGGCCGGAAGATGTGAGTTCAAATGCAGACCCCATGTTGCTTACTAGCGGTATGACCTGGCCAAAGTCACTTACTCTCTGCCTACTTCATTTTCCTCATCTGTAAAATGGAGATAATAACAGCACCTACCTCTCAGGCTTGTAAGGATCAAGTGAGAACATGTTTGCAAAGCTCTCTGCAAAGTTTAAAGCACCATATAAAGGCTTATTAGTATTATTAATTATTATTACCTGTTGTGTGACATTAGGTAAGACTATTAGGCTACATAGAGTGTAAATTGTAGGTTTTTGGAAGTTGGTATTTTGGTCTGCTGGTCCTGATCAGATAACTTCCAGAAATAGTTTGTGCTTTACTTCGCTTTCCAGCAACGAGCAAGAATTTAGTTATTTGTTTGTTTATGGTGGGAGCATGGAATACATAAATATTGAATCCATTGCTTTGGAAAAAGACTCTAGATCTCCTTCAAGACTCAGCTTAAATCCCCACCTTCAGTAAGCCTTTCCTGGTCTATGTTCCTTCTCTCCATCCCATACCATTAAATTCCCTTTACATTAAATATATGTTTATAAAACTAGTTTTAGGAGTATCTTTTGTTTTTACATTGCATACATTTATCCCAGAATTCTTCCCCTCAACCCTTCCCTGCCATCCCATATAACAAATAATAAGAAAAAAGAAAAGCAGCAAAACCCAACAATGCATCAAAAAAAAAATCTAAAAGTACATATAATATTGTACTTTACAATATTCAAAGAAGTGTCAGGAGTTTTTTCATATATTTCTTTGGGGACATCCTTGTCCTTCGTAATTTTGGAACATTCACTCTCCAATTTTTTTTTTGATGTTTCTATTTATGTTATTTATAGTCATTGTGTATATTGTTTTCTTGGCTCTGCTTACTTAGCATCGGTTCAGGTAATTCTCCATGCTTCTCTGTACTCATCATATTTATTGTTTCTTACAGCACAGTAATATCCCATTACATTCATTTATGTATATTACATTCATATACCACAATTTTAGTCATTGAATCAATGGACCTCTACCTCCTTTCCAGTTCTTTGCTACCACAAAAGGTGCTGCTACAAATATTTTGGTATGCATGGAGATTTTTTTTTTCAATACCTCTTTAGGGTATATATCCAGGTTGCACAATATATATCTTGTATGTGCACTCTTGTTTACATGTAGTCTCTCCCATAGGAATTGGAGTTCCTTAAGGCAGTGACCTTGTGTTTTCCTCTTTGTATGCTCAATGCCTAGTATACAGCCTGGCACATAATAAGTATTTGACAAATGTTTGTTGATTGATTGATTGACAGACACACACCTTTCCTTCCACCCTGTCTTCCTTTTATTGTTGTGAAGGTAAAATATAATGTAAAAATGCATTACAAAGCATAGAATTTGAGATATATCATGAATCCAGGATGTCTCAAAAATCTCGGTAGATTTAATTGAAAGGACTTGAAAGGAAATGCTGTCCACCTCCAGAGAGAGAACAGATGAACTCTACATGCAGGAGGAAGCATATTTTCTTCCACTTTTTTTTTGCTCCCTCCCCCCCAACATGGCTAATGTGGAAATATGTTTTGCATGACTTCATATGTACAATGAGTATTGTATTTCTTGCCTTCTCATTGGGGATGGGGGAGCAGCTACAGGCAGAAGAGAAAGACTCAGAACTGAAAATATATATTTTTAAAGTTTCAGTGAATTTAAGTTTTGATACCTTATTTTCTAATACCCTATGTGTATAGTCAGCATGTTATTAAAGATACTGTTGGTGTTCAGTCGTTCAGTTGTGTCCAACTTTTTGGGACCCCATGGACCATAGCACACCAGGCCCTTTTGTCCTCCACTTTCTCCTGAAGTCTGTCCAAGCTCATGTTCATTGCTTCCATGACTATCTATCCATCTCCTCTTCTGCTGTCTCCTTCTGCCTTCAATCTTTCCCAACATCAGGTTCTTTTCCAATGAGTCCTGTCTTCTCATTATGTTGCCAAAATATTTAAGCTTCAGCTTCAGCATTTGACTTTCCAATGACTGAATTCATTTCTTTTAAGTATTGACTGATTTAATCTTCTTGCTATCCAAGAGACTCTCAACAGTCTTTTCCAGCACTACAAATCAAAGGTTGTCAATCAACTTTTCTCACAATCCAACTCTCACACAGTTATATATTACTCCTGGAAAAAGCATGACTTTGATTACATGAACCTTTGCCAGCAAGGTGATACCTGCTTATTAATGTGCTGTCCAGATTTGCCATAGCTTCCCTTCCAAGGAGCAAGTGTCTTTTAATTTAAATATTCACCATCTGCAGTGATCTTTGAGCCCAAGACTAAAATCTGACACTGCTTCCCTTTCTTCTCCCTCTATTTGCCAGAAAGTGATGGGACCAGTTGCCATCTTAGTTGTTTTGATGTTGAGCTTCAAGTCAGCTTTGACACTGCCTATTTCACCCTCAAGAGGCTTCTTTTGTTTTGTTTTTAGGCAATTGGGGTTAAGTGACTTGCTCAGGGTCACACAGCTAGTAAGTGTCAAGTGTTTGGTCTGAGGCTGGATTTGAACTCAGGTGTTCCTGACTTCAGGGCTGGTGCTTTACCCACTGCTCCACCTAGCTGTCCCCTAAGAGGCTTCTTAATTCTTCTTCACTTTCTGCCATCAGAGTGATATCAACTTCATATCCGAGATTGTTGCTGTTTCACCCTGCAGCCAGAAAAACTTGGGTTCAAATATTCACTCCTTTGACATTTACTAGCTGTATGACCCTAGACACTGCCTAGGCACTATGTAACCCAAGTTAACTGCCCAGGATTTAGTAGATAAGTCATAAACAGGATGCCATCTGCATTAGTGAAATTATTCCCTATCCTAACAAAATCACAGTAAACCTTTGAATAGTCATGTTTTTTATATATGTATAATGTTGTTGCTAGGTTAGCATTTGATATATCTATCATTACTTTGTAAAAATATTTTAATAAATATTTTAGTGCTAAGCATGATGTCACACCCCTGTAATCTTTGCTGTTGGGGAGGCTGAGGCTGGTGGATAGCTTGAGTTGGGAGTTCTGAGCTGCAGTACTAGGGCCAAAGCCAGGTGGGTGTCCACACTTAAGTATGACAATAACATTATGGGCCTTCCAGAAGCAAGAGGCCACCAAGCTGCCCAATGAGAGGCAAACCAGCCCAGTTCTGAAATGGAACAAATCAAAGCTTCTCTACAGATCAGCAGTAGGGTCAGCCTGAGAGTAACCACTAGATTTCCAGCCTGAGTGAGAGAGGGAAAGACCTGAGGGAAAAAGAAAGGAAGGAAGAGAGAGAAGGAATAGTGGATAAAGCCCTGGACCTGGAATCAGGAAGACTTAAGGTCATATCCAGGCTCAGACATTTAATAGCTGTGTGACCTTGGGCAAGTCACTTAACCTCTGTCAGCCTCCGTTTCTTTACCTGTAAAATAAGGATAATAACAGCACCCAACTCCCAGGTTGTTGTGAAGATAAAATGAGATATTTGTAAAGTGCTTTGCAGACCTTAATATGCCAGATAGATATTAACTCTTATTAAATAAAAGATATCTTAATGAATTATAACTTATTAGATAAGAAATTAATACTATCTGGAAATCTGTGATACCACCAAGTTAAATTTCTTCTTTTATTAATTTGAGTGCTTATATGCTGGATAGCATTATGTGTTAAGAATTTGTTTAAAATGGATTTTGGTATAGAAAGAGGTAGATGGGTCAGTAATAAATGGTAGAGGAAAGAAGATGGGCTGCTCATCTCTTACTTTGCTTCTGATTTCTCTCTCAAGAGAATGACTTTGGACTGGAACAACAGAACAAAAATGGCCAAAAGGGAATTGAAACCAAAGATAAATAGGGAGATACTAAAAGCACCTGACTGCTCCTACTGAGTTCTAGTAACCAGACCCAAATGAACTACATCTCAGAGTACTGAAAGAAGTGCCTGATGTAGTTAGTGAGGCTCTATTTCTGGTTGAGGGCCCTAGGAATCCATGCTTGGCTAGGCTCCAAGCTTTTTTTTTATTAACATTTTTATCAATGAATCAGATTCACAGATGACACAAAGCCAGTTTGGATAGCTAATGTGTGTACAGATTTAGGATCCAAAAATGTCTCCACAGGCTAGAACACTGGGCTGAAAGTTTTGGGTTCTTTTTGGCTGAGTCTAATAAAATGAAACTTAATAGGGATAAATGTAAAGTCTTAGACTTGGGTTTTAAAAAATCAACTGAAATACTACATGAGGAAGTGTGGTTAGACAGTAGCCATCTGAAAATGCTCTAGGGTTTTTATTGGCTATAAGCTAAATAGGAACAAAAAAAGTACCAGCAGTCAAACAGGGCAGTCTAAGGCTGCAGATATAAGTCCAAGACCATGTAAGTGCTTGTCCTGTGTGCTGTCTTGACCAGACCACACCTGAAATGTTGTATTCAGACCTCAGCACTACATTTTAGGAACGCTATTGATACGTTGGAGGGCGTCCAGACCAGGAAAAGTTGGATGGTAAAAGCAGTTGAGATAATATTCCATGAGAACCAGCTTAAGGATTTGGAAATGTTTGGTCTGGGGGAGAAAAGACTTATGGGAGACATGATATCTATCTTCAACTGTATCCAAAACCTTGTTACAGGAGAAGGATCAGACTTGTTCCCCTTGATCCTGGAGAGAAGAAATAGGAGCAATGGGTAGAAACACCAAAGAGCCAGATTTGAACATAATGTAAGGGGAAGCTGCCTAATGCGTGAATGAATGAAGCATTTATTACATGCTTTCCATGTACAAAGTGCTGCACTAAAATGCAGGGATGAAAAGTAAGCCAGTCTGCTCTCAAGGAGCTCACATTCTAATGGGGAAGAAAATACATACTGCAAAGTTTTAGCTGCAAATCAGATAGAAAGGTCTCATGGCTCTTTGGGTTCAGCATCAAAGCAGTTGGGAATGCCTCTATTTTAATGTCATTTCCACTGATAAAAATCAATTCATTTTATCATATTGAACTATTTGACAGTACCAAGGACATTGGTGACACGAACTTTCTTTTGGGAGGCTTCAAAAGCTGTGTCTGTAGCACCCGCAGGAGCAATTGCCAGGCTACCTCTCCACAGAGGTTGCTTCCAAGAATGATGTCTGGAAACTTTGCTATTCAAAGACTCTTGGGTTTGAGGTCTTGACTTGGGCTGTCTCCATCAGAGCCTGAGCAGGGACGATAGTCAATATGGTGGTAGTGGGTTAGTTTAACTTGCCTAGCACACGCTGCCTCCTGTCTCTCCCTTGGCATGCCTTGCTGCTTCAGCTAGACTGACTTGCCTGCCCAATGGGTGATAGTTGGTTGGCACTACTTGGAATGACTAGCCCCCTTCTCCACAGAAGCTACCTCTCTGGATGATGTCTGTGAGGGCTCGGGCTGGGCTGGAAGCAGGAGCAGTGGTCTGAGGGGTACTGCCATTCCCAGGGTTCCTGTGTCTGTCTGTTGGTGGCTGTTGGTCAGTACTTGGTGGCCCTCACAATTACAGCTATCCAAAAGTGTAATAGGCTGCCTCTTGACTTAGTAGGTTTCCCCCTCATTAGAGGTTTTCAAGCAAAACTTGGATGACCATTGGTTAGTTATGGTGTCCAGGCACAAGTCGAAATAGGTGGCCTGTGAGTTCTCTTTCAAATGTGAGATTCTATGAAATAAGGAAAATATATCCAGCAGCAATGAGAAGGATAGTTTAGAAGAGGAGAGAATGAAGATAAAAAGACCTAAGGCTATTGCAATATTCAAGCAATGGTAATGAGGGCCTGTAGTAGGATAGTGACAGTGAGTATAGAAAGGGGACGGTGGATGTGAGTGCTGTTTCAAAGGTAACATTGACTTGATGCCTGATTCGATATGAGAGGCAAGAGTATGAAGAATTAAAAATAATGCCAAGATTTCAAATATGGGAGACCAGGGGACTGGTGGACAGAAGCAGTTAAGTCAGGAGAAAAAGGAGGTTTGGGGGGAAAAGATAATTGCCAGTTTGCAAAGGAAGAAATTCAAGCTATCAACAGCCATATGAAAAGGTCCCAAATCCTTAATAATAAGGGAAATACAGATTCAACCAACTCAGTGGTTCCAGCCACCAACTTGAATTGAAGTGCTAAATTTGGCAATTGAATTGGCAAAAATTCAAAAAGGAATGAGTGAAAATAGGCACATTAATGCACTGTTGGTAGAGCTAATAATGTTGAACGTGACGTTGGGAAAAACTGTGGAGTTGTGAAGTGGTCTAGCCGTTCTGGAAAGCAATTTAGAACTATGCCAAAAAAATCACTAAATTTTGCATACTCATAAGTGGCACTTATTCTAGTACTAGAAGGCTTCTTCCCCAAAAGAGTTCAAAGAAAGAAGAAAAGGCCAATTTGGATAAAAATATTTTTAGCATCTCTTTTTGTAGTGACAAAGAACTAGAAGCTTAAGGGAGTTGCCCATCATTTGAGTAATGGCTGAACAAATTATGGTACATAAAGGAATGGAATATCATTATACCGCAAGAAGTAACTAAATCAATGGTTTCAGAAAAAAACTGGGAAGACTTGTATGAACTGATGAAGACTGAAAAACAGGAGAACAATTTATATGATAATAAAAACATTGTAAAAACAAATAACTGAAAAACTTGAGAATTCTGATCAATACAATGACCAACTCCAATTCTAGAGGATTGATAATAAAGAATGCTACCCAACCACCTCCTCACAGAGAAGCAATGAACTCAAAATGTAGACTGAGGCATACATTTCTGGACATGGCCAATGTGGGGATTTATTTTGCTTGGGGGAGAGACAAGGTAGAAAAAAATGCTAATTCCAGAGAGAGAGAGACAGAGAGACAGAAGAGAGAGAGAGAGAGAGAAGAAAAATTTTGAAAAAAAAAAAGATAATTGTCAGCTTTTCATTTTGACATGTGTTGGATAGAACTGGCCAAAAGTAGTTTCTGGAACATAATAGTAGGTTCACTTATTTTTGTTCTTTTCCATTTAAAAAGACATAGCATAATTATGCTACTAAAAATTACATTTTATAACTACCCTATTTCTAGGCAATGGAAGCATATAAGAGGAGAAATGCATCCAGAAACCATATCAAACTCATCTGAGAGTGTCTTTTTTTTTTAACTAAGCCTATGATTTCACTGCACTAGGAAATTTTCTCTACCAATGTAGAATAGCACCTACCCTGCAATTTATAGCCTTAGAAGCTGACATATTAAGTGTTCACACAGTCAATGTGTTTCAGAGTTGGAACTTGAACCCAAGTCTTCCTGACTCTGAAGCCAGCCCTCTATCCATGACATCATGCCTTAATAAGGTATTTCATAACAAGGAAGGAATCCATTCTGTAGAATGAAGTGAGCTGTGATTTTATCTTATAATATTTCATCTTAAGTAATTGAATCTCCCTGACGCCCTCACTGCAATCCTTTTATTATTCTTTCATTGACTCTTTACCACACAGTCTATATGAAGTGTTCCAAAACTTCTCTTAAGCCCTCCAATACCAACCCACCTCTTACTAGATGACCTTGCTACTTTATGAAAAAATCAAGGCTATCGATCATGATCTCCCTCATCTCCCCTATGCCACACTTCAGTCTTTTTCTAAATCTTTACCTGACTTCTCTTTCTTTACTCCAGGCTCAGGGGGTGATCTGATCCTTTTTTTGTTCAAAAGACCGACTGCTATTTTTGAATGGTCCAATTCCATTCTAGGATTTCTAACAGTTTTTCCAATTGACAATTCCTTCTTGATCATAAGATTAATCTCTCCCTATCAACTTGCTACTTTCATGTTGCTTAAAAACATTCTCAGGTGTCTTTCATCCTTAAAAAACCTTCATTAGATCCTGTTATTCTGCCCACTCCCCACCCCCCAAGCTATCCTCCCTTTTACTGCCAAACTCCTACTTTCTATCTCTGCTCATTCATCATCACCTACTCATTTCTCAGCTGCTTGCAGTCTGGCTTCTGACCCTCCCTATTTACCTTCTCAGGTTCATCAAGGATCTCTGTGCAGTGGGTATAATCAGGGGACCCCTCCCCCATCACTTCTGGCTAGTGCACATCCCGTAGAGCATGCCTAGAGCTGTGTCCCTTCTAATGCCACATGTGCTGTCCTTGGAACTGGCTCCCTTCTGATGGTGAATTATTTCTTCCCCTTTCTGGGAGAGCCTTTTAACAAAAGACATGTGCAGTTAGAGGTTTCTAGATGGGTTCCATGTGTAGAAATTCCTACTTCCAGAATGTGTCAAAGCTGCATCAGAGAGGCCCAGAAGTGATCTGTGTTGTTACATATGCTAAACCTGATTGTGTTTAGTTGATGCTTATCCTCTTTGTTTCCCTTTACTGCTGTCTATCCTGTAGACCACAATATTTGTAAATTATATACCATAATTATGCTATATCTTTTAAAATGGAAGAGAACAATAAATGAACCTACTATTATGTTCCAGAAACTACCTTTGGCCAGTTCTATCCAACACATGTCAAAATGAAAAGTTGACAGTTATCTTTTGTCAGACAGCTGAGCCAGGAAGAGCCACCTAATCAGCAGACTTTAAAAGGAGTGATTCTGCCCTCTGCTTCTCTCTTCTTTTTCTCTTCTCATTGTGTGACTTAGGAACTTTTTCTCTCTGATACTTCCAGCAAGGGGGCTACAGGAATGGATTTCATTTTCCCATTTCTCACTGCAGGCAATTATGGTGATTTCAAACACATGCTGTCTAAGTGAACCTAAGTTAGAATCAATGCCCACCCTTTCTCTTCAGGTGTGTGTGTTTCTTTACCTGAACTAGGTTCCTGAGCAGTGATCCCAACAGACTTTTTGAGAGTAATTATCTAGAAAGTACCTTGACTCCTTTGTTATATTTTGATAGGTGCCCCTGCTACTTCAGGGCTCAGAAGAAAAAAATGACAACCTACAGGATGAGCCCAACCACTGGTCTGGCTAACCAGAGCCGTTCAGATAATGCAGAGCTGAGTGGAAGATGAAATAAATGCCTCTTCAGCACCATTGCAAAATGTCTTGTGTTTTGCTTGCAGCATTGACGTTTTAGGCATCAGCCTACCAGGAGAGTATACTATGGCATTACAAGTTACTGCTTCATGTTTAAGTCTCTGTCAATACATGCTTGTGAGTCTTTTGCATTTCTTTTGTTCGAAGGAAATAAATAGCTGTCCTCGATCTGACCTATTTAGTATACTATGCTCCCCTTTTTAGGAGACCAGACATAAGCCAAACTAAAGCTTTAAGTGATTTTTTCCCCTGGGCTCTGAGCTGGGGGAAAGAAATAGAAAATGAAATTTAAATAAGAAAAAGAAATAAAAAATGAGAGCAAAAGAGCATGACCTCTTTCTTCAGAATCTAGGCATCTCCAAGAACTAACCCAATCTGTACTCACGGGTCCAGTACCAGCAGTTCATTTAAAGTAGAGGTTCTTGACTGTGAGCTTTTCTAAAAAATGTATTTTGATGACTGTATTTTAATATAATTTATTTCCTTTGTAATCCAATTTATTTTATTTTATACATTTAAAAACATTCTGAGATGGGGTCCATAGATTGCCAAAGAGCCATATGACACAAAAAATATCAGGAACCATAGGAACAAGCAAGCGCTCAGCTCCCCTAGGCCCAGAAGTGATCTGTGTTGTTACATATGCTAAACCTGATTGTGTTTAGTTGATGCTTATCCTCTTTGTTTCCCTTTACTACTGTCTATCCTGTAAACCACAATATTTGTAAAGTACTTAGTATAGTACCTGGCACATAGTAGGCTCTACATAAAGGCTTATTCACTTCACCTTCTCTTCTTTTTCCTTCCATGACAATGGCTCTTTTATCACCTATAGGAGCACTCCTTCTTTATCCCTTTTACCGGATCATCATTTATTAGGATCCTCTAAATGTGGGTACCTGGGCAAAGCTCTGTCCCAGGCCCTCTTATCTTCTCTCTTCATCTGCTCCCATGAGCTTAATGACCATCTCTATGCATATGACTGAAATCTAATTATCCAGCCCTAATTTTTCTCTTGAACCATAGTTCCACATTTCCATCTTTCTGCTGTATATCTCTGCCTGGATGTCCTGTCAGCATTTGAAAATTAGCATATCCAAAACTGAAATCATCTTCTTCCCTATACCTGTCCCTCTTTTAAATTTTGCTGTTTCTATTTAAGAGCACTACCATCCTTCCAGTTACTATACACCTTAATTCTTCTCCCTCAATGCCTATGTCTCACAAATTGACAATTCCAATTGCTTTGGCAATAGCTGTCCCACTCATCCACTTCTGTCCACTTAACATAGTTACTACTTGAATTCAGGCCCTTGGTTTGGAACTACTGCAGTATACTCCCAAATGATCTTCCTCCTTCCTGTCTCTCCACCTACCCCTCTCCCTTTTCCACCAAAATAATCTTCCTAAGTGTGACACATGGTACATGCTTATAACTGGGTTACTATTTTGTATACTAACTAGTGTAATAGAAATGCCAGCTAGACTTCCATGTCAAGATTATGCTGAAGCCAATTCAGAATGGCTCAGGAGAACCAATTTTTAAATTTTCAGTAGGTGCATTTACACCTCAAAAATCAATCAGTCAATATTTGTTAATCACCCACAGTAAACTCTACAAATTAGGACTTCATTGAGTCAGTCATTTATTGAGTCCCTACTGTATGCCAAGCACTGTGCTAAGCACTGGGGATATGAGGGAAAAGACAGTCTCTGCCCTCAAAGAGCTCACACGGAGGAGACAACAAGAAAACAAATAAGTACAAACAACTTATATACAGGATAAATAGGTAATAATTAAGAAAAGGAAGGTCCTGGAATCTAGAAGGTTGGGGAAAAATGTAAAAAAAATTGGGATTTTAATTGGAACTTAAAGGAATCCAAGGAAACCAATAGTTGGAGAGGAAGAGGGAGAGCATTCTAGACATGGAGAGTGGTCAGAAATAATACCCGAGGCCAAGAGATAGAGTGTCTTGTATGTGGAATGGGCAGGAGGCCAGGAAGACAGGAAAGGTAGAAACAGGCTAGGTTATGAGGGACTTTGAATGCCAGACAGTGGATTTTGTATTTTATCCTGGAGGCAAATAGGGAGCCACTGTAGTTCATTGAGTAGTCAGTGACATGTTCAATTTCCCGTGCTTTAGGAAAATCACTTTGGTAGCTGGGGAGAAACTTGAGGCAGGCAGATACACCAGCTGGCTATTGCAATAGTCCAAGCATAAGGTGATGAGGGCCTGTACCAGAGCACTGACAGTGTCAGAGAAGTGAAGGGGGCCTAATCAGGATTTGCAAAGATGAATATATAGGCTGGGAGATAGAGTCAAAAAATGACAATTTGTAAGCCTAAGGGACTGGCAGGATGGTGTTGCCCTCTACAGTAATAGGAAAGAGGAGTGGGGAAGGCTTAGAAAGATGATGAGTTTGGTTTTGGACAGATTGAGTTTAAGATGTCTACTGGACATCCAGTGCAAAATGTCTGAAAGGCGATTGGATGTGTGAAATTGGCAGTCAGCAGAGAGTTTGGAGCCGGACAGGTGGAATTGCTATTTTTTTCATCTTCTGTTGAGTTTTGTTTCCTCTTTCTGATGGTTCCTCCTATTGGTTTTAATTTTTTCTTACAACACCACTAATGTTGAAAATATGTTTAATAGGAATGTAAATGTATAGCCTATATCAGATTGTGTGCTGTTTTGGGGAGGGTGGAGGGGAGGAAGAGGGAGAAAAATTTTAAACTCAAAAGCATATGGAAGTGATTATTGATAAATCAAAATAAATTAATAAAAATTTAAAAAAAGAAATAAAAAAACAATACAAAAAAAAAGTTTAGCCACAGAGGAAATAAGAGAAATACAGAATGATAGTTAGCAGGGATAGAAGGATCAAGTGAGGTTTTTTTTCAAGATAAGGAAAACATGGTAATATTTGTAAGTTATAGAGAATGTGCCAGGAGATAGGAGAGATTGAAAATAAATGATAGAGTGGAGATGACAAAGGGGACAATCTCTTGGAGGAAATGAGATGCAATGGGATTACCAGTGGAAGTAGAGGAGTTAGCCTTGGTAAGGAGTAAGGCCACCTCTTCATAAGAGATAGGGAAGAGATAGTGGCAAAAGCCATATGAGTGATATGAGATGAGGAACAGAGAAGAGGGCAGATGGCCTCATTTTTTTCTGTAAAATATGAGGCAAAGTTCTAAGCTGATAGGATGGGGGAAAGGGAGCCAAGGAAAGTTTAAGGAGGGATGAAAAGATTTGGAAGAGCTTTTATGGAGACTTGGGATAGTGAGCTGACAAAGGAAGTATAGTAAGATTGTCTAGCAGCAATGAGGTCCCAATTGAGGTTATGTAACATAAATATGGAACGGACCCAGTCAGAATGGTTGTGTAATTTTCTCCACCTTTGTTCAGCAGTACAAGTATAGTAGTGATGGTGGTAAATGGTGGGAGTGATCCAAGCAAGGCTGAGGCTTTGAGGGGCTAAGGACTCAAGAGAAGAGGAAAATGTAGAGTTGTACTGTTTCATCAAGGCATCAGGAAGGGGAAAATAGTAGAGAGTGGCTAGTGCAGGAGTGATGGTCTGGAAGAGAACTGAGAGATTGCGGGATTAAAGGTCACAATGTGGATGAAAAGCAGGGTTTGGTAAGGGAAGGCAAGGGAAGAGGGGAAAAGCCAATAGATTTTGGCCAGATAAGGGGATTTCAGAATTCTTGAATGTGGAGGTGGTACACTTGTGAATGATGGCAGTCTGAAGGAAATTGACCATCTTTGTGTGGCTGAGGTATAGTGGAAGAGTAGGTCACAGAAAGCAAATAGGTTGAAGAACTGAATGCTTACAATGTTGGAGGGAGAGTCAATATGTGTGTTGAAGTCCCCAAGGAGTTGGGGAGGAGGGAAGAATTGTGAGATTGATTTATTGTTTTATTGATTGTCTGGTCTTAATAAAGTGTTAATAAATAATAAATAATAAATAATGAAAATGTTAAGAATGCAGATTAAACTTAAATGTCCTCAATAAAGTTTTTTTTGCACCCTTGAGAACTGGTTATTAAATATTTACCAGCACACCACTGCTTATACTTCTCAATGAATATAATCGAACTTTATTAATTAATGTGTATAAATAATAAAAGGTCCCTTTAGGAACAAACCATCACCAACCTGACTCCTAAAGGTCTTAAAAAGCTTATGTCTTACCAGTGCTCATAAAAGTTTCCCTCTCTACTCCTACAATGTAGCATTCTGGCAAGTCTCCGTTCATCAGCACTCCTCTTGAGCAAACATGGGAAACACTGGAGTCAGTTCTAGTGTCTTCCCAGAAACCATCTGATGACTCAGATTTCTATGGACTTTTAGAGTTCTGGGTAGGGCCCTTTATAAATCACATTTAAGTTCTGATCAGAGATTGACTTTAAGCTTATGATGAAAGGAGACTATCAAAGCTTAGTTTCCTAGCATCATTAGCAAATATTTATCAGTTGTTTACCAGATTTTGGAGACATAACATTGTTAGTAGTTGTATATCAAAGCTAGGGGACATCTATCATTAGTAGTTGTTTACCAGATTTGGGGGACACACATCATTACCAAACTATACCATTCAAGTGCTTATCTTATTACAGAAAAACAACTTACATAATGACTACTTAATCACAAAATTAAAACAAAATGGAGTCAGTTGCTTATCCTAAGTTAACATATTATTCCCACTACACTAAAGCACGGGCCTGAATGTGTTATTCCTGTTCTCCAAAATCATCCATGGTTCCATGTCGCCTGTAGGATAAAATACAAACTCTTTACTTTAGCATCTAAGGACTTGGCTGCCACTCAACTTTCTAGACTTATTCTAGTCAACTTCATAAATTCTACATTCCACCCAAAATCTTTTATTGATCTTAATATTCCATTTCCCATCTTTGAACCAACTTCTAGGCCTAGAATGTACTATCCTCTCACCTCTGCTTTACTAAATCTGCTCAGGTGCCATTTCTTCATGAA